TCGCGGGGACGGCTCCTCTTCGAGAGCGATGGAGTAGTCAGAATGAGATTGCAAAGGTGCCTTAGAAACCCGTCAGCGGACCGTACCTCGTAACCATGATTTACCTTACCTGCGCTTATCCAAGTTTATGATACACTGATCGTTCTCGCCCGACGTCATAACCACATTCGGTATGCTCACCAACTCGAGTATACGCTCCAAAATCCAACTAACGTCGATAGCTAGAACATCCCCATACGATTTTTTGGGTATAGCTGGTCTTGAAAGAAGCCCTACAAGGCTATCGCACTGAACCCCCCGAATATTCGCAATATTTTGCCATGGACGATGGTGCATACGGCTCTCTGAACTGACAATGGCCGAGGTTAGGACAGCTTCGACGAAAGACCGGACACAAGGTCGATCCCCACACCCGAAGGATGCAAAACCAGTATCCATGCTCCTTAGACGGGCAATCTCAATGGCTCGAAGAAAAAGGTCCATTCTTGCCTGCCGTAGTCGTATCCCCAGTTTCGGTGCGACGAGCTTGGAAATTGTCCATTTCCGAAGGATGTTGAAGGCACGGATACAGCTGCGGATGCTAGGCGGTAGGAGACGATAGATAGTATCCTGAGAAAGCTCGGATATCAGCGAAGATGGCTGAACATCCGTCATGTGGGAATACATGGACTGTATGTCGATGTCATCTGTTGATGGCACTTCCCGAGCTGAAAACCAGCCGGTGCGATCTGCGCTTTGTACCTCTAACAGATCAGCGGTGATGAAAAGGTCCTGAAAGGAAAATGAGCGCCCATATCAGAAGTTAGTAAAGGGGGAACCAACCTCCTCGCTTATATTACTCAACGCTGCAGCACCCATAGCATTCAAATTCTCGACGAGCTCATCAGCACTGATCGCATCGAGGTCCGGTGGTTGATTACCAAAGGATCGCACCCGAGCGGTCGACTTCAGCGGTCGGGCATTAGCTAAGAAGACAGACGGAGGGCGTTGAGTTTGCGTGGTAAACGCCGTATGTGTAATTTGACGAGCGCTGTCAAGAGCGTCCCAAGCTTGGCCGACGTCATTTTCAACTGTAGTCGGAGCATCAAAGGAAGAGCGATCGAACGGGCTGTCCAGAAAAGACCGCACAGCTTCAAACAGCTGAACATCATCGAGACAGTCCTGGGCTCCTCCTCCAGACGTTATCCAGTCCTTGATCGCCTCTAGCACTTCCGATCGAAACTGTATCACGTGGAGATAACTATTTGCGGAGGGCTGGCTGGAGGGTCGACTACTTAGAAAGCGTTTACGAAGTAGCTGTAGAATATATGAATTAGGCCACGCCAAACGCGGAAATGAAACAACCATACCTCAAAAAAGACGATAGGCGTCACAAAACTCCGGAACACATGCCACCATACCCGCGCAAACTCAGACCGATCAACGACAAGGTCCCTGGTTTTGCCGTCCCTTAAGGACGTCTCGCCATTATCATCAGCCACAGCTACTGAAACGCCCTGAAGGCCATGTACGAGGACATTGACCAGGCGGTCCAGAGTTCCAGCTTGCACGATGACGCGGATGGGCCTCTCTGACGACACTTCTGTCACCATAGCATTTGGTCGAGAAGAAGATATAGAAGGCAACGAGCTTCGACGTGCAACGCTGCTCTTCCGCTCGAGGCCCTGAGACGATCCAGGTTTCACACGGATAGAAGGTGAACGCGTCATAGGTTTATCGAGATTGCACCCCTCCACTACGGAACTCGGGGGTCTGGATGGTGCACGAGAAGGAGGCCGGGATGAGGATAGTGGATCTAGGTCGCTACGAGCAACGAGGAGAAGCTCTCCATCATAAACAGGAATGGCAGTCTCCCGAATGTCGACGTCGCCGATGTTGAATGGCTTATCTTTACTGGACGAGGCATCCGCCCTACGAGACGCCGGAGTCAGCGCCACGTCAAGTCCGCGGAGACGCTGGAGCTCGTCAACACTAAGCTTCGTCGGTCCACTCTCTAGCCGGCCACGCCAAATCTGCCCTCGATCAAGGAGCGTGACGGTTGGCAGCGGGTCCACGAACAACAGGGGCGTAAGGGGATGACAAAGCGTATGCGGCGTAGACATGGAATGCGACCAGAAAAACGGCTCAAACAGTCCTTTACGCCTCGGTTCTGCAGCCAACGAAAGCGACATGAATTGATCCACCCTATTCGCAAATCAACATAGTTCTACCTCAAGATATGGACTGTTCAACATACCGTTGGAACTTGGACGCTAATACCGAGCACTGGTTATCCTTCTCCTCCACGAAATCTTGCCAAAAGTTGAGGAGCTTCTCAACGTCATAAGGAAGATCGTCCGTCGAGGAATTCCTAGGGCATAACGAAATCTTCGTCCGAAGGCCCTCGAACAAGTCCCTGGTCTGCAAAAGGGGCTTTGCGGCCCACACCTCATCCGTCCTTTCCTCTCTAGCTTGCTCGAGGAGATGCTTGGCTCGATCCCTAACCTCCCCACCCCAAGGCGTCACAACAGGCCCATTGATAAGCGTAACCTGCCCATCACCCCCAGGGTAGATCCACGACTCAACAACCATAATACTCTGACGATCCGCTCGCCTCCAAGCCTTGCTAAGCCGTGCGACAGGACGCGAGCACAGCGCAGCAGAGATAGCCATCCATGAACACTCATCACCCGCAACCCGACAAAGCTCTCCAATCCTCGCCCACATGGATATCACTTCAGAGCGCGAATGCGTGCGTGACGACGCACTGCGCTCCACTCCAGAGTTGCCTGATGAATCAGCACCTAAAATCTGCATGAGAAGTAGTCGCGTGAGCCAGTGCGGTCGCTCGTCGCTTCCGAATAGCGCTGCTGATGGCGACGAGCTGGCTGGCGCACCAGGATCTGAATCTGGAGAAGCGCCGGGATCGCTATTTGGCTTCAAGACATGGTCGGCTGTGAGGTTGTCAGGAAGTTGTTGAAGGATGCGTTGATGGAAGATTCTCAAACTATGGGCGACGGCGGTGGGGTCAAGGAGAGAGAGTACCTCACGGGTGAAGCCGTCCTGCGCCAGTAATGTCCATACACGCTGCTTAGGGTCAGCAAATGGATGTTGGGGACGCTGTTGTCGCGGGGAGAGAAGCTTCACGGGTGATGCGGAGGGTTGCAATCCCGGGCCCAAAGCTTCCATAAGAGATGCTATTTTGGCGTCATCGCCTGGCCGGGGGGAGAATGTGCCTAGGTTTGGAGAGAACGTAGATCCGGTCATCGAAGGAGAGTACGTGCCAGGGTTTGGAGAAGGTGCAAAAACGGCTTGCGTAGAGGTAGATTTGGGCATTCCGGGAGCAGACCCTTCGTTCCAAGAAAACGCGGGTATCGTTTCCTTTCGCCAAGCGTCCCAACCAGGCTCGTCAGCAGGTGCACCATGGTAGCGGAGATACTCCCCAGCCATCCATGAGACGCACGAGCGCTCATAATCCTTGATCTTCTCATCAGCACCACTCACGAGGTTCTCACATAGACGAGTAAACTCGTTCTCAAATGACTCTCGCCCTACGAGGATAGGCAAGCAGAGCAACACAGCAGAACAGAGGTCTTTCCACTCCGGTCTGCGAGGCTCGCCCGTAGAAGCACCTTGCTCCTCATCCTCTGCGAAAGGCTGGAGGAAAGTGGTGGCGAATACGGCTTCATGTAAGAGAGCCTCGAAGGTCCCTTTCTCGATGCCACTGTCACCGCGAACTAGGTCAGGATGCGTCCTTCGACCCCAATATGCACGTTTCTTCCTGCCACCTGCACCGTCATCTCTGCCCCTACTAGCCCTTAGATCGTCCAAGGTATCGGCTTCGCCATCCACTTCGTCCTCTTCGAGTGTGGCGACGATCTCAGTAGGGAAGAGTTCCTTGATAGCAGCGCTACGGTCGCTGGGCACTTTGTAAAAGTACAACTTCGACCCTTTAAGTTCTGCCTTGGCCGCCTTCCATCCCTTCGACAGCGTCAGATTCGTAGAAGTACTGTATGGCCGATAGTGCGCATAGATCGATGGCGCGGCATCTCCCATACGATTGATAAAACCAGCATTATAGACGATCTGAGATGTACGACGCGAATCGCAGCTGTCATATGCATCAGGTTTGAGCATAGTAGGCGCAAGTAATGGTGATGACGACGATGTTGCGTTTTGGCCACTGATGGGAGTTGGGTTGGGTAATGGATGTTTACTGGAAGAAGGACTCGAAAGACTGAAAGGAAAGACGCCACGCGAGCCACTGGAACCATTCCGATCATTATCCTTATCCTTTGTCGATTCGGCGTCTGATCCCTTCCTTTTGGGGCTTGTGGGCGTAAATCCGAGCTTAGATGCGGATAGCTTAGAAGGTAATCGAGGTGCAAATGACGTGTTACGGGAATGGACAGGGGGTGGTTCCTCTGACGCAGGGGAAATGAACGTATCTGAAGTGGGTGAGGAAACGGAGATAGAAATGCCAGGATCAGGAGAGGTGAGCCCACTCTCAGGAGGTGAAGACGAAAGAGGGCTATTGGTAACAATGGTTGGGAATATATGCTTCACGGGGCTTCCAGGACCAGAGCCCGCGGAAGTGGGATGCAAAGTTGCGCTGCTATTACTTCTGTTCCTGTACTCTTGCACTCTATGCTGAAAAGATATGTCTGCAGAGGAAAACGAGGACGTCGAGAAGTTTCCAAGATCATCTGCGGATTTTGACCAAGTTTTACGGGATATGCTGCGAAGATCACCAAGGCCTCTATTTGTATCAGGAGAGGACGGTTGCGAAGTGGGAAAGGGTCGTTGTAAATCGAAGGACTTCTTAGACGAGAGATCTAGAACCGACCTATGAAGCACATTGAGTTATCAGTACGACGCGTAGTCAAACTTTAATACAAAGAACGCGTCTCGAACACATCAATTTAGCGTACGCATAAGAATCAAGGCACAGACGGCGACCTTATCCGAAAATGCGGTACAGTCGAGGAAAGGGTCATCAAATGCATGTTGCAGAACAAAACTCACTTGCTCGCATCGCTAACGCGGGGCTCCGGTTGGAAACCTTGAAAAATGGGGCGTGGGTCTGTGGGGCGGGATATCTTCGGCTTGCGTACGGCCACTGAGCTGGTGCTGCTTCGAGGTTCACTTGCACCCGACGCCAAGCGTGGATCAGATGGCTTTCGGAACCATCTTGAAGGCTTGGAGAGGAGATGAGCAAACCCAGATGGAGAATTAGAACGTGCTTGAGGAAATTGCAAGTAGGCGGGAGAGGAGGGGGTAGAAGAAGAATGCACTGTGGCATCCTGGGGGCTCAAAGAACTGAGAGCAGGAGTGCCACGTCGAGGCGGCATATCTAGACAATTAAAAACGAGCGATTGAGAGCCTTGAGGGACTGGATTGTGTTACAACGATTAGGGCGTTCTGCTGGTCAAACGATCAGCTCAACGCCGTAGATCAGCCTGTCACTATTGAACACGACGAGCAACGCACCTGCTTATCGCTATCCTAGCCAACCTCATGCAAAGCTCATGAGGCGTGACAGTTAAGAGAGAGGATGAAATGGGAAACGGAGCAAACGGACATAAGTACTTTCACTCAAGTTGTCAATCTGGACAAACTGGGAAAATATAAGGGCGGCGTGTTCATCAACAACTGAACCCTTGATTCAAAAAGATTTCTAAATAGTACTAAATCTGTTTCCACGTATCGTATCCTATTCTACAATCAACACTGGTGGATTCCCTCGAGGCTTAACAGACAACGGCCTTGATGTCACATTAGCCGCGAACTCAATTGAAGAAGGGGACCGCATGGTCACCCGCGTTTGTAATATGATTCTCGAATCTCGAGGAAGGAAGTAACGGAATGTTTGATGGCATCCCATCGTGATATGATCCTAAGGCGCAGGTTACGCTATCCTTCTCAGACAACGAATCGAACGTACTTTTTGTTTGCAAAACGGCTCAAAATTGACCACTCTGTCAGCCATGTTCAGGTCCTTTCCGGTGTTTTAGGCGTTCCCAATCACCCACAATCAAAACCGTGTGCGTCCAAACGTCCGCATGATCAGAAGTCGAAGACGGCGTGCCATTTATACAGTCCTATCGCATCCGCCGGGATGACGCAGTGCGACGTCGATCCCGACACCCAATATTAAAATCTGTTCACTACCATCTGGTCACGGTAACCAGGTATATAAAACGCAAAGGCCAATCGAAGGTCATATACTCGGACGTTATTGCCAGGAAGTTCATTCAGATGGAAGCAGCGGATGCAACTCTATGAAACGCACGCTGCCAGTGTTGAGGATTCTCCGAGGAGCACATCTCGTAAATAACCACGCTCTGAGTCAATCTTTGACCGGAGTTCAGGTGACAGGACTCCACTTACATATATCAGTGAGAACCGGCGCCAAAAACTGTCAAAGGTTGTTCGCTCGCACAGGTTTCCTTCCATACCGTCCGTCATGATGATAACAATGATAGCATCACTGCGCAAATAGCCCAGGTCCCAGGCTCACCACCTGTCTCCGAATTCACTGTTTAGTAAAATATTAAGGTGGGCTAAACGCGTGCTGCGCGCTTTCTGGCCCAAAAGAGTGAGTACCAGTAACTTGGCATAAGAAAAAGAGAGGTGAGCTGCGAGGGTGGGCCCCGGGATAATTGTGGCATAAAAGCAAAACCCTGTCCGCCGTGTCTAGACCATTGTAAAATGTTCCTAACACTCGTGCCTCAGTACGTTCTCGCCACGTAATAGAGTCTGAGCGTTCAGCTCACCCTGAAGCAGACCTGAAGTCTGGGCCATTCAGGGTCACTTGAGTATGTATGAGTCACGGCGACCATCCAAACTCGCCTCACACAATACATATGTAGATTCTCATTTACCGTTGTGCGCAAAGATTTTCAATTGTAAATGCATCCTCCACGATCCTCATCATTTCGTAAGTGGCGGAGTTCTCGTTCTCCTTGTGATGGATCAAACAGCAGACATCAAACTGGAGTTCTATTGGTATTACATACAGCGGGGACTACACTGCTTTCCGAACGTTTCCGTGACCTATTGAACACGACCTCACGCACCATCCTTAACAGCGAGCCAAGCAGGCCTGTTAGAGATGTCCTTCCACCACCTACGTATCGAATGATTAAATAATTTCCACGGTAGCTGGTATCTCAGCTCTTACCTCGCAAGGTGAGGCCTGCTCTCAAATACCTCAGCAAATCCAGCTCCATAAAACGCAGTGCCATACGGCAAGTGCGCCAAATCAGCAAGCGTGACAGACTAAATTTAGATAGTATTAGTTCACAGCCAGGGTAGGACTAAAAAACGAGACGCACGTCACCAGCAAGGTACTTCTGTTTGCTAAGGATCAAGTCATACGCATCCAACTTGGGTTGGAGATTAGCCAACAACTCGCTGACACGCTCCTCATTTGGTTGCAAACCACGGCGCCTAGATAAATCGTCTAAGCTACATCAAGTCGAGAAAGAAGACTGCTCACGGATTGAACACTCTTTCAGCGACAATTGGCGCGACAAATGCGGTGAAGTTGAACGACTCGATCGAAGCTGCTTGTTCGAACAAGGCCTCAGCCTTGGGGTCGCTCGGAATCAAGGGAGCGCCCTGGTTGGGGTATTTCTTGATGAGGTATCTTGCGATCGCGCGGGACTCGTATAGAATGAACCCATCATCGTCCTTCAAGGGTGCACCTGAGCATACAACATATATCTAATCACAAGCCGACTCACGATGTATGGGACCTGTCCGAAAGGCTGATTCGCGACGAAACCCGGGTGCTTATGTTCACCTTTGGCCAAGTTGACAGGGATCAACTCATATGAGATATCCTTCTCCTTGCAGACAAGAGCGACAAGGCGCGTGCATGTGGAAGAGGCAAAGCCGTATAACTTGACCATCTTGTGAGATTAAATGTGAGTGAGGATGGAGGGCGTTTGAATGATGGACTTGGATGAACGGATGATTATTTATACCTGGATGAAATGCGTATGGATGATGAATCGATGACGACAGAGTATTGCACATGCTGAATAATTGACTGCGATATTTGTCTTCGCACTAGTAGCGCCGATTCAGGAATGGGTTCGTTACTACTTGAATGGAGGTCCCGGGAAGCATACAAGTACCATAGCAGTGCAATCTCGATCTTGCTTGAGTAAGTGTGTGTCAGTAGGCTATGCGGGGTTTCGAAAGTAGTAGGGGAAGGTTTAAGAGCGATTCAAATTGACTTGGATCCTCCGAGTCCTCCGGCGAGCTGGCCAGTTATCACCGTGTGACACTTGTACGATTAGTATTGGGTGCCTGCTTTATGTCGTGAGCTATGGCCTTGGTATTTCCGGTTGACCCCAGGGAAGGTGCTTTGCTTTGCATTGTCAACGAACAGTACCATCCATGGTGAGCGTAGCAGTGAAGGACATGGGAAAGCGCGGGGATTACTAGGCATTCCAAAATTAGATTTACCCCTAGCAAGGGGGAAATTACAATCGAAGGATTCAAATATTATACACAAGCACGATGAATCCGGGGCAGACAGTCCTGGAGTGAGTGGTTGCTTGAATCTTTGAAGGTTAATATTCATCTGCTGCACGACCTCGACGTCTGCCTGCTTATCGGCTACCCCAAGATCGAATCCCACATCCTAGATCGTCGTACGTCATCACTATCTATTCGATCTTGTTTTCCCAACCAGAGTCGGTGTTCTTAGTGGTCCCCCACACGAAGCCGCCCTCGCCCCTCCTCAGAACCTCAAGGAAGCACACTTCTCAGCCGTTTATTCCACCGCCGCAACCGCAACCCCTCCAGCGCCCACCCTCTCAACTGGGATCAAAACCTCTTGAAACTGCGCGGATGGTAAAGTGGTGAAGGCATGCCGCATCAAGTTACAAGGGCAGAGCCCTTCCATATACAAAGGACAAACGTCTATGTGGGGTTTACCAGGCATTCCAAAATTAGATTTTCGTTTATAGACTTGTTTAGTATCACTTCCATTATACGTACTTCAGAAACACGGTCAAAACATGTCGACTAACACACTCCCGCTTGCATGATACGTTCAAAGCTCTGGAAAACATCAGGCAGGTATGAATACCTGCACTGGTACTCTCGGAATGACTTGGTTCTACATCCTTTTCAGGCTGCACGCTGATCGACACCATGACAAAATCCAAGAAGAAAAGACAGTACATTAGCCCAGACAGGATCGATTAAGTAGGAGTATACGGTAGAACAATTACTGATTACTGATGACGGACAGGAACTACAGGAAGATGCACATAAGGTTGGAACACAGAACGATAGGGATACTACTGTAAGATAACGCCAGAGGACTACATCAGTCTAAGAGACATCAGGGGACACACATGACGTTTTGGCTGGCCGACCAACCCCCCTCAATGCACAATTTGTCAATTACTAGCGATTTGTCTCCATACCTGACAACAGACTTTGCATCCTGGCAGCCCGGCTTTTCAAGAGTATGTCTTCGAAAGGCATCATCCCGCGAGAGGGAAGCCCCGCATATCGAACAAATCTGTCGTACTTCAAGGTGTGAAAGTATATGACGTGGGAGGTTCCCTGGTTTCGTTCGGGCATCGACACAACCCGTCCAAAGACAGGGAATTTTTTGCGTGTCCTCGCTCGTAGCGCTGATGTTGATACCATGATGTTTCTGTAGATGTTTGGATATCTGCTTGAGCTCGACACCGATGTGCATCGTGCAGCCGGGCCAGTTACATGGGTGCACTATGACCTCGTCGTTCTGGTCGCGGAGGATTTCCTGGTCAATCAGGATGGGATTCACCCCTTTTTGCTCCAGGAGCATATCATGGATCATGGAAAATTCAGACCAGCTGAAATGGAAATGAGGGATGGTATAAAGAAATGACGGAGAATGTCACCACTAACCGATTTGCGTTCATATTAGATGAGAGAAGTGTTGGTTTGTGTGTCTTCTGGGTTCTGCAGATGAGTCGCTTTTAACATGCTTCATCTCTGGCGCTGTTCCCCACCGCAGCTCGATAAGAGGCACGAGTATTGGCTGGAATTGCCAGAGTTCCACTGAACTCTTGGGTTTGTGCAATTCCGCTACAATGGTGGTGGAAGGGATAGATTGGTTACGCGCTGTGTCGTTGCAACCTTCAAACAGGAAAGTTGAAAGGATGATAATCACTTTTGGTCAGTATGCCAATGTTGCTATACCAGAACGGATCAACACAAGTAACCCGGTTACTAAATCGTTTTCACGTTGGAAGGTTTTCTGAAGTGAACTCTGTACATGACGGGCGTTTATGCTGGAAAGCCTTCGTGGCACCCGGGCATATCAATCTTTGATCCGTTGATTGGGACGCGGTTAACAGCCACCCGACTGGCACGTCCCTCGAAAGTTCACTGAGATCCCAAGGTGCAGTGGACGAAACAACCAGCTGCAGATACAGTACACAGACCTAGACGAATGACCTGTCTCTCAAAGGAGCAATTGTTAGCACGTGTCATTAGCGAAATAACGAACAGTTTGGTATCTACGTCATGTCTCACGTACGTGTTATGACGTCTCGAAGGGGCCAAGTGTACCGAAGTAATCGGCACGGTGGAGGGATCTGTTTTCAGTGTGAAGCTTGCGACCTGTGACATGAGATATGTATCAATCGGACCGAGTTTGGACCGACGAGGCCAGACCCGACAAAGTGACTGCCAGCACCGGTGTGATGTCCGACGTAATAGTTGATTCACAATAACCGGCGATAATATTTCCTTCCTCCAGATCCGGATCCGTTGCACCATGGAGACAAACGATCGTATGTCAGTCTGCCTCGAGTGAAAGTGCTGTGGTAACTTGGCCATGATAGCGCAGCGTTGGGGAAGGCGAGGAACCAATGAAACTGGAACAAACAAAAAAGCAGTGCCAAGGACTGATAGCGCAAACTATAGCGTGGAGGTAGGCATCCCGCGGAAGTGCATGTGATGCCCGGATGTGCTTCTATTATGGAAGGGCAGCACGGTGGTGATCCGTGGTGAACACGCGTCCCAGATCACAGTGGCTCAGTCACTTCGGATGAGCGCTTGGCATTGATGGCAGAAGATTCAGCAATTTGAATCACTTCAGATCGAAGCCTGCTGAGCGCTGAGCATTTGGCGCGCGGACGACGGAACCGTCGGATTGGATTCAGAGGCCTCTACAGCAAATGCGTTGCTAGGAAGATATAGACCAGCATGAGGCATGGGGCGTGAGGCATGTGCATAAACTATCAGGGATCTTGGCGAGAGATTTAGTTGAGTGCGTGCAAACGCTGGAGCTGTACAGGCATGCTAGATAGACGCTTGAGCTTGCAACTGGAAGTGCACAGCATTACTAATACAATCCGACAAAGTCATTTGTATAATCGGCTACCCTCGGGCTGCACAAAGCGCCCTCAAGGCCTCACTCCTACTGCAAGGAAGCACGCTTCTCAGCCGTTTATTCCATCGCAACCACAGGCCTTCCAGTGCCCATGATACGTCATCGTCTTCCCTTCTTGACTGGGCTCGAAACGGCGCGGACAAAGTGAAGGCATCGATTTGCAATGGCACAGTCCTGCAATTGTTGAAGTTTCATATACAAAGGGCAAACGTGTACGTTCTTTCTCTTTCTCAGTTCAAGTCCACCTAATCATTATCACGTAGAGAAACGCTTAAATCGTGTTCTCACCCATCTGCTACATCTATGGCTGGTACCACACCTAGTTAGCTTTCAACAACCTGGTGGAACAACTCCGTGAATGAGCGACGCTGCGCGTAGATTTTGGGTTGCCTGTGAAGTATGACTTGATGCACATTGAGTAGATGATAAACTCCCAAGATTTCAATTTCGCTGCAAGTCAGCCGCACGATCATGTGATACCACAACACAAGTAGCATAGGTCTCGTTTCCTTTGTGACGAAGACATCAAACTGGACTCCTATTGGTATTACATACAACGGGACTGCACTGCTTTCCGAACGTTTCCGTGACCTATTGAACACGACCTCACGCACCATCCTTGACGGCGAGCCAAGCAGGCCTGTTAGAGATGTCCTTCCACCACCTGCGTATTGAATGATTAAATGATATCCACGATAGCTGGCATCTCAGCTCTTACCTCGCAACGTTAGGTCTGCTGTCAAACACTTCAGCAAAGCCAGCTCCGTAAAACGCAGTGCCATATGGCAAGTGCGCCAAATCAGCGAGCGTGACAGACTGAATATCCGGTAGGTGCTGTTAGTTCACAGCCAAAGTAGGACTAAAAATGAGACGCACGTCACCAGCAAGGTACTTCTGTTTGCCGAGTATCACGTCAGTACGCATCTAACTTGGGCAGGAGACTGGCCAACAGCTCGCTAACACGCTCCTCATTTGGTTGCAAACCACGGCGCCTTGAAAAAACATTACAACATACGTTAGATCGAGAAAGACGACTACTCACGGCTTGAACACTTTTTCAGCGACAATTAACGAGACAAAGGCGCTGAAGTTGAACGTCTCGATCGAAGCTGCTTGTTCAAACAGGGCCTCAGCCTTGGGGTCGCTGGGAATCAAGGGAGTGCCCTGGTTAGGGTATTTCTTGATGAGGTATCTTGCGATCGCGCGGGACTCGTATAGCAGGAACCCGTCGTCATCCTTTGGGGGCGCTAATCAGCGAATGACATAGATCTGATCACGACTTGACTTACGATGTATGGGACCTGTCCGAATGGCTGAACTGCCACAAAAGACGGGTCCTTCTGTTCACCTTTGGCCAAGTTGATGTTGGTCAACTCATATGGGATTTCCTTCTCCTTGCAGACGAGAGCGACAAGGCGCGTGCATGTGGAATAGGCGAAACCGTACAACTTAACCATTGTGTCAGATATTACAACTTGGGGTGATGGTGGTATATGATCGAAGGTGTTTCAGTTGGATGGTGGGTATCGATGAACGCATGATCCTTTATACCTACGGAAATCTGCCACATCAATGATTACGATAAGATCACATGTACAGTGCTGAGCAACCTGATCTAGTTGTCTTCGCATCAATAACGCCATTTCAGGAAAGGATTCGTTACTTGATTAGTAGGTCCTTGCTTTTACAAAGCTCATCAAAATTTAATGGGAAGGAGCATAAAAGTACTAGCTGCCTAGCAGTGCACGTTAAGATGAGGCCCGGTAACTGCGATGTCAGTGACTGCTATGCGGGGCTGGTAAACTCGCAAACACAAAGTAGCAGATGACAAGTATAGCAATTCAGACATTCTTGGATGCTCCTCCGTGGCCACTGGCTAGTCACTCCTCAACTGTGTAACAGGCGGCTTGTACGACTGGTTGGCGACTGCTTAGTGTCGTACGCCAGAGTGACCAAGGCCCGATCGAGGCTCACTTGGATCACAGTTTGTTGTCGTGGAGAAGCGCGGGGATCGCCAGGCATTGTGGTAATTGAGCGCTTCTAAGACTTTCTAGGACAAGATGAGGCGGGTTGCTGACTGATTCTGACTAATTGTTGATGACTAGTGGACTAGTGAGCGCCAGCGAGCCATAGCCTCCAAACTACCAATAGCCATGGAGATATCAGATGATTACTATTCATGAGTCAGCATCCTTGTCATCTGGTGAACTAAACGTGACCTTAAGCTCCCGATCAACCGAATCAACACTTGATGCTTCTTAATCGATCCATGGGCCAAGCTCGAAAGGCGTACCCTCTCCCCCCATAATCAGGTGGTACCCCGATTATATACCTTCCTTCGACACCAATCCATGCGAGGCATGAAAAAACAGCTCCACGGGGATCTCGATCGTCAGGATAGCTTTAAAACAGGCAGCACCTCGTCAATGGATTCCATCAACGTATGAAGCAATTGATTTGAAGCGCCACCTATTTTGACGGCTGGTGGTCTGTAATTCCGACAGGACTAGTCAGGAGTAGGGCGGAAGAGGTACTAGTATTTACTGACTACTTAGCCTGCCTAGCAGTCGCAGGTTGACGATGATGACAAACATCACGTGCACTTTTCGAACTGACAAGTCGGTCCTGCTAGCAGAATATCATCTTCTTAATAGTGAACCACGTCCCCAATGCACTGGCGACTCTTTCCGAGTCCCCTGTCACTCTGACTAACTCCTAAGTCGTCGTCTATCACGGTACAACGCGACCTTAGACCTGCTAGAGTTCGGGGCTAGTGACGTGGGACAAGAACGCAATTAATGGTGAAATTTCAGTGATATGCTTCCTCCGCCTGATTTATCATACTTGATTTCTCCAGCCATTCCTGAGATATCTCGATCAGTTGGTGGCTTCAAAATTTCAGGGTTGGAACTTCGAGGGCTGCTTGCCGCATTCCGCACGGCTTATATCTTTCTAACAGCGTAATCGAAACGAGGGCGTCCACGTTGAATGTCATTCTCCTCTTCTCCGCATCATTTCAGCGTGTAGTGTACACGACTTCAAAATAAACCACGATTATCGGATACGCTTCTCGTTGACCCTCGGAACGTATGGAGGAAGCATATGCCAAGAGCATGACTACTTCAACCATGGTCAGATGGTATTGTTTATGCGAGTAATATAACACCGATATTTTTCCTAGCTGTGGATAGAAAAGGCATGTATCTTTGTGGAGCAGCCCCCCTTCGAGGCCGCTATGAGAGTCTTTGGTGTGCCATTACTGTGCGGGGCTTTGTTCTCCTACTTTCGCACTGTGAAATCATCCCTCGTCACATTTCCATCTGCTGTCCTTCCACTGAGTAGTCTCTTCAATAACCAAGCTGCTTCGCTAGATGGCACCACTGGCAACTTTGACGGGTATGGTGCTACATATGCAGCAGAGTATTTACCTGAGGGCCCGTGGTTGTATAATGGAATCTCGGTGAGGATCACGATGACGAGTTGTTTATTCACTCAACGATCTTCAGTATGACCTGCCATCGACTTGGGGACAGAGCCAAGACAATGTCATTGCTGAAGGACAAGTTGTGAAACTCTTGAACGCAACTTATGTTCATGAGTTGCACATCGTATATGCAGGGGATAGTTCGGGTAGGAAGTACAGTCAACCATCCGCATCCTCTGACGCGTCGACTTGAATTCATAGGCGGAATAGCTGGAACGTTCAGCCTGAACTACGCGGATAACTCAGTTAAGTACTTGAAATGTTAGTTTCCCTTGACTCCCTGCGCGGACTCTGCCAGCTCATTCCCAGCCTTTAGTCACCGGGAAAGGCTGGTGGAAATGGGCTTCTCTCGATTTTGCAGAAATCCGAACGTAAAAAACGTACATCGTCTTTGCTAACTCATGCTGACCATTGACCTACAACAGACCATATCATTTCGAAGAATATTCATCCAGTAAGAACTGGAATTCCAGCCACGTGTACCAAATATCGCTATCCGTACCATCTCGTGCGCCGCTTGAAAGCATCACGCTCCCAGACACGTCTTCTACTTCGAACAGACTCCATATATTCGCACTCTCTATGACACCTTCTTTTGAACCCTCCTGTAGCCTTCTGGTGCCCCAGATCTCTGTTCGTAGTGCCCAGTTCAGCACGAGGTGGGAGGACGTCAACGGGCAGCGAGCTCAAGCCGTCGCCATCACCCTTGCGAATCTACTCCCAGGGAATTACGCGACCTCTTCGAACGCATCCATACACCCGCGGTATGAAATCTCAGTAGCAGGCGAGGGGGTCTCCACAGTCACGCCTGGCCTCGTGTATCGCCTGGCCTCTGCAGACCAGGCTCGCGTAGACGTCCTTGTTCTCAACAATGAGGGGACGGGAAATGCGACAGTCACAATCAAAGATGAATTTGGGAATATCGTTGGGACTTCCGTGGGCTGGCCCATCATCCCGCTGCGGACTGAATGGACAGCGGATGCTGATGTACTGGGCACACGTGAGACGCCCACTTGGTGGAACCAGGCGAAGTATGGAATCTTGTAAGTACCAGGCGATTCCTGGGGATTCAAATGATCTGTGGACTCATGCATTCGCAGTATTCACTGGGGTATTTACAGCGTCCCCGCTTGGGTAAGTATGTTTGTGTTGTCGGTGACGTTCACATTGGTTGATGCATTTTAGATAGGGTCCACCTAGTTCATATGCAGAATGGTATAAGTAAGAAGGTTCCACATCATACACAGCAGGCCGTTCTAATACAAGAGCAGCTGGGATCTCCATAATCCTCCGAACTCCAGCTCGAAGACATGGGTACATCACCTGGATACTTATGGGAAGGTAACCATAATGAACTTTCAGTCAGTATTAACGTTCATGCCTGTGGACTGCAGGATGTCGTATACGATGACTTTATTGCAAACTTCACGGCGTCTACTTGGAATCCCAGTGCTTGGTTAGATCTGTTTACCGAAGCTGGGGCGAAGTACTTTGTTATTGTTACTGTGCGAACTGCTCTTTATTATTTGTCAATAAAGTCTGACTGTGTCGTATTGCAGAAACATCACGACGGTTATGGGTTGTTTGATACAAAAAATACCACACACAGAAGTAGTGTACACCTTAACCCACATCGTGACTTTGTGAAAGAGCTCATGGACACCGCCAAATCCGATTATCCCGACATGCATCGCGGAACGTATTACTCACTTCCCGAGTGGTAAGAGTATTGATACCGCGAGTATGGCTCCTGTTTCTAATCTCCCGCAGGTTCAATCCAGACTACTCCAAGTATGGGTTCGGTTCATGGCCAGGCAACTTGGCGCACAACGCATTCAATACGTCTGAGCTGGAGCCTTATACTGGAATATTGAATATAAGCGACTACATCGAGGATTTGCAATACCCCCAGATACTGTCTTTGGCGCTGGACTATGACACGGAAATCATGGTAAGCTCGTTGTTAGCCTGACTTCTCAGCATGCGCTGACAGGGGCTAGTGGTGCGACATCGGAGGCCCCAATAAGACGTTGGATTTTGCTGCACAATTCTATAACAATGCAATGCAGAATGGCTATCAGGTTACCTTGAATGACCGTAGGTTGTCTTCGCCTGCGCACTGTGAAGCATGTCTGACGTAACACCCACTTAAGGTTGTGGTGCGGTCCCAGACTTTGACACACCGGAGTATGCGACGTTCGGTTCCCTGTCTACTCGCAGCTGGGAGACGAGCGAAGGGATGGACCCGAATAGTTACGGTTTGAATACTGCCACCAATGCGAGCGAGTACAAGAATGGAACGACCATCATCCAAACACTGGTCGATGTTGTGAGCAAGAATGGAAACTAGTGAGGAATAGCATCCATCGTCTTGCTAGTTATTTTATCTCATTTCACAGTTTACTCGATGTCGGTCCCACCGCGGAGGGCGACATCATTGCACCAATGGCAGACAACCTCCTCGCTGCTGGCAAATGGCTGAAGTATGCAGGTGACTGTGTCTATGCAACGGTAAGTTACGAACACCCCTTTGGCATTCCTTTATTTAGATGAAACGTGTGCGCACCAGGATTACTGGTACCAAGCGTCCCAAGATCCGACTGGGATCATTTAGGTTCCTCACCACGCCGAAAACATTTTGCATCATCGCATTCAACAAGCCGAGCGATGGGCAATTCACAGTAGATGCGGGTGGCGCAGCGCTACCAATTCAAGAGGGAGACAATATTGTGCTGCTGGGACCATCAAGGAATTCGCAGAGCCTTCAGTGGAACATTGATGAGTCGGGTGTCTTGACCGTCGTAGTGCCTCAGGATCAAGTCGACCAGGTAGATTATGCCTGGGCATTCCAGGTGACATATTCCGGGTGAATGTAGGGATGGTCCAACGCCTGCAAAGCTCAGACATCCACTGGTAACCTACATAGTAGAGGATGCCACACGCATTGTAGTTATCAGCGTGTCACGTGTTTGATGCTCCGAGTCACGGGCGCTGTGATTTTTTTTGTTCCTTGGGTCCATCCATAACTGTGTACATATCACGCCATACAATGATGTGTGGACGTTGCCAGTCTCATTGACCAACTGGTCTTTTTCCGACCACACTATGCCTTGTAAATGAGGTGCTTTATTGCGTTATCTCATTCTTCTTCATTACCGATTGAAGTGAACTAATAATTGACGTTAATCCACTACAGCAGCTTCCTTTGACATCACCTATAAAATCTAACGTACAGCAAAACAATCTTTCAGTCGCTTAATCCCCAAATATCTCCATCATGTCTTTGCAATCTGCGCATTGCACTGTCGGAACGCTCGGTCTGACCGTCTCTCCTGATACACCAAACCTAACATCAATCACCGGTTACGGCCACTACTACACGTCTCCAGAACCCTCTCAGCTAGCCGGCGCAGGAGGAAAAGATATGCCTTTGAACCTATCTTTTGAAATTGCAGAAGATGATGAGGGTATTTTCATCTCGAAGGCAGCAGCGGTTTGGCAGGGTGCTATGCCCAAGAGAGCCATCATTCCTCTTCCTGCTCGAGCACGCGTGATGCTCACAGGCACTGTTCAAGGCCATGCCACTACTCGTCTGGTCGATCCCATTTCCTGCGATGGCACCACCATGTCACACGACATGCAAATTTGCACCGATGAAGTGGCGCAAGAGCAGCAAGATATGCCCGACATGTTTCAGAGTATCTCGGCGACACCAGGTCTTCGATCATGGAGTTTTGAGGTACGTCTGCTTTCTTGTCAACATTGGTTATATCACTGACCTATTTGTCCAGGAACTCCGTACAGAATGCTACTCGCAATCTCGTCTTGCGACTGGCGTCGCTCCTCGAGCAGTTCCTCCTGGCGCGCCATCCTGGATGATCATTCCCCCAGCCTTCACTCCCTACAAAGTGATGATTTAGTTTAGATACTTCCAATTGTGCGGTAGTTATGCGTGGTAGTTCGATCTCAAGTGTGTACAAGGTTATAATGTGTAATACTATGTAAACCATATAGTTATCCATCGTTCTATTCAGTTATATATTCGTGCCTAGATATCCAGTCTCTATCAAAGAGTGATCATGCCATCTCTTCCGCGATATTGGCGTATGTTTCATCTGACTGGACCGCTCTCTCGAAATGTCTCCGTCCCTCATGCAGCACAAAAGACGTTGCAGCTATGAGTAAGATGGTCAAGATGTCCTTCTCACCAAGAGCATCTGTCTGGAAGATCGCTTGCATGAAAGGAACATAAACGAGTGCCAACTGGACGAGGAATGACACCGATACGGTTGTCACAAGCATCTTGTTTTGTATCAGGCCACATCCGAGACCGCGGTTCTGCACTGCAGACACGAGGTCAAGGAAGACAAAGCATGTGAAAGTCTATTCAACATGTAAGTTGTGGTAAGCAGAATTCAGGAGTCCAAAAACCGACCATGGTTTGTTCTCGCCTCGAAACAAGATCATCGCCAAGCGCAACGGTGTAGATGTAAGAGGTTCCGCAGACGATGGTAGCAGCAGAGAAAAGGACGCGGTATAACAGGCGCTTGGTTATTATCGGCTCGTTTTTCTTCCGTGGAGGTCTTCGCATGACTGCCGGATCTACTGGGTCGACACCTAACGATTGACTTGGAGGACCTGGAGCCAAATAAGACATTCGCTATTCGAGAGCGACCCAGAGAACGTACCGTCCATCAAAATATTGATAAAAAGTATCTGCATAGCGTTGAGTGGGTTGCTGAACCCAAACAGCGTACTAAGTGTAATGAGCGTCAATGCAGCGGCAGCTGTGCTGAGCTGGAAAGATAAGAAGTTTTGGATGTTGTGAAAGATAGATTTGCCTTTGGAAGCACTTTCAATAGTTACGTGACCATGATTTGAAGAGCAAATCACTTACCCTCCTCGACAGCAGGTAATATTGTGCTGAAATTGTCATCCACGAGGATAGCATCAGCGGCTTCTTTCGCAACGTCGGTACCACTTTTTCCCATCGACACACCAATGTCAGCCATTTTAAGCGCTGGCGCGTCATTGACTAGCGAAACAGGCCGAAGAAAAGTAGGCAAAATTATATAAGCCTACTCATGGCATGATATGGACAGCACTCACCCCCGTCCCCAGTCATAGCCACAACAGCTCCACGAGCTTGAAAGGCTTCGACAATCGCCATTTTGTGTCGCGGTGTCGTCCGCGCGAACACGCTCACGCTGCCTACCCGCTCGATGAGCTGTGATTTGCTCATCTGGTCGAGATCCTTTCCAGTCAAGCAATATTTGCGGAGCTGGCTGTCGTGAGCATGTACAGGACCAACGCGGAGCCCCAGCTTTTGAGCGATAGCTAAGGCTGTCTGCTCAGCGTCTCCGGTGATCATAACAACTTGTACCCCGCCGTTCTGAAGCAAGCCGATAGCATCCGCGACTCCCTTGCGTGGGGGATCAAACATGGCCTGGAACCCAACAAAGACCAGATTGGTCTTGTCCTCATCGGGCACTGGGATCCGCGACATCGGCACTGACTGGGTGGTGCGGTGCAGCGGTTGTGCAGAATCCTGGCGTGGAGAATCGATAGATCCGTATCCATACGCCATGGCAATCACCCGAAGGCCTCGCGATGCTGTTGCTTGAGCGTTATTCAGTATGACGCTGCGCGTGCCAGCGTCTAAGGTAGGTGTTGAACCATCCGTGATAAAGTAGTACTTGCAACGATCCAAGATGGCGTCAATAGATCCCTTGATGTAGTATATTTCGCTAGGAGAGCCTGAATAGATAGTTGTATGGTAGGAGTGAATACCGCTGACAGCCATGTACTTTTGCTTCTGAGTTGAAAGGTTTTTCGAAAGACGGGTGAAGGACTTGAGCCAATTTCAGTATAAAATACTGATGACGTCGTTGCTATACACATACCTGCCGTTGATCTGGTATATTGAATGAGGACAGAACATTTATCAACGCCACGTCGGTCGATTGTCCAACGTATTTGCCCTCGCCATCCTTAGACATCGAGGAATTGTTGCACAAAGAGCCGATTTCCAGAAGCTTCCTAACTGCCGGAGATATTGTTGACCGAGGGTCATCGACGTGAATGTTCTCATCGACGACATACATCTCTGTAACTGTTTGTTCATTCTTTGTCAGGTGCCTGTAACATTAATTGTAACAAAAGACAAAGGTAATGCAATTATTAACTGACCGGTCTTGTCAGAACAAATGACAGAAATGCAGCCCAAAGCTTCGACGGAATGAAGTTTTTTGACGATGGCCTTTCTCTTTGACATCCTTAGCACACCAAGAGCTAATGTGACAGTCGTGACGATGGGGAGGCCCTCCGGGATGGCTGCCACCGCAAGAGATACTGCACACAAAGTTAAACGAGTAAAGGTGTCGTGAATGGAATAAGCTACCTCCGATGGTGAACATGTCCAACCAGGGCCGCTGCTGCCACATGCCAATGAGGCAAATGACTCCAATAATGCCGAAGGATATAACCGACAACTTCTTGGCCAGCTCATCCATGCTCAATTGAAGGGGCGTACGTTTTTCCTCGACCTGGTTGGAGCTAAGCATGCTCCTGATTAAGAGCTCAAAAGACACCTACATCTTGCATCATGGAAAAGATCACACCAAACTCTGTTTGAGCACCAGTTGCGATCACGACACCCACGCCGCGACCTTAAAGTAGTGGGGGGACTAAGCTCGCAGCAGATCCCGCTCTTAGTATTGACTCACCGTTTCGAACCAAAGTTCCCATGTATCCGATACATGATCGTTCAGCTAGCTCGATATCTCCCGAGTCCTCTGGGCTACTCGAAACAGTTGTAGACATAGAAACTTGAGAGACGCAAGGATTGGAATCCTTTCGACGTGCGTTGGTTTCACCAGTCAGACTACTCTCGTCAATCTCGAGGTCTACTGCCGTGATAATACGCATGTCCGCAGGAACACGATCTCCCGATGAGAGCGCAACAATATCTCCAGGAACCAGCTCATTGGCAAGAATGTGAATATCACGTTTGTCACTGAAAGTTTGTGAACGTTGAGATAATGGAACATCTGATGGAATATTCATGCCTCACCGGATTACATGGCAGTGGTGTGGTACGAGCTTGTTAAGCGCTTCCAGGCTTTTCTCCGAGCGCTGTTCCTGCACAAAGCCAACTGAGGAAGATGAGATACGTCAATAACATCCCGTAGATGCTCACCAGTCAGTACTATTAGCACTGCTACCGTGATACTGACTGCATCGTCAACGTTTCCCATGACCGCACTAATCACAGCGCTGCCGCATAGTAGCAGGATCAGTGGGCTCTCGTAAATGATCTTAGCAAATTTGAGTAGAGCTGGTTCAGGTATAGATACGGAGAATTCATTAAATCCATGGAAATCCTGTAGCGATGGAATTGATGAACTAGAAAGACCAGAGACTGGGGACGTTTTGAGGTGTGCCAGAGTGTCCTACAAAAGTAATTCGGTTAGTTCATTGATACTCTGATACCGGAACGGCCGCATCTATTTTTATCCATTTCGAGAAATCCTTTTTTGGGAATTACGCGAAGGAAGGAATATTAAATAAGCGCGATCAGAAGGCACTAAAGAAATCCATGCTTCCATCCTGGATTTCTAGAACATTGCATACATGGGACCACTGCCAGTGGGACACGTACGCAAGATGAACAGATTTGAAGGGGCATACTCACATCAACTGTCCAACGAGCAAAACGCGCAGAAGGAGTCTCCCTTCTGTCTTGGTCCTCTCGAAGTCTCGAGGGCTGACTGACCCGTTCTCCTGGTGACACTAGTTCATAACGGTTTTCTGCAGCCCCACCTGAGAGTCGGCGTGCAAGGACACCCTTTGCCTTCTGCCAGAGGGACGGTAGCCCCTCGCTGGAGGTGACATCACTGAAGTTCGAAGATAGTTGAAGACTGGAGCCTTTAGGATGATGTCTTCTAAGGGTCGTGCTATACGCAAAATGGGTAGAAGCGCCTGGTGCAGGCTGTGGTTCACCATTCTGTATAGCGGACACAGATGGGAAATAGCTAGAAGCTGGTGGCGAAGGGCTTCGTTGGTGTGGATACGAGTATGCCTGGGGCACTGGAGCAGACGAGACCGGTAATATTGAATGAGCGGATGTAGAGACGAAGGAGGACTCTGGAATGATAGAAAGCTCGCTAGCAGTTGCATTGGAGCCGGATGTAGCCATCAGGGATGAGCGTTTGCCAAGTGCACCTGAGAGACTACGGCGTGACTTGGACATCTTGCTCGTTAGTTATCCTTTCTGCTTGGCGTGCGTAGCGTGCTTCCGAAGCCCTACAAGCTTTGTAACTCGACCCGGTGCAATTGGTGGAAACAGAAACGATCCCGGCGGCCATAAATCCTTTTCCTTTTTCGGTTGTACCTTAATATTAAACAACCGCCCGTCTGCCGCTTGATTACAATTTGACTAGTAAGTACTAAGTACTGAATGAACTTGACTACATGTTTACAAGGGGCTTCAACATGAGAACAACGACATCGCCACCCTACCCATTCGTCCAAAGGAGAGGGCTCCTTAATATTATAATAGCAGGAATATCAGGCTCGTTCTCATCTTTCACATTCGACTCGATCTTGGCGCTGATGTCCGCACTATCACCGACCTCAAGCTTCTTGTCTCCTTGGCCGTTCTTTGCAGGTCCTTTCTTGCAAGGTTTGGGAGTTGATGGTCGGTTGGTGTTTATTTTTGGGGGCCATGGTGTCGACTTGGTCTTGGCGCTGATGTCCGCATTATCGCCGATCTCGGTTCATAATCGCTTCGAGTGGAAGCGATTCTGACGATTCTGAGCACCCAAAATCGTAGTTTGAATTACTGACAGAATCACGTCACAACCGCCGACTCTGACTGCCACTATTAAATGCATCAAGGAGCACTCAGCATTTAGCCATTCCCCCACGTGAGTAAATCATCTGCAGGGAACAAAACTGCTCAGGCTATGGTGGTCTACCGGGCCAACCGAATAACGAGTAATGATCTGCCGCTCAGCACCTTCAAGGCTTGGGACTATCTTGAGACCAGTACGGTATACCCTCTTAAGGTGGTCGAGATCCCGTGCGACCATAGTCCGTGTATTGTCACAGTTATAGCTCAATCATGATGTCGCTTCTCCTCATCTGGGATTCCTTTCCCCGTGGCAAGCCAGTGCCAATCATCAAAGGCCTGCTCCAGCATCGGTGGTTGCAATATTTACCCCAGAACTCGGTATCATAGAACCCGACCGGTCAAACACGCAAGGCGATTCACAGGCTAGCAACTCGCGCTCGAGCATAGGGTGTCTGGATAATCCAAGAGCGTGTGTTCAAGAGAACACTGATAACTTCAGTAAGTACATATTTTTAATACAAAGAATGGCTATAATAGATTGTCGTGCTAGAATTGAGGTGAGGGTGTGTTCTAGGTGAGACAACATGATACACAATTAACAAAGATGGGCCTTACTATGGATTCATCGTTTATGTGTGGAGTGTGCACCAAAACACGTAAGTTCATGCTTCGTCTTCGCGTACGTGCGCGTGAATCCTCTTCCACAGCGAGTGCATATAGCCTTAATTTTGCGCAGATGAATGTTGTCCACATGGCGAGTGTGGCTATCTTTCTTGAGAATGCTCGCGCATCCGGGCCATGTGCACTCCACTTTCTCCTGACCGCCGAGCATGATGGGAAGACAAAGGTGCGGGTAGCGTTTGGCTGAAGAGCCAGATGTGGCTTGCCCCTCTGTGACATGCCCATTTACGGATGACTGAAAGGGCGGTGCGACGTGGCTAACCGAACTGGCGAACATTTGGTCTGGGCGTCGTACATGGTAAATATATGAATGTAAGGCTGCGAAGATAGCGAACTCTACCTGGAGAAAGTTGTTCGACAGGAGGGTCTGTCGTGGCATTGACGACCCCAACAGATTCCTGGGATAGAGGACCGTACTCTTGGGGTAGTGCCGATAACGGCGAAATAGTATCGAGATCATTGTCTGCGATGGCCTGAGACTCATTACTGAAGACGACGTGCAAGTTCATGATGCTATCGATGTTGAACTCCGCGGGAAATGGTATGAGTGTGAAGAATCGATAAAGCAGATTGATGCTCAACGCGTGGATTAGCGTCATGTCATAGGGTCAAGAGCTCTTTTATCTTGAGGACTAAGGAACACGAGTTTGTCTGGTACTTGTTCATACAGGTACACGTGAACTCTGTTTCGAAAGATCCCGGAGGCTGAACTTCCTACCCTCAGACAGCTCATTGTAGGTATCAGACCCAGTGAAATTGTATTCATTAGACATCGAGGAGAATGCGGATGGCGCAGCAGCGGGTACATATAAGGGTCATACGCGCACGGTTGAGGCGGGTATGTGTACCAATTCTGGAATTAACACTCACACTTGTAGTAACCCGTCAGGTGCGGCTATATACTGGTATGCCACGGGAACCGGCCAGGATTCCAGAAAACTGGCGGCTATGCAAAGGATCTTCGATAGCTGTTGGCAGAGCCGTGGTTTGAGGGTTGGTGAGGCAGGCACCGAACGCCACTTGTCTCTCCTACTGACCCATCTGTCTGGACTCATGCTCATAGCTCCTCTGCGATCTGTTAGCACCCGGAGGCTGTATCCTATCATAGTGCGCAGAATTAAAAAAGCCGTTCATGTTACTTCGGGGCTTGTTTACGCGTGGGCAAATTCCAAGTGAAGGAAATGAGGACAGGCGAGGGCGCAGGTTACTCTTAGAAGGAAGGGTTGTATTCCTTCGTTTATAAAGGTCTGTTTAGGGGAGACCAAGGTTACTCCGACGGTAGGCACGAAGCAAACGTCGAATACCGCATTCTGAAGTGCGAATGCATGTGATGGACACTCGAAAATAGATGGCGTTAACGAGCTCTTCCAGTCGAGTCGTCGAATAGTCAAAGTTATGGGGACACAGTCTTCGAGATCGACAATATATCGATATATTTTCTTGGTGGTATATTAATTAAATGCGTTTAATGCTGGAGCGAGCGGCGACTTGTTTTACCACTGCCATGCGGCGTGATCTAAGGGGGAAGTGATATTCTGTTGTAAAGGGATAAGGACCTTTCAACCATGTGCATAATGTGCACTTCTTGTTCCAGGAGAACGCGAGAGGGATCTTGATCGGTTTTTCAGAGACATTTTTGACTTGTATTTGTGTAAGCACGCTGGCTTACTACTGATTTGTCACTGACTTGAAGTTAATGGAGAGGGTTTTCACGGACAGGGGCGTTCAGGCACCTGCAAAGGAATCTATGTAAGTTCGTTTGTTTCTTGACCCAAGAAAATTCAAGCCTGATCGATGATCAGTTAGGTCCTATTTTTCGAGTGCGTACGGATGAATCTGGGTGTTCCTCATGTGGTCGAAGCATCACAATCGGTTGTATTTTAACATACATATCGAACGAGAAAATGACAGGCTTTATCCTGCCGAGTCCCAACGATGTGATGCCTGGCTTGTCTGAGCGCGTACTCGGGAACCACAAGCTTGATGTCAAAATGGTATTTGAAGAGGAGTCAGCTGTACTCCAAGAGCATCTTGCAGAGCTCGTGGTGGACGGAACGATAACGGATCTATTGTAACAATGCTTTGAAGGTGGGTGTCTCTGATCCAGATTGTGAGAACATTAATTAGTGGACGAACATTCATATATAGCTGCTCAATAGCTGTTCTCAAAAACCCGTTTTCGGAGAGTGCCCGACACTACCTCGTTGCCTGACCTTGTGGTCCGACATTGAGGACTTCATCCAGTCAATAAATACAACAATCCCGATCTCATTCCAGGCACATACCCCCGGGACTCTTTTTCTGTTTTGGATCAGAGAGTTGAAGATAATAAAGCTGCGAATAAAATGACACTTGTCTGGACAGCCTGCTGTTGTTGACAGTCCAATATTGGAGTCGGTGATTGGCGGCTCGCCGCCGCTACAATGTATGTACTGTCGCTGATACTGAAAGGTAAACTTTCAGTATCCTACGTTTTGGTTATGCGTGTGCAGCGGTCTGACCCACCTACAATTTGAGCGACCAGAGCAATGCGCACCCTGACTCGGAGGGCTCCTAAGGCAAGTGAAATGCAGAAATATCATTACAATTACGATACTATAGCACTATAGAAATACAACCTTCTCATCTATCTATTAGAGGAAGAGTCGGGTTCAAGCATGGCTGGTGACCGGTGGACCCACGACCACAACACACGTATCGAATCATAAATATTCGCCCACGCTGTCCGTGTGGCATAGAATTACAATTTATCGTTCGCTCGAGATATGTCCGCATTAAAGCAATTGTTGTGAGGTTTGATCAGAATTCGACCCCTTGACAAACGTTCACCTCCTGCGCTTCTGGGCCTCTTTCAACCGTCGCAACACCATGCCTGCAGGATTTCACATGTTCGAAATGCCTCACAGAGGCGTCATCGCGAGATAGCCTGGTGCGACATACCGAGCAGCGCCATTTCATCTTGAGATGAGTAACGATGACATGTCGGATGACGTTCTCTCTCTTCATTACCTTTCCACAGCCACCCCAACGGCAAGGGGCCTGCCCCTGACTATGTGCCGCGTGAGCCCTGTGCCACCTCTGCATATGCCTTGCCAATCGTATACGATCGCCCATAACATGCATACCACATTCCTGCCCGTTGTGCGTCCAGCGACAAGGATAAGTGACGACAAGCCCGCCATTAATACTCCTAGTCTCCTTGATGTCTTCTTCATCAAGGACAATCCCGCTGCAGCGCAGAGCTTTTGCAGGCCGGTCGGCATAACTCGACCACGAGGCTCTGCGTCTCCGACGCGGTGATTGGGAAGCAGGTTCATGGCCAGCTGACCCCGTACCAGCCGTCTGTGGACCTATTATAGCGGTTTCATCATGCCGAGAGACCGAATATTGGGGTGTGTTTTCATGTGGAAGGGCCCATGGCATTGGTCTCGATCGAAGGGAAGGAGATTGAAATACAGCGGTCGCGGAGCTGCCTACAGCGTTTACTTGAGGATACCACGAGATGTTGGGTGGTACTTGGGCCGGGAACTGTGGATTTCCTTGCAACATTGCAGTCCTGCAGTCTTCATGCAAGACTTCTAATGAATGGACGGTCCCAGTATGGACTGGTCCATGCACAGGCCACATGAGAGGGTTGCTAGCTGCCACGTGCGAAAGCGGCGAATGAATTGGTTGACATGAATTGTGAGCACATGTCTCGAGTTCCGGAGGTAGAGTTGTAGAGGCACTGGTCGACCAGGCACCGTCGGTAGTCTGAGAAACAGTGGTTGTTGACGCCATGTTGCCAGGGGAAACCACTTGCAAGCCATCATCATCGTGCCGCAATGCGCCATAATAAATAAGTGGGTCGCCCTGAAAATTACGATGACTTCTCGCGAGAAAAGGATCGTCAGATGGTATCATCCCAGTTCTGTTGTTTCGTTCATGAGAGGCGCATGAACAAAGAAGAATCCTGCTCACGGTGCAGTAACAGCATTTATGTGCGACGAGGTGGGGCTAAATAGCAATAATGGCATTGATAATATGAGGAATTAGCCAAACAGCAAAGAGACCCAGCGTACAACAACCATGGTGGTTCGACATCGAGCAAGGATGAAGATCTTGGGGGATTCAGAGACATTGTTTCCTGACCAGGTGGACAATTGAGGGGTTCCCAACCGCTGTGACAATGCATGATGAGCAACTCAAAGAGGGAATAGATTGCTAGGCAATAAAGGCGTACCAGGATTCAGAGAAGGGTCTTTCTTTGAAAGACATGGGAGTAGTAGTGTAGATCTGGTTTTCAAAATACCGCTAATGAGTCGTACTTGTGAGCCAGTATGAACCAAAGCGGTAAAGAAGGAACGTTTTATACTTGTAAGGTTGTAGTTTTTAGGCCACACTCTGCGATGTGTGAAAGGATAAAGAAGCACTATTTGGCCCATTCCGTGTACACTTCACTTTCCTGTACGGAAATATCGGGCAGGAGGTTCATCCATTATGTTTTCCACCAGTAATACGGCCATTTGACAAACATCTAGGCAGCTGTTTCAGTCTTATTGTAGAGATATGAATCGACTTTCAATAAGATGGAGCTGTAACCAATGCAATCCAACGAGTCAGTGCGCAAGACTGTGAGCGATCGGTCCATAAAGTCTAGTTATGGTTAATAGTGAAATGTGACGCCAGGAGGTTCATAACGGCCATTTGACATGCCACAAAATGTGAAATTCGAGGTCTGCCACGCCGCGATCGCGTTAAAGCCGAGGCGTAACGCTTCCACGTGGCTACGTGTTCCGGTCCGGCTCATATAACTCCAAAATTTGGCCTGATAATGAGCAGCACAGCAAGACGTACACGATTTAGGAGGTGGTGATGGGCATTCGTGAGAAGCTCCGAGTTTACAGGAGAATGAGCTATGGAGGAAGTGGCAGAGCGCCCGTTGATATGACAGTGTCCGAAGGATAACAAGCCCAAATGAGATGAAGCGGGAATAAGACTAGTGCTTCGCGTAGAGTGCCGAGCTTGCACGAAAAAAGTTGGTCCTTGTAAAATTGTGGACGTTGTTTGGCAAAAGCTTCTGATCCAAACAGCCGCAATGGTTGCAATATTCTCACGCTGCTACTCGAACCACGAGTTGAGGAGTCTGAATCTTGTGTGGAAAACCCATGGCCTCGAATCAAGCTCGTAGGAGTCGAAGCCGGTCTAGGAGCCAGGACAGAAACGCTTATGACAGGAGAACTGTGAGGGATAGAGAGTTTTTCATAGCAGACAGAAATGCTTCTGGCCATCGTCGGCCTTCAGGAATGGATTCCGAGAGAGACATACCTCGTCGGTCACGATCCCCCCTTCGCTCACGTAGGCGCTCGATATCACGGTCTCGCAGCCCCAGACGTAAGCGCCAGTGGCCAAGGTCTCGGTCCCGCTCCCGTGGCCCTGAGCGCTCGCACTCTAGGGAAAGGCATGAACATCCTAAAGACAGAGAAAAGCACAGACACAAACGTTCACGCTCTCGTTCAAGCTCTGCATCAAGTTTGTCGGACGCTGATTCGGAGCGAAGGCGTCGTAAGAAGAAGACAAGCACAGAAGTCGTGAGGAGAAAAGGGAAAGAAAGAGAGAAAAGAAAGAAAAGAAAGTGAGTAGTCCTAAGAATTATAACCATCAGCGAACCCGTTTCTCGCAGAAGAAAAGGCATGGGACTGCCTCTGGTGCTCAGTGGGGTAAATACGGAATTATCAATGAAACCGAGTCAGTTCCATTGCAACAGCCGCGGCCGTATGGCTAATTTTGTTCCCTAGCTTCTACAACAAAACCCAAGAATTCCGCACGTGGCTGCTGGAAGAGCGCAAAATTAACCCGGAGGCCATATCTAAGGACCAGGAGCGCAAAGAGTTTGCTGTTTTTATTGAAGATTATAATACTGGTGCGTGATATTAGATTGCATTTTGCCGATATCGTTTAGCGTTTGGTAGCAACACTCCCTCACGAGAAATATTACCATATGGAGACTTACGAACGACGAATGACGTCGTTACGAGCTGGCGAGTTCGTTCCACCGGCAGAAGACTCCTATGATCCTGAGGCTGATTTACGGGCTCACTCTTTACGACACAAGAAAGCGCCTGCCGAGCACGAAAGTTACCTAAGCAAGGAAGAGCTTATGGAGTTGAGGAAGGTCCAGAGTGAGAGAGTTGAGGTGAGTTGTATACAATATGGACAATGCTAAGATACCAATATCATCTTTATCAGGTTGGGAAGATGAAACTTTTGGGTATGGAAGTGAAACAAAATTTTGGGGTTCGGATGGATAGAACCATGTTTGATGATTGATTGGTACCTATTTAACACAATGTGTACATCTTTGCTGTATCGTGTAAAAAATCGGACATCCGCGGACAAGAAGTGGGTGCAACTTTAAGGTCCTGATCCTTACATAGGGGTTGCTTGCACGACATATCGGAATAACCGATTTACTTAGCGAATACTTACGTATGCAGAGGGTACTAGTAGTAGTACCGCAGTGACCGCACCTGTGACACTTTTGTTTCTCATCATGGTTGACATAGTTGTTCTCGGTGCGACAGGTATGGGCTACACATGTTATGTTATTGTCCACCAGTAGCTAACTAACGGTCCTCAAGGCTATACTGGTCGCCTCATAGCTCAGTACCTCGCCACGCATCCGCAGCGTTCATCCTTTACGTTTGGTCTTGCTGCACGGTCGCAGCCAGCACTCGAGAAAGTTTATAGAGGACTCAATCTCTCGAAAGACGATGTACCTGCATTCACTGTGGACGTCACGAATCCCAGTGACGTGGATGCTGTGGTACAACAGACCAGGGTTGTAATTAACACCATTGGCCCATACTGGCGGTGGGGAACTTCTGTTGTCCGAGCTTGTGTGCATCATGGGAAACATTACGTGGACTTGACTGGCGAGGTTCACTGGATAAAGGATATTATATTTGAGTATGTGGAAGCCTATGCTGATTTTGAGGAGTACCAACTTGACCGCTTCTAGACTCGATTACGCAGCTGTCAAGTCAGGTTCAATTGTGGTCCCTTGCTGCGGGTTGGACTCGGTACCTTCTGATGTTCTTGCATTCGTCGCAAACAAGACATTGAAATCTCTTGGTGGGCCGTCTACCACAATCGACCTCTCCACTTCGGCGTGGAAGCTTGGTGGTGCTTCTATTTCAGGAGGCACTTTCTCCACAATCCTCACTGCATTGGAAGATGTTCCAAAGCACAAACTGCTTGCGACAAGACAGAATTTTGTGTTGAGCCCAGGTTTATCTCGCTGCATTGAAGTATGCAGTGGTGGCTGACTTCAAGTTGTTTATTAGTGAAAGGAACTCATTCTCCTCAACCCCGTATGCTTTATACCTTGCCATACTCTGATCGACCCGTCTACGGGGCGTGGTATTTCATGGCAATTACCAATTCTCAGATTGTGCAGCGCTCGTGGGGTCTGTATGAACTCGCGTGTCGTGTCAACCATCACGACGCGACCGCTATCGCTCCACTCTCCTACGGTCCGAACTTCAAGTACGAGGAGTTCGTGATTCTTCCAAGTGCACTCTACGCTAGGATTTATTCAATCATATTTGCTACGATAGTAGCATTACTTGTTCTCTTCCAGCCTGTCAGTCATCTCCTCCCCATCCTTGTAGCAGAGGAATGACTGCGTGTGGATGACTTTAACAGGCAAGGTGGTTCGCCCGGAGAATAATGCCCGGTCCTGGCGAAGGTCCCTCTGAGAAGTGAGTGCAATTGAACTTATTGATCTTACAACTCATACCATGCCACATGCAGACAACTACAGAGTGGCTCTATCAAAATCACTAACATCACTACGTCCAGTCCCAACTCCAAAGGAGAAAAGATCGCTGTACGCAGTATTTTCCGGGGTCGAGGTGACCCTGGATACTTCTTATCATCGAGTAAGCTCCATTTATGCTCCCAGTGAACCACTAATTAGCCGTTCTTTCAACTTTTCAGTAATGATTTCAGAATGTGCGCTAGCGCTGGCTTTGGATGGTGCAACCTTGCCTCAGATAAGCATAGGTGGCGGCATCTTGACTCCCATGACTGCTTTTGGAGACGTTCTCGTTGAGAGGTTGAGGAGATCAGGTCATATCGACATCGAAAGTGAGTTGTTAGTAGGAACAGAGCCACGTAAGACACGTTGAATATGGACTCTGATCGTTACCTATATGAGGTCTCGTTTACGTTTATTCCACCGACACTCATTCTGAAGCATAGTTTTACTCTTTGTTGTCGTCTCCGAATTCATACTGGTTTATATAAACTGTTAACTTGGCCTTGCGAAGAAGTCGGATCCCAACTCGTAACCTGGCCTTCGAAATCCGACATATCACCAACCCCACAATCAGCAGTCACTAGTCAAAGTTGACTGGTGGATAGATTTAATTAATCTAATCGTCCAATAATCGTGCATCGACCGTCATCAGTGAATTGAGGAGTCCTTGATATTGTACCCGTGGGACCTATAGAAGATTCTGCTCTTGGTACACGGCCAATCGTCAAATTCGCACGTAGTATATTTGACGAAAAACAATTTAAATGTGTATGACAAAGCCAAGGACCTATACATAAACGGCATATTTCATGTAAATAATCTAGTTATCCAAGATCCGGTCACCATAAGAGGTCTAGTTTAGAACATAGACCAGAGCCTGGGACACGCACTGAACGAACATGCGAAATGAGCTCCACCTGGACTGTCAATCTCATGTTTCTCAGCTTATATTCCGGGGATTTGGGGCCGCCTGTTCACCTACAGCCCAAACTTTCAAACCTGAAACATGAAGCGGATCGACCTTACCTGGTAGTCACGTGTGTGACGCTGAGTATGAAAAACTCCGAATTCGCACTACCCCTTCTCGCTATGAAGGTAATTTGCAACCTTGGTTGAACACAATCGCCCAGATCCCAAGATCCCGTAAAGGTATACATCAAATTGTACATAAAGCATGAAAACATTTTGTAGGAATGTTAAAACACAAGCTCGATAGATATGGCCAAGGTGCTACAGTGGAAGACTTAGATCAATGACGAGTAAAACAGCGGACAGAGGAGCCGATCCGGGAGTTGCTTTTCACAGTGACTGGAGGTATGTTTTCTCACTAGTAGCCGTACCTCTTGCCTCGAGTGTGTTCTTGTATTTGGCTCTAACACCATGAGTGAACCCTAGCTGATCATGATCCGGTAGTATTGATATCAGACGTTGGTACTTACAATTGACCCAGGAAGATTCCTGAGATTTGGAAAGATGACGACGTGCTGATATCTATGACAGCATTTAGAGATGATGCGAAAGGATTACAATATGCTCTCATTGATGTACACGCTTTTAGTCAGGAGTCATGCAAATTTAGCACTTACCTTGGGGTGTGTTTGGATCAAGTGATCCCTGAATCTTGTAGTGTTAGAGAAAGAGCGCCGGGCATCTTCCGCTAAGCGCAAATATCAGCCACACATCCGCGGGGCATGACCAGGATTCTAGCAAAGAGCTTGGTTGTTGTCCTCGTAGTTACAGAAGGAAATGGTCCAGATAAAGAACCTTATCGCCCTAGTCTCCCGTACTTGGACCTTGATAGAATCATTAATTCTGTTCGAATTGTCGTTGATTGCGTGCTAATCGGCCGCCAGCGGTTGTCTACCATGAATTGCAAATGAACGAGTCTTGGACGAGTCCACTTGTAAACATCGAGCCAATATACAGTACACGTTGCCAGACATGCAATATGAGGAATAATGGGTTTCAAGTTGGGGGCGCATCGCGGACCTTCAGCAGGTACTTGAGCTTATCAATATTCCTCGAAGTTGCTCCCACGCATCGAGCGTTTTAGTTGGCCAAAATCTCTCAGTAAAACTACCATCGCAGCATCCATCTGGTGCATTTTTCGCGTTTTCTTTTTGATCTGCCGTGGGATTTACAAGTAGTAAGTGCCATCTGGCCTGCAATTTATGAATGGCAAGCTCAATAAGATGATGACTCGATTCCACAGACGGACAGACCCACATTATTGCACTTAATCTGGAAAGTCCCTTGGTCATGCTCCTGGCGTGTTGCTAAACCAAGCCGGCCGGCATGTCTGTTTCGGTGGCGACTAGTTCGATAGCCACGGCGCGAGTGGGGACTACTACACCTGGGACCCTTCCAAGTAACTATACTGCCGGCCATGGCCATCCGATAGAAAAACCATGACCGCCATCGCGTACGACACCTGGGACCCTTCCAAGGGCCCACTCGTTGCTGACTCCGTGTCCCCACCCTGCCAGCTGGCGGGGACAGTAGCAGATATAAGGCCTGGCTCCAGTACCCAAAACATTCATCGCCACAATGAACCAGCCGACATCCAGCAATAGTCAATCCTGGGACTACGACAGGTGAGTTGGTTTACACAGTAAGTAACCATTAAAGGGGTTGAGCACTGCCCAACAGCAATGCAGCCATGGCAGACGTATGGGACACTGACGTCGATGAAGCTGACGAGGTCTGCCGCGATGTGGTGCGTACATTATCGGGGCGAGCGATATTTCCAGTTAGATGTTTCTTGCAGGATTGGGGACTCGCCATCTTTCTCTATGAAACTTTGATCGCCAACAGAGAGCCTCTAACGGAGTTATCAGAAGCAGAGCTACTGCAAGCGTTGGAGAAATACGGGGCAGCTCACCCGCCCAACCAAATCAGCTCGGGCACTGAGGAACACCCTGAGCCCTTACAACTTCCTGATGATCCCGTGGATGAGGAATACTTCACGGTTCATATGTCCAACGAGGCCAGATCGTGTACTGGGGACCAACCTGAAACCTCGCAAGACGACCCCGCGGAAATTAGCGTCCAAAACAATACGCAACAATGTCACTGGATAGATGAGACCACACATCGGAAGTGCCTTGAGTTCGTACCAGAAGGTCTGCAACCAATGCTCTCCCATCTGAACACAGTGCACAATGTTCGTGGTTCAGAGAAAGACCAGAAGGGGTGCATGTGGGCTGTAATTCACTCAGGCCACGAATCCGCATGCGGGGGAATATCCCAGCGTCGTAATATGCCCCGCCATATAGCAAAGCATCTGGGTTTGCGCTGTACGTGCAAACTATGCGGCAAAGACTTTGCCCGTTCAGACCTTTTGAAGGGTCATGAACGTAAGGATCACCAGGTCCAAGACACTAGTGCATCATATGCTTAATCGCACAGCTGGCAGGTGAGCATTTCAGACATCATCTAAAACAGTCAAACTTACTCATCGTCGACCAGATTTTATCATGAACCAACGTTTCTCCTACGCACATGTAATGAGTGAAGCCATTGTCCATATGTACCAACCTACTGTTCTTCGTCGCTTGAATTTAATGGCCTGAGCTACTTATGATTCCAACACGTGTTTAGAAGTCGACTTGTGACCACCCCCAATGGTTCAATAGACGCGAGAGCGCCGAGTCCGAGATGATTACCTGAATCTGAGCAGTGCAAATAGAAGATACAAGTCCCTGGTCACCAACGCTAGTGGGAAACGGTTTCTCGACCACACAAGGTTGCACGACCCAACATATCTGAAGAGGCTGAAGGCCTATTAAGCTTTTGTGAATGAAGACAGGTAGGATCGTATAACTGAGCAACAAGATGGTGATCTGTGAAGGCCGCAGCTGCCCAATAGACAGGCCAGAACCAAAACGTACGTGCATCTGGCAGCATTAACTGAGTTTGCCGTCCACTGAGCAGCCCAATAATCGCCCACTTTGCGATGAAGTTTCGTGATTTGTGCAAGATCCTTTGAATGTCGTGACGTGGCCACTCACATGCCTTCGAGTCATTGCCATGCATATCGTAGTAACCGCACCAACTGTAGTACGAGGTATGCACGCCTTGTACACGCCTTTCAAATTAGTTAGGCGCCACTGTTGACGACCAACTCGGATACCATTTCTTTGTCGCCAGCAGTCTGGAGATCTGAAAAACACGAAAGCTGGATGGGAGTCGATGGCATCGTGGAGTAAGTCGTGAAGAAAAAATTTGCATCAACGACGACGTAAGCCTAGTAATATCCTCGACGCAGTGCCAAGGGCAACGGGCATGAATTCAATAACTGGAGCTGACTTAATCCCAAAATTTATGTAAGTGGCAAAAACTACCAGCTGTTGGCAGCCATTCAAGTTGTACGCACAACTTGAATTCGCTGCTGGTCACCCAACTTGAGCTTGAACACCACCATCCGAATCTCGCGGGGATGTGTACACATATTGAGTTTGCCCTAGTATGTGTGCATAGCGTGTTCTTGTATATTAAATGACATCACTGATTATTTGGATGGTCTCCTACTCCCGCCAAAAGGTGCAGCGCCGTCATGCGGCCCTGCTCAGTGCATTAATCTCACTAGTATAGCACCGAAGAATGATGAAGTCTCACCCACAAGCCTAGAGAAACTGTCAAACACGCCGGACAGCATCGAGGACTACGACTTTTCAGATCGGACAGATACTATGGAGCATGGACTGAATGTACGCCGAGTGCGTGACGCACCGGGCCCATCGTCATTAAGCTGCCTAATCCACGATGGAAAGAAGCAGCCATGTTGCACGGATCAGCATATAGAGAACAACATTCATTGGGTGCGTCTCGAATGATCTCGGGATGCAAAGTTTCAGCACGTTGACTAATGGACGAACTCTCCGTCTTAGACACTCCGCGCTGCTCGCTCTCTTGCAGGATCGATCGTATAGTAGCACCAAAAAGGCCCCACTGCAACACCAACGACACACGCGACTGTCTGTCGTTGCGGATACGCCACGATTCTTGCTCTGCGATTAGATGAGCTATAGCCACCCATGAGGGAAAATGAGATCGAAATCGAAACGGCAGGTGACAACCGATTACGCCTGGGTTCATGTCCACGAGGTACCGATAAATCTATACCACCTAGCGGGGCGGTGAAAGCGCGATATAAACTCGAGTGAGCTACAGGCGCTTTGCTAAGCATTGGATATCGAGAATGTGGATTGCAATGCAGAAGACTCGACATTTCTTCTGGCGTCTCGATGCAAGAATCAATCTGAGACTTTTTTGTAATCAAGGGTTCATGCCGTGAATACATTCAAGCTGAGTTATATTTTGTGACGGGAGTTTGTGTAACAGCTGATAGATAATATGCCGTTCGATGTTAAAAAAAGATCTTAATATTCAAGTAATGCAGGCGCTTACAGTGAGCCATTCAAATAGGCCACATACAATATACTCCACCCAACTTGCATGCTGTGTGACACTAAACTGAATCCCGACGGTCTGCTCCATGCATTTTGTTGGTATATTCGAACTCGACGGGTGTCATTCTTCCCCAGATGGCACAACAGCGAAACGCAACCCCAAAGTGCAAATCCAACGCTGCTCTCCGCTGTTCAGACATTGTACCGAGGGTCTGCCTTTCTTGTTTTCTACCTTGGCAATCTTTCACGGGACTTCTATTAGTTGATGAAGCCATGATGGCGGCAGATTCGTACCTTTATCGGCTATGCAGGCTATCAGCGGCCTACAAATAGAGTTGGAATATATGGACCCACATTTTCCACTCCCCGTGATTACAAGTTGCAGCCTGAGGGCTATCTTGCACCTTTTGCCTCATATCTATTTCTTCACCACCATGCTATTCCATAATATTATCAAGTGGATCAACAGTTGCAAGGCTATCAATGTAAATGTTTTGCTCCCGCCCATCTCTTGTTGATACGCTTCCCTTGCAAGAGATTACAATGAATTCAGTAACTTGTACTGCAAAGCGGCATTTTTCTGTCTTTCCTTCCTTCGCGTCTTACGAGTGAATTGTGTGGAGTTCATTTTGTTTGCAAATAACTACAACTGATAATTTCTCTTGTGTCGTTCTGGTCTCCGAGTAGATGCAAGCCCCTACTTTTGGAACAAGTGCATATCTTCGCTCTCCATGTGGTCTGTCTACTCTTCGATTGTAAGTTTTACCATCTCGCCATGCTTCTTGTTCCAATACTATTACTTATAGTCCATCAAGGAATCGAAGCATAAGTGGGATGGTCAACTTCCTGTAGAGACGTTCACGCAACGCTGGCATGAATGGCCATGCGGCCCTTCCTATGTTTGTCTCGTTGGCATTACGTGCCTTAGGCCGTTAACACTGCCAACGGAATATGATGGCTCCAGTTTCTATTATTGTGATTTTAGATATTAATATCGGCATTGGCAGCTATATGAAAGGCCAACGCCGGCCAACCAACGTGGCTTGGCCGTCACGTCACTTAATGGCGTTCCATGGCATGGCCATGGCCAGCCATGACCCTGACTCGTGTCTCACTTTGCCATTTTGTGCTCAGCGCTCAACCCAATAAGGTCGATCACGGAAGCCAGCCATGCCGCGTGTTAACAAGCCAATCATCGATGGGAATGGCGAGTGGCGTTAAAGGCACGTTACCCTTATTCTGATATGCTGTGTGGCACTCTTGCTCTATGTGTAGGCAATCCAGGTTTCCACTTCACCTGGTGAGCGTCATCTTTCGTACCGCCGGACTTTCGGGTGCCATCGCGCACTGCATTAAAATAGGCCTGATTCCACGCGACAATGAGCGATCTACGGTCTTTTTATGAAGTATTAACTTGGCCTTGCGAAGAAATCGGATCCCAACTCGTAACCTGGCCTTCGAAATCCGATATATCACCAACCCCACAATCAGCAGTCACTAGTCAAAGTTGACTGGTGGATAGATTTTAGATCGGGCCAAAAAGCACGTTTCCTAATTAAATCGGCTAAGCTTCTGAAAGAAGCCAACTTTCGTTGGATTATTATGGGATTATGGCCAGGTTCACACGTTTTTATGGAGGTTGGCCCATTGGAAGAAGATGAGCCATACACTTCTTTGTAATTTGTCGCAGGCCAGCCAGCCATTCAAGCCTTCAAGTCCTATCTGATGTGGCTATGAGCAGATATAAAGTCTCTGTTGGCAGGTATGCGCACTTCAGAGACACGATCAAACAATGTCGACCAACACACTCCCACCTGCTTCTTGCTTTCATGATACACTCAAAGCTCTTGGAACATCTATCAGGTATGAATACTTGCACTCTGGTAATGACTTGGTTCTACATCTCTTTCAGGTTGCATGCCGAAAGACAGGGAAGCGCTTGCCCTTGCTATCCTATAGTTCAATTCGTTCTGGACCCATTACCTTTCCTTCATCACTGGTTAGTATGGTTGCTAGCCTACGCGAAATGTTTGCTAAGGGATTATTGGCAGGTTGTCTCTTCCTGAAACTCAATGTCATGGATCTCTCTCAGCCATTGCCGGTGAATTGGCACCGTACGGCGATTCTACGTTCAATATAACAACGGACACTGTGGAGGCGTCCTATGCATTGGACGTAGGGTCGCCCAGCCTTAGCAGTCCATCTCCCATGGAGCCCGATTTCATTCACCAGTCCCTTCTAGACACCACTCTTGATACAAACACCGGAATGGATGCACTATATCTTAGCGGGCTTGACCATTTGGAAGGTCATAACTTCAACCTGGAACCTTTCCCCGAGTTTTCCAATAGCTTCCTTCCAGAGCTTTCCATGACCCCCTCTATGGATCACGCTTCATCCCAGATGTGGAGTCCTCATACTCTCCCGCAGTCACCTGACACATCATCTTCTAACGGGAGTTTATATTACGATTATACATGGACGAACGAGCCCGCCCACGATTGTTTTATCGATCCATTATCCTACGACATACAACCGCACGTGCAGAACTCCAGCGATGTCTATCTATCTAGTGTCTGTAGCGGAACTGATCTTGATTCGCTTACATCGCTGTGGTTGGATGAGGGAAGGAGTGAATGTGCGATATCGATGGACGATATGGGTAGCACTCCAAGCTTATGCCGCTGGGGTGATGGGTCCTGCACCTCACTTCTGACTTCCGACAAGTCCGAAGTGGGGAAGCATCTCCAAGTCCTCCACTGGTGTCAAATCTGGCGGCGACAAAGAGAGGATGTTGTGCAGCTGGGACGGCTGCGGGAAAGAGATGAAGAAGGAGAGCATATCACGGCACGTTGCCGCAATTCATTTGAGCAACAAAACGGAATGCGGGAGTTGTGGAAAGCAGTTTGCTCGGTTGGATTCTAAACTGCGCCACCTGAAGAATTCAAGGCGAGAGGAGTGCAGAGAATCCGAGCCCCATGATAGTCGTACCAAACGCCGTCGCCTGTCGTGGCCATGATTTTTCTGTTGGACATTCTTGCAATTTATCGAGTCCGGACAGTACGCTGGCCGTGTGCATATATAGTATATACCGGTTTTTGTTCACTTCATAATTTTATGGACGCGCGTACTGGTACTACCGAACCTCTACCTTTATCTACCTTTGTCCCTCTAGTGCACTGCCATGTCGAAGCGTGAAATGACTTTGTAGCCGTCAAATACAGGCCCTTGTCAACTCATGTAACAGAAGATAACAGTGGGCATCCTGCCAGGTGGTTGAATGGTGTACCCATTTTAATAGATTATAATGGTTCAAAATACCCCCAAAAAGATTTGACAGGGACTGTAATCATTTAAGTACCTTAATGTGCAGACGATCAAATAACTTAATAGTCGACACGACGACGAAATCCAAGGGGAATAGACACAATTTGCAAATAGTGTAGATAGGACCAACTAAGTAGGAGTATACGGTAGGATTACTAATAACGGACAGGAACTATAGGAAGATGCATATAAGGTCGGAACGCAGAACGATAGAGATAATACTGTAAGATAACGCTAGAGGACTACATCAGTCTAAGAGAGCATCAGGGGATGCACATGACGTTTTGGCTGGCCGACCAACCCCCATTAATGCACACTTTGTCAATTACAAGCGATCTACCTCCATTCTTGACGACAGATTTCGCATACTGACAGCCCGGCCTTTCAAGAGTATGTCTTCGAAAGGCATCATCCCGCGAGAGGGAAGCCCCGCATATCGAACAAATTCGCCGTACTCCAAGGTGTGAAAGTATATGACGTGGGAGGTTTCCTGGTTTCATGCGGGCATCAAGACAACCCGTCCAAAGACAGGAGATCTGCTGCGTGTCTTCGCTCGTAGCGCTGGTGTTGATACCATGATATTGCTGGAGATGTTTGGAGACCTGCTTGTGCTCGACACCAATGTGCATCGTGCAACCATTCCAGTTACATGGGTGCACTATAACCTCGTCGTTATGGTCGCGCAGGGTTTCCTGATCAATCAGGATGGGATCCACCCCATTTTGCTCCAGGAGTATATCATGGACCATGGACAAGCTGAAATAATAACAGGTGACTATAAAGAAATGGCGGAGAATGTCACTGCTAACCAATTTGTGTTCATACTGGATCAGAGAGGTGTTGGTTTGTGTGTCTTCTGGGTTCTGCCATCGAGTCGTCTTTTAACTTACTTCACCTCTGGCGCTATTCCCCACCGCAGCTCGACAAGAGGCACGAGTATTGACTGAAATCGCCAGATTTCCACCGAGCTCTTGGGTTTGTGCAAATCCGCTACAATGGTGGTGGAAGGGGTAGGTTAGTTACGCGCTGTGTCGTCATAATTTTCAAACAGGCAGGTTGAAAGGACGATGATCACTTCTAGTCAGTATGCCAATGTTACTATACAAGAGCGGATCAACACGAGCAACCCGGTTACTAAAACAATTTCAGATTGGAGAGTTTTCTGAGGTGAATTCTGTATATGACGGGCGTCATGTTGGAAGGCCTTCGTGGTGCCGGGTAGATCAGTTTTTGATCCGTTGATTGGGGGCGCAATCAGCAGCCACCTGACTGGCATGTCCCTCGAAAGTTCACTGACAACGGCTGGGATCCCGAGGTGCAGTGGACAAAACGACTAGTTGTAGCTACAGTACACGGACCCATACGGATGATCTGTCTCTCAAAGGAACAACGGTAAGCACGCGTCATTAGCGAAATAATAAACAATTCGGTATCCATGTCGTGTCTCTCGTACGTGTGTTATAACGTCTCGAAGGAGCCAAGTATACCGAAGTAATCGGTATGGTGGAGGGATCTGATTTCCTAGTATCAACCGGTCAAAGGTTAGACCGACAAGGCCAGGCCTGACAAGTGACTGCCAGCAGCGATGTGGTGTCCGACGTAATAGTTGAAGTGTAAACTCGGCGATAACAATTCCCTCTCTCCGATTCCGGATCCGTTTGCATTGTGGAGACAAATGAGCGTTTGTCAGTCTACTTCAAGTCAAAGTGCTGTGGTAACTTGCCATGACAGCGGGGCATTGAGGAAGGCGAGAATCCAGTGAAACTGCACCAAACCAACAAATGCGATGCTGAGCGCTAGTAGTGCAAACTATGGCATGTAATTGCGCATCCCGCGGAGGTTGTGTGATTTTGTCTGGATGCGCTTCTATTATGGAAGGGCAGCATGATAGCGATTGATGGTGGACACATGCGTTCTAGTTTCGCGGATCATAGTGGCCCAGCCACTTGGGATGAGCGCTTGTGTTAACGGCAGAAAGATTCAGCAGGCGCCCCAGAACACTTGAGTCCCTGAACGCTGAGCCCATTTGGCGCGCAGACGACAGAACTATCGGATTAGATTCAGAGGTTTCTACAGCAGATGTGATGGGTTGCTAGGAAAATGTAGGCCTGATGCATGATGCAAGGACCACTGGCCAGGGACCTTCGGAGTTTGGCAACGAGGCAGATCAACTTGAGCAATAGAAGATTCGGTTGGGCACGTGCAAACACAAGCATGCAGTAGACGCTGCCTGGAGGTGCACAGCATTACTAACACACGGTACTAGTATACGACACCTCGGGGCCTATGGCATGTAACATCCATCTACGACCTTTACGTATAGGTTACCAGGTGAGAAGTACCAAGACGTACTGCAGCTGTGTTCATTCTATATGATTACAAGGAACTATTCCTACGTGGAATATGACTGGGCAGTGGACAGAGAAACTTTGGAGAAGCTCTAATAGTCCAATACACACGAAGCCAACCGGCTTGGTGCGAACTGTACTAATAAGCTCCTACAGCTTGCACGACGCAGTGATTGAAATATTGACCATCTAACTTTCCGCGCTGTCAACTGCAATAAGTGTTCAAACGTTCGATAGTAGCGGCACCGGGCAGCGCTCTCCCTGGATCTCATGATCAATTCAACTATTTCCGTCTGTTTCACTGATGGGGCTCAATACGCATGGTAACTGTGGAACTGCAGCTCCCACGAAAGAACTCAGTACTCACTCATGACAGGCTGCAGGCTGAAGGTACCAAAGTCACTCCCAAGCTCAAGCATGTTCTTCCCTAGTGAAAGTATGGGTAGTACTATGGAAACCAACGTATAACGCGTTGCCCCTTCAAATACCCTCCGACTTGAAGTAGGTTCGTCTGTCGTTAATCATTGTAAGTGGACCTGAGCGCAATTGTATCAGACAGCTCAAGATGATAAGGTAGTGGGGCCTGGGCACCGTGTGTTCTCGACCAGGCCACCCGTGGTCGCTTGTGCATGTGGGAATTGAACATTGAATCTCCGTACTTAATCCGTGCTACTAGTGCAAAAACCACAGATGACTTGATGAACGTTGATGGGCCGTCCATATGATGCGGTTCGGTTACATTATCTCTCGATAAACTCAGCTTGTCTGTATTTAAGGCTAATAACTTGAAGCGCCTCTGAGCCTCTCTTAAAAAAGCGCTCTTGAATTCGACCGGCTTAGGCGCCACCCCTTCCAGTATGATTATAATCTTGCCTGCTGCTATTCTTTTGGGTCTTGCACTCCGTGGTGCTGCTTGTGCGGGTGATCACTTGCATGCCCGTGACGCTTATGCTCATGAACATTTGAACAAGCGCGAGTACCCACAGGTTCCAATCACACCTCCCTACCGTCCTCTTGTCTGGGGAGATTTCAATGTGATCCACACCACCGACACCCATGGCTGGTTACTCGGTCACCAAAAGCTGTCATTTCCTGAACCAGACTATAGGTGAGTGTTCAGAGGAACTAATCTAAGGCACCATGCCTCAACCGCGTCACCCTGCGCATATTATAGTGGGGACCTTGGAGATTTTGCTAGTTTCGTGACGCATATGAAGGAAATCGCCATCGTTCGTCCATCATGCATCAGTTTGGATCCTGCCTTCATTGTACATATTTACTATTGCAGGAAAAAGACGTCGACCTGCTTTTGGTAGACTCGGGGGATGTACATGACGGTATGTATCGAATTGATATCCATCGAAGGCACAATCCAACCCACCTCTCAGGAACTGGGCTTTCTGATGGTTATCCCCCTGGTGGTGTTGACGCGCACGAGGTCCGTTGTTTTGTTGTTGATACATACCTCGAAATTGATACTCCGTTTAAAAGTCCAACAAGTTCCTTGAGCGCCTTCCATATGATGTCATGACTATCGGAAAGTGAGTATCGAGTTTTCGGTCTTCTCCTTATCTACCTCCTCTTGATACTGGGTTTTGAACTGACAGTTTTACTTCTATAGCCATGAACTGTACATCTATGCGGATACATATGACATGTAAGTCCTAAATATTCTGAGCAAAATTCGGTTTGACTGACAATATCTTTTTTGTATCTTTTTCTGTTCCCTCCTCTGCAACATCTATGTTTTGTTCAATCACCACCTTCTAGTTTGACACTCCACAAACATCGCTTGTTTTCGATACTTGCTAAATGGACCAACTTCCTCAGGTACACGAACTTCGTCCCTTATCTTGATGGGCGGTACTTGTCTTCCAATGTCAACATCACTGTTTTCAACTCGGATGGCGAGCCTGAGAGTGTGCCAGTTGGCAGTAAGTTTGAATTTTAAATTTAGTTTGACTGCTATCGATGTCCTTTCCGCAGATCGTTCCACCAAGTTCACCACAAGGAAGTAAGAGATCCTATGAATCCAAGGTGGGACTTTATTCATTTGATGTAACAGAGGCCGTCGCATCACTTCTCTTGGAGTCCTATACGATTTCACTGGAAATGACGTGAACACAACTGTACAAACTGTAGCTGATATGGTCGAGGAGCAGTGGGTACGTTATCCTAGGCGTCTATGTGATCCAAGGCAGTATTCTGATCGATTTTTACAGTTCGCCGAGGCCATCGCGGAAGAACCTGATGTGTTTGTACTTATTGGGTAGGTTGATTCATGGTTTCTGAGAAAATATTTTTAACGTGATCTCAGGCACATGCCAGTTTCTTACGATAACTGTAGGTCAACTACAGCAATTCTAGGTTTGATGATACGATGAATTGGTTTTCTAGGGCCTACTGTCTTTAACGCTGTTCGGGCTGTGCACCCTCTGACGCCCATCTTAATCTTTGGAGGTGGAGACCATCCATTTGATGTTTTCGACTAACTTTCTCACCGTGGACTTAGGACATTCCCACATCCGTGACTGTCAACAGTACGATGGTCGTTCTATGGCTCTGGAAAGCGGGCGCTACATGGAGACAATCGGTATGTGGGCATCAAAGTTGAGTTGAGTCCAGTGTCTCATGTATTCTTTTAGGCTGGATGAGTACATCGTTTAACCAAATAATAATAATTAAAGGTCTGACCCAAGAACTTAGGTGCGGACCTCGAAGCTGCTCAGGGCAACGCCAACAACATTTCTTTCACAAGAAGATATCTAGACCAGAACCGCGTGACCTACGAGGTGAAGTGTGATATCAGTTTCTCAATGATGTCCTAACTCGCGTGTCACATTTAGTACCACACACAAATGTCAAACCAAACGTTTGACACCGCCGATGGGCGCTCGATCACTGACGGTCTCCAGGAGCTCGCGGTCATGTTTGATTTATCTTATCTGTACGGAACAGCCCCACAAGATTATACCATCAACCAGTGAGTACTCCGTATATATCGCATAAGCCACCAGCTCAATTGTGTGCTAGGAACCCATATCCTTCCAATGGATCCCTTCTATCTCTTTTCATTGCAGATGTGAGACCTGATTTTCCAGAAACGTCAATTATTAACGCCCTTGTCAGGCTGTCCCATACGCTCTCTCTATTAACAATACGCGTGATTCTATCCCAGCCATATTTATCACCAATTCAGGATCTCAACGCTTCAACGTCTTCCAGGGACCGTTCACCAAGAACGATCAGCTCACCGCCTCGCCGTTCACGGATTCATTCTTGTATATCCCCAACATCACATTTAGCATCGCAAACCAGGTCCTTCCAGCTTTGAACAATGCTGGCGCGAGTGAGAAACGGAAGCGAGATGAGATCGAAAAGGAACTCTGGGACCGTGGGATTGTCGATACTCGGTACAGAGCTTGGTTAGAGGAGATGGATCGGCGTGCTGGAATGGGTAGACGAGAAGCAACGGCAGGTAATTTGACACTTGGATATGTCACGGTCGATGTAAGTGACCCATCTTCGCATTCGCTCCAACGCGCTCATAGCGGTGATTCAGTCATGCCCCGGTGCTGGGGACGACACGCTGCACATGGCATTGCCCTACTATTCGGTTCCAGACTTCATTGGCTCAAACCCGCCTAACGTGACGGATGACACGCCTATTGATCTTGTCTTCGTCGACTTTATTGAAGCGCAACTCCTTGGCATTCTCAACGGCTTGCAGAATGCGGAGAACTATACCACCGCTGATGTTTTATTGTACAGTCCGACGCTGTCTGACGCAGCACTGGGCTTATATGCTCAGGCTGCGTGGAACTGACTGAACGGCCAGTAATATGCCCATGCTGTGATCGTATTTACCTCTTCTCCACAATCACCTGACACCTTGTCGTTGGCATCAATGCCTATTTAGTCACCTTCGTCACCTTATCGTATGTGCTATACAGTTCCTTTCACGCACCATCACAAGCCACTGATCGTTATGTAACTACGATATTCTTTGCACGCATCTGTTGCGACTTCACCTCAGTGTTGTTCGATCACTCGCTGAGGTATGCCATCTTGTAGTTCATAGTAGTCACATGTACTGACTCGTACCTCTAGCTTCGTACAGGTTATGACCCCTGGGCTCTAGTAAAGCCCAGTTATCTACGAAAATAGTTCGATCTCACGCCAATTAGAATTCTCAGCGCTCACGACGTTCATGTAACGGCCGAACATCAAAATATTGAACATTCAACGTTTGAAAATCCAATGGGAAGCTATGATTATATTCTCGAGTTGACGGGCACAGACTCTTACCGGGCTTGGCGCCGCGCCGTGATGCTGGCTCTAGCTAGTGAAGGGTTATGGAATCATTGTACTAATGGTACAGATCCCAGTGATGTCGCAGAGTATGCTAGTGTCATGTCCACAGCAGCCACTCCTGGAACGATTACAAGCATGGAATGCGCCGCGATGAATGAATGGATCAACAAAGACGCACAGGCTAGGGCCATTATTGGGCGAAGGCTTTCCCCCATTGTTCAAAACATGCTCGGTGAGAAAATGACCGCTCGCGAACAGTGGGAGACTCTGAGCAGGCGTTTCGCTTGTCTCGACATCACCTCCCAAATTGAATTACGCACCCAGCTACTCTCCGAAAAGCTGAAGGATGCCGAAGATGCTTCTCGCTATCTTAGCGTTTTCGAAGATGGCCGAAGGCGTTTCGTGGAGATGGGTGTCATCTTCACTGATGAGGAAGCCATCTGGATGTTACTGAATGGCTTACCAGACACAACTCAATGGGTTGTTTTTCGCTGCCTTACCACCAGTCGCTCGTCCACTTCGACTGCCACTCCCAATCGGACTTTTGAGGAAGTTGCAGCCTCATTTTTTGAGGAGGCGAATCGACAGCGCGGGCGACTTAGACTTGCAAAATACAGTTCAGATCCTCACGTTGCTACCGCATTCGACCGCAGAAGGGATCCATCCTTTGCTGTCATCAAGGAATTATCCTCTGATTCATTCACCAGTGACGAAGATATCTCGTCCATTGCTCATCACGCACTCTCCACTATCCTTGACTTTGGAACCATGTCGACATTGATCACCGACCGTGATATGTTCTGGACTTATTCAGAATCACGAGCCACTGTCGAGACTGCACACCATGGCAAGCTGCTTACCTTGGGCCGAGGGGAGTGTACGGCTGACCTCGTCATTAATGGACGGACATTTCGGATTCGTCTCACCAATTGTCTTCATGCACCTGGCGCACCCGTCAATCTCCTCTCTGTAGGGCATATGCTCAACAAGGGTTGGGGGTGCAACCTCAAACCATCCCCTTCCCGCTGCGAGCTCGTTTTTTGTGGTGAAACACTTGGCGACCTTCCAGCGACTGGAAACCTGTTCCCAATCAATCTCAAGTTCGTTCGTCCGGCCAGTCCCCATCCTCGTACACTCCGGCATCCATCCAACTTGTTCCCATCACGTGCAGAACCTTGTGCTGCCAGTGCTCGCATCCCAGAAGCTCGGCTGATTGAGGGGGTGCATCCCACATCGAGCAAGGGGGTGGACACAGCCGCATGCTCGAACCACTCGATATCTCTCCGACCTACCATGACGAGCAAGGGGGTGGATACAGTTGCAGGGTTTAAGGTTGGCATCCGGCAGGTGAAGGAAATCCATTCTGTGTCCATGCCCACCATGTCCATGCCCATGTGCGTATCTGTCAGAGGTTCCAGTAGCCTCAAACAACGTTGGAGGGCGAACGAATCGCGGGCTGCGGTTAGTGCTGCCGCTGTTGCTAGAGTGATGCCAGAACGTGTCGTTACCGTTCCCTCGGAACACAGTGTAAGGACTGAAGAGCAGAAAATCCATGCTGCTGCGCCGCAAAGACGAAGAAGTACCTACGCTTGTCACACCAGACCCCAAGTCTCCTCCACAAGTATCCGGCAGACTCACTCAATCACCCACTTCGGCACCATTCCCGTTTCTGCATGCAACCCATTATCATTTGTACCAGAAGGCCCACCTATCCATCTCACCACCAGCCCAATCATGGCACCAACCACGTCCGAGTCCAATGACCCATGGGCAAGTATTCAACGACGTCAGAGCCAGGCATTTAGACGTACCCATACTTGTCGCAATATTCCGGTTTCGTCTTTTCAATCTTGCACTTGGAGCCATTCACGTTTACGATGCTCACGCCATCCATTTGACGCAGTCCCATTTGACCCCCGTACACAAATGCCAGCATCCGTTGACTTCCACGCACGACCAGCGACGCCCATTCCCACTCCGATCGCTTAGGCTTATGCAACATCTTCACTTGCGAGCTCGACACTCGTCACTGCAAATCCAGAACTTTCTAGCACTCCCACTCAAACATCTGCGCTATTTACGTCTCCTACTACGCTTGACTTTGATGTCAGAAGTAGTCCAGGCTCACTAAAGCAGCTCAAGTCTCTATCAAAGAGGAGAGCATCAAGCAAAGCAACCTCACTGTCCCTCTCTGTTCAATCTGCATTCGCAGAACACATCCATTCTTGCCCTTTGAATCTTGTCATCGAGCCTGCAGCTGAGAACTCTTCTAACCTTCCTGAGGCCATACTTGTTGTTTTAGTTCGCAAGGCAGCTATAACAGAGCATGTTGTGAAACTGTTTCCTTCCGTTACAATCACCTTACAAGCTCATTCTCCAAATCCTCTTCCAGCGATTTCGGCACTTCGAGCACATTATCAAGTTCTGCTTTCGTTTCGGCGCACCCCTCACCTTCTCCGATACTCTGCCATCGTTTTAGTGCAGGGCGCCATTGCCACGGAATAGTCTGCATCCTCTTTCTTTCACAAACCACTGATCGTTATGTAACTACGATGTTTTTGCACGCATATTATTGCGACTTCACCTCAGCGTTGTTCAATCACTCGCTGAGGTATGCCATCTTGTAGTTCATAGTAGTCACATGTACTGACTCGTACCTAGACAAGTGGTTCGATCGCGTGACAAGACGGAAATCTATTGTTCCAAACCTGCTCAACAATCTTTTTCCTTTTACCACGCCTTGAACGTTCACTCCCAGTAAAAACCGGTTGTGACCGGAGGGGATCACAGCTGCTGAGAAGTTAGTTACCTTATTTGTACTATGACGGAATCTGCTGAATCATGAGAAGTTTCGTTGCATTTTTTTGCAAAACGACGTCGTATCGCATTGCAAAACATCGTATCGCATCGCGCCAACATCACATCGCATCGCACCAACATTGCATCGCATCGCACCAGCATCGTATCATTGAGTTTTTGTACTACAAGTATGTACTATCTGCGCCATCCTCTCATACTAATCTGATTCAATATTTCAGAATGTTACCTGCCTCAAGCTCGAGCTCAGACAGGCAGCTATATGTTTGTCTGTGCACCAAGCACAATCTTGGCCAACCCCATAGAGTTGCCAAATCCACATGGCACCGACATCTACAAGAGGCTAGTACAGAGGAGGAGCGAGAGAAGATGTGAACTGGCCGAGAACTACGGGGACATACCATGGAGCTGGGACATACCATGGAGCTGGGACCGGGTGCTGGGGAGGCGGCTGCAGGCTGTGCTTCATCTTCAAACTCTTCTGACAGAACATCTATACCCCCCAGTGCTTTGTTTTGGTGCTCATAAATGTATTTTCAGCGTGCATATATGCAGCCTGCACAGCATAGTAACCAGTATTTGCTCGAACACTGCAAAACATTAGAACTTCAAATCGTGAAATTGACTAGCGAACGCGACACGCTCAAGTACGTATTTTCCTGCTCTGCATCTCCATTGATTTAATTAATTTTGATATAATCATATTTCGGATCGATGTTTCAACAACTTTCAAGCGCTGTTCGGCTGCATCAAACGGACTCGCTCGACCTTGACTGTACCCTCATTTCCTCAGTTCCAGCTACTGCTAACCGGCCAACTCGCGTCATCCATCCGAAGATTCGGTTTTGGACCAATGACGACTTCTTAGGATGGCTGGATTCTCCCGACGGCCGTCGAGCTGACCGCGGGAAAGTGCCGTATCTCGAGGATGAGAACGGTGATCCACTTACCGACCCGATAGTCAAGTCTATCCGGAAACTTCTTCGTGGCGCTTGGGCGGAGCTCGTCAGACGCAAACTTGCTCCGAAGACGTGGGGTAAAGCAGCTGCGACTGCAAGGCAAATTGTTCACACCCTGATGGAGAACTCACATCCATTGTTCAAGTTCGCTGACGACGGTTGGAAGCTCGACTATCTCATGAGCACGTCGTATTCTGCGTGGCGAAGAACCACGTTGATGATGACGGAGACTGGAAGAAGAAACTCGTCGACAATGACGACAATGACGAGGACGAGAGTAGCGGGGGCAAGAAGCGTAAACAATTGAAGGACGCTCTCAGGTCTGAAGTCCCCGGCAAAAAACTAAAAGGTGCGTCTTTAATTTAATATGATATTGCATTAACTAGTATTTTTTGTAGTCGACCCTACCGTGAATATCCTGCCTTCGACGCCAGACTCTCTCTTGGCACCATCGCCTACTGTGCCTAACTCGTTAGCTGCCGAGTCCATGCTACTGCTATCCAGGTCTCACCCTACCACCCCTTCTCGAGCGCCGTCTCCAACAATTCGTTTGTCTCCAATATTACTGCCCAACAATCCCGATTCTCGGCAGCTACCAGCTATACCACCTGCTTCTCCGGAGTTTATTGTAGCGGAGAAGGAGAATATTCCTCCACCAACGCCTGATCCTATTGCACCGGTACCTAATTCTAGTATCACACTAGCGCCTAAGCCTAATCCTATCGCACCGCGGCCAATTAAAATTATAATGACTAATTCACTGTAAGTTTGTTGTCTCTTTTCGTCAATGGCTAATGATGTCACTTTCAACAGTTCTACGCTTGCGCTAGCTGCTGTCGGCACACTGATCCCACCACTCCCACCCTCCATCGATCCTCCTCTCAAGGCTCCTCTAGCAAATGACAGCGCTGATTCGAAGGGTAAAAAAGGCAAGGTCGACGACTTCGCAAGCGGCAAGGGCACCAGTAAAACTAGCAAGAAGATGCGTCCAAGCCCAACTAGAAACGGACGGTATGTACTATCAGACGGTCCCTCTCACACCAATCTAACTGGTACTTACAAATTTTGAAGCAATCTGTGTGCTCTTCGCTGGCTCAAGCAAATCAAAACCGACGGGACAACAGAAGAGTTTTGTTTGTATTACGTGGATCTCACTGCAGAACAGCGCAAGGTACGAAGTCATTGCATCACCGTCGTGCATATTGTGCACTCACTGTCTTATATCGGAATTATGATGACGAGGCATCTGCGCTAGTGAGTAACGTCTCCAAAAGTTAGTTCCTGTTCTGATGTGCGCAGGTTGCCAGCAACACTTGGGTGAAGAATGTTTGCGATGGAGCAATGCACTAGTAGACACTCGACGTTCCCGCACCTGCTTTCGATCTCGTACCTGCTTTTGACGTTCCCGCACCTGCTTTCGACGTTCCCGCACCTGCTTTCGATGTGCCTGCACCTGCTTTCGACATTCCCGCACCTGCTTTCGATCTCGTACCTGCTTTTGACGTTCCCGCACCTGCATTTGACGTTCCCGCACCTGCTTGCGATGTTCCCGCACTTGCTTGCGACGTTCCCGCACCTGCTTTCGATGTGTTTTCGCGTCTGTTTTATGTTTCAATTACCTGCAGTTTCAATCTGTATGGGCGCTCCCAGTGTAATACCTAACAATATGATCATATTTTATGTTATCTGAGCATATTCCGAGACCCTAGCGTGAAGTGTGCAATACCCTATGACATCATATTTGAAACTATCCTAGCATACTATGATACAGCACCCAAGCAGTTTAACTATATGCTCTAAGGTGATTCTGATGTGCATATGCGGAAAAAAACATACGAGAGCGCGAGAGATCTTACAGCAGCACTTCGAAAATGTGCTGGTTGTCCCACTTTGTAAGCGGAATGTGCGCGTCTGGTATTTTCATTTCATCAACACCTCCCGACACTTACGGTCCTCTCCCGTCATAACCAGTTCTTACTGGGGTTCACTTATGGATGGATCCTTCGAGGTCTATCCTAAGTAGTCGTAGCCAACTGGTACCAGAACAGATTAGAAATTTTGGGTGGCGACAAATGCGTTGATATTCGCTCATGGACAGTTCCGTTCGGAGGTTATGCGAAGGGTCGTGGCTGAGGTGATCACCACAACAGAATCGAAATCTGTTCCACTGCGCAGGTTCGAAACCTGCTAGCTGACGACAAGTTTGTTCTTTCTCGGACTAACACCTTCAAGGACATTTGCTCATGGATGGTTTCATCGAAGGTGCATCTAACTGGTCTTAGCGAAGTGGCTACAACAACAGAATCGAAATCTGTTTCTCTTGGACTGTGCAGATTCGAAACTTGCCAAATAATAGGTTTTTTTCTATCGGAACATGCCTTAAAGATTCGCTCATGGATGATTTCCTCGGAACTTCATCTCAACTTCGTCCTGGCTAAAGTGGTTACCACAACAGAGTCTAAATCTGTCCTGGACCCCCTTGGACTGTGCCAATGCGGGTTTGAAACCTGCTGATGACAGGATTTTTTTTTTCTATTGGAACATGCCTTGAAGATTCACTCATGGATGGTTTCTTTGGAGGTCCATCTTAACTGGTCTTAGTTTTTTTTTTTTTTTGAATCATTGTTTATTGTCCATTGAGGCGAAGCCCTATGTTGGACATAACCTACATGTATGTGCGTATGTGGTGTGTGAACTAATTATCTTATTTGGTGTCCAGTCTTAACAATGGTTCTGGCATGAGTGGGAATGGTAGAGCCTTTCTGGAGGCTATGGGACGAGTGATGTGGGGTTGGGTGGTTTCTTGACTTGGCTTCTTCTATGTTCTTCTCTGCTCTTCTTCCTCCAGGGGGGTCACATTGCCAAAGGTGCATTCAAAGCATTTTGTGTGTGTGATGTACTTCAGTACTGCTCTCATCCCTTTGTTCTTGTTGAGCAGGTATTTGATGTTGCACTTTCATGGGCCTACTTCATGTTGCATGGCATTGCACTGTCTGATGAATGATGGGCATATGAATAGGAAATGGTGGACTGTTTCTTCATGCGTGTTGCAGCTGTCACACTTTGCTGATGGGTTTCTTGATATACGATTCAGGTGTTTGTTGAGTGTGATGTGGCCCATGTGAAGCTGGAACAGGAGGGAGCTATGTCTCCTTGGCAGGGATGCGATTTTTGTGGTGAATTTGTTAGAGGGGGCGGAGTGGTCTATTGTGTGGAGCTTGGTGAATCTGGGTGAGTCCTTCGTGATCTTTATGGCCTTGTCTTTGATTCTGCGATATTGTACTTGCTTTATCGCTGATTTGCTCTGTGGTAGTTCTCTGGTTTCCCCACAGCTTGTTAACAGTGAGTGTGGTAGTGCGTGGTTCTCTGATGAGTTCCCTCTGGCTGTGTCTTTTGCCTGTCTATCTGCAGCTTCATTTCCCGGTATCCCTTTGTGGCCTGGCGTCCACCTTATGATGAGCTTCCTTTTGTCGTTGTCTGGAATGAGTGTGCACAGGTCATCATGAAAGGTGTCCATTAGGTGGTGTCCTGGCTGTGAATGGAAGGCTCTGGTGGCTTGTATGGCAGCCTGATTGTCTACTCCCAGTAACATTGTTCCCCCCCTTCCTCCTCCCTCCTCCTTGAGCAGTTGGATCGCTAGTATCATCCCCACCAGCTCACCTTCATACACTGTGTGCTCCATGTCCTTTCCCAGGTAGAATCTCAGGCTCCTCATCACCTCTTTGCCTCTCATTATCACCGCTGCTGCTCCTACCCCTCTGTCGATTAACGATCCATCCGAGTATGCCTGGATGTCTTCATCAGCTAGCATGTCTTCATCTACCGCTCTCTCTGGTTTGTCCACTATCTTGGTGTTGACATCCAGTATCCATTTCAGATAGTGCCTAACCAGCCATATCTTTTCTGTTTTGTCTGGGTTTATCTGGTATTCATACATCAGCTTGTGAAGTGGAGATGGGTGTCACTTTCTCCCCTTGAACTCTCTCTTTTCACCATAGCTGTATGTTGCCCAAATTCCCTTTGCTAATGGGTGGATGTGTGGTAGTGTGGCCATGTATAGTGTTGCTCTTAGGCAGACTTTCCTGAGTAACTGTTGGAAAGGGAGTACATTAGCATGTGCATCGAGCATGTCATTAGAAGATGATCTTAGTCCTCCAGTTATAAGTAGCATGGCCATGTGTTGGACTCTTGACATTTGTGATGCAAAGCCTCAAGGGCCTCTTCCTCCCCTTTGTTTTCCTCTTCCCTTGGCTATTAGACCCAAGCACCAAACATCTGCTGCATACAACATCTTTGGTATGATCACCCCCTCATATAGTCGCTTCATTAGTTTGCTGTGCATTCCTTTCATTGGACATATCACCCTCATACAGGCTAGTGCATATTTTGTTCCTTTTGCAAGGGCATATGTTACGTGTTCTTTGAAGTTAAGGTTCTCGTCTATGATCATACCTAGGAATTTGTGTGATTTTGAGGGTTGGATGGTGTGGTCGCAGATGATGATCACAAGGTGGGGTTCTGGTGTTGTCTTTCAGGGGTTCTCCTCGCTTGGTATGCATGCCCTAGATAAACATATTAGCACGGTTTTCTCAAGTTCAAACTCAGTGTGGTGTTGTTCGCTCCATTCTAGTGCTCCTCCCCTCTTTTCCATCATGTTCTTGAGTTTTGCATTCAATTCTGCATACATTTTGGCCCTGGCCGCCAGTGCAACATCATCGAGGAATCCCAGGCTCAGTTCTCCTTTGCGTGGGTTAGGGTCAGCTACTTCCAGTACATCTGAGTTATAGAAGATAAAGGCTATTGGTGACAGTGGGCAGCCTTGATCTAGGCTGTCTGAGATGCTAAAGAGCTTAGATTGGTGGTCATTGAAGAACAGGTATGTTGTTCTGTCTTCTAGTCTTCTTCTGTACCATTCAATGTACTGTGTCGGTATTCCCTTCTTTCGCATGATGTGTAGGAGTTTGTTTGTGACTATGCTTGGGAATGTGGCTTTCACATCAAGAAAGAGCAATGATATGTGGTCTTCCTTCAATGCCCAGGTGTCTGTTATGAATTTCATTAGTAGATGGAGTGAGTCTACTGTTGATCTTCCTGGTCATCCACTGAAGTGAGTTTGTGGGAGTAAGCCATGTTGTTCTGCGATGTATGTGAGATCGTCTGCTACACAGGATGATAAAATCTTAGCCATGGTGTCTAGTAGCATGATCAGTCTGTATGCTTTTGGTACACTATAATCTGGTCTACCTGGTTTCCTCAAGATGATTGTTGATGAACATTTCCACTCATTGGGGTAGATCTTGAGTGTGAACATGGTGCAGAAGACAGGTGCCATGTATGGGACTGGCAGGTCTGTGCATTTGATGAAGACTATGTTGTGTATTCTGTTCAGGCCAGGAGCTTTGTGAGGTGCCAGTTTTGCTATCGCTCTGTAGATTTGCTGGTCCATAATGGGCTGGAAGTCACATACAGGTGGGTCATATTCAAATTCTGGGTCAATGAAGTCATTTTCCACTGGTGCTCTGAAGAAGACATTGTACAGCAACTCACTCTTTCAGGCATTGTCTTGAGTTGTGCTGTTTTGGCCATCAGCCATTGGGTCTTGTAGCATCTTTATTCTGGTGTGAATTTGTTCAGTTGGGTTGCTAGCTGTGTACTTGTTGAATGTCCAGATCCCTGCTGGTGTTAGTGTTTCCATTCATTCATTCCAGTGGTCTACCTTTGCTGTCATATCCCACAATCCGGACCCACATTCCATCATATTCCCACGCCTTCCAAGCCTACATCCAGATCCCACTTCATATCCAGCTCATTCCCAGATCCCCTCCCACTGTGCTCCACACCTCAGCAGGATTGACTATGCTCCTGATTTACCCCTGAGCTCCGGACCTCCGGATCCTCACTGCTAGCCTGATCCGTACAACCCTATCCTGTCCACCCTATGTGCACTCCATCCAGCAAGACATCCAGACTTCACCTTGTCTCGGATTCCAGACTATATCCACCTTCTTGTATTCCGGTCCTGTATCCACCTTGTCTTCCGGATCCCCAGATCTCCGGACCTCCGGATATTAATGCTGGACCTATTCCCACCCTCTGTCCGAGATCCTGCGCCTATCCCCATTTAGGCATCTCTACCTTTCCAGCTTTCGGTTACCTCTTCTTCCGTCTTGCTTATTGATCCTTGTACAAGTCTTCATCTCCGAGTTCATTTACTTATGTTCTGTCTTACTTACTAATGTGTTTCCACATGCTTGTACATAGCCTTGCTCCTTTGCTTACTGATCCCCTCAGATATTGTTCAGTATATAACCCCTGTAGATACTCCTGTAGTTCCCTAGTTTGAATATCAACTTAGACTTGCCCAATCCTCTCTCGGACTTTGGTCCAGCTAAGTCTGTCCTACCCATCAGGCCTAGGGATTGATTTCCTAGGCCGGAGCTCTGCCTTTCTGGCACTTACCCTCTTTCCAGACTTAGGTCCAATCCCTGTCTCTCCAACTCTACCTTAGGGTAGTCCACCTCTGTTTGTTTCTACATCGGACTTCGTCCGATGTAGCCCCTATTCCTTCCAGACCTCCAGACCTCCTGTCCCTCATACCTCCAGGCATCCTGTCCTTCGGACATTCCACCCTCTGTACCTTCCACCCTCCGTACCTTCCGCCCTCTGTACCTTCGGACATCCTGTCCCTCTGTCCTCCTGTCCCTCTGTCCTCCATCATCCTGCCCTCCTGTCCTCCTGTCCTCCTGTCCTCCTGTCCTCCTGTCCCTCCATCCTGTTTCCTGTAGAAGTATTACCTTGCAGTGGGAACTCTCCTGAGCACTTCCTGCATTCCTCCAGAACTCTCCCATGCTCCTCCGGACTTTGTTGGACCATCATTGGACCTCATATGAAATGAAGGGCACATACTCAGATAAGGGGCACAGCGTATGAGCTGAGGCCAAGCCCCTCTGAGTCAGTCTCTCCCCCTTGAGCAACATGGTACTTAACATTTGCTCTCTTGATGCTTTCCGAGAATTTGTTGTGTGCCGCTCTATATTCTTCATGGATTGGGTTGTTCCATCTAGCTTGGTGTTTGCATGCTTCTCTGGCTAGTCTGTGGACCGATTTGTGCTCTTTGTCAAGTTCCTTGGACCACCAGCATTTTGCATAGGGAGAGGGTTTTGTCATATCCCATATGCCAGACATAGATCCCATCATATTCCCACGCTTTCCGGACCTGTTTCTGGACCCCATATCCAACTCATTCCTGGATCCCCTATCCTGTCCACCCTATGCACATTCCGTCCAGCAAGACATCCAGACTTTACCTCCTCTCGGATTCCGGACTACATCCACCACCTCACATATCTCAGTCCTGTTTCCGCCCTGCCTTCCGGATCCCCAGATCTGCGGACCTCCGGATATTAACTGTACTATCTCCGGACCTATTCCCACCCTCCATCCGAGATCCTGCGCCTATCCCCATTTAGGCATCTCCACCTTTCCAGTTCTCGGTTATCTCTGTTTCCGTCTTGCTGATTGATCCTTGTACTAGTTTCATCTCCGAGTTCATTTACTTATGTTCTGTCTTACTTACCAAGGTGTTTCCGCATGCTCATACATAGCCTTACTCCTTTGCTTACTGATCCTCTCAGATAGCCTCTAGTATATAACCCCTGTACAACTACAGTAGAGTCCTCAGTCTGAATATCACCTTAGACTTGCCCAATCTTCTTCCGGACTTCAGTCCATCTGAGTTTGTCCTTGTCCATAAGGCCTAGGGATGGATTCCCTAGGCCAGAATTCCGGACCTTCGGATTTGCCCCCTATGTCTCTGTCCCAAGTCTAGGGATTGCTTCCCTAGGCTGGAGTCTTGCCTTTCCAGCACTTACCCTCTTTCCGGACTCAGGTCCACTTCCCGTCCCTCCGACTCTACCTTAGGGTAGTCTACCTCTGTTTGCTTCTACATTGGATGAAGTCCGATGTAGCCCCTATTCCTTCCGGACCTCCGGACCTCCTGTCCTCTGCACCTCTGGACGTCCTGGTATCCTGTCCTTTGGACGTTCCACCCTCCATACCTTCAGATGTTCCATCCTCCATACCTCCGGACCTCCTGTCCTCCAGACCTCCTATCCTTCCATCCTGTTTTCCTGTAGAAGTATTACCTTGCAGCGGGAACTCTCCTGAGCATTTCCTGCATTCCTCCGGAACTCTCCCGCGCTCCTCCGGACATTTCCCGTGCTCCTCCGGAAGTCCTCCCACACTCTCCACCAGAGTAGCCAGCCTCCGGAAGTCCTCTGGACTTCATTGGACCATCATCGGACTTCCTCTGAAATGAAGGGCACATACTTGGGTAAGGGGCACAGTGTACGAGCTGAGGCCAAGCCCCTCTGAGTCAGTCTCTCTCTCCTTTGAGCATGGTTCTTAACAGGTTTGGTCTTTGGGATCTTGGCTTTGACCATCTCTGTTATGCTTCTCATTATTGCTGTTAGGGCTTGCTCAAACTGTGTGCAAGTTGTTAGTTCCTTTGGGGGTAAGATTGCACTTAGCTTGTCCGATAGGTGTTCTCTGAATTCGTTCCAATCAACCTTGTGATAGTTGTGCTTCAGAGTAGGTGCTGTGCATTCAGGTTCTTGTCTGGGCACATCAGGTTTCTCGTGTTCGATGCCTCTAGGGTGGCTATTCCTGGTGGAAGTACCTGTATAAGGTTATATAGCGATAAAATATTTATTAACACTGCCACAGCATTTAGGTTCACTGCGGTGAATAAGTGGGTATTATGTCTGGGTTCCCACATGGGGTGATGGTGATTGAAATCACCCAACCACATTATGTACTCTTGTTTCGCTCCTTGTTCATCTTGAGTGATTTGTTGTGTATGTGCCTGTCTGGCATTGTGCTCAGTGGCCATGTGTCTCTTGAGGAAGTGGAGAGTGTTGTTGTTGTCACAAGCATTATATATATTGTATATGCGCACCTTCCTGAAGTTGCCAGTTATTTCAATTGCCATTACATTTGGTGATTTGATCATGATGATGTGCCAGTTGTTCTTTGAGAGCTTCTTGTTGACTAGCATGATTACTTGTGTCCTGTCAGGACTGGTGTGGTGGTCTGACGGGTATAGTACATCCCAGTATTGTCTAAGATTAGAAGTGTTAGCTAGTTTTACCGGGTTTAGGTAGGGTTCTTGTATACAAGCTATATCATAGTAGTTCAAATCTAAGTTTTTGAACATATGCTCCTATGCCAGGAGCAATTTCCTAAGGTTTTGTTGCCATATTCTAAGGTCATTCCTTGCTGGTAGTTGGTCATTGGGTTGTTCTGGCATTTAGTCAAAGGTCTTGGTCATCGCTCCAGCTGCCTGGGTTGTAATCTCCAATTAATGTTGGTGCTCTTGGTAGTGGTGGGGTTTGCAAGCTGGTGTTGCTGGGCATTGAATCAATGCATTGGGTCTGAGGAAGGTTCTGGGTTGGCATCTGAGGGCATTGAGATTGCAAGGTCCATAGGTCCATAATTCACATTTGTCCCCCCAGGGGGGCGTGATTGGGGTTCTAAGTGGTGGTCCTTTGCAGTCTTTGTTGTCTTTCAACTGTGTGCCATTCATTTTCCCTGTTTCTTGGTGGGGGGTACTTTTGATGAGGTTGTTCCTGGGGGGGTTGTGGTGGTCTTGGTTATGGGTCTTCTTGGTCGTTCCATTCAGTGTCTGAGTTCGAGATCTTCTCTCATGTGAGAGGATCTTCAGTCAGGTAGAAGCAGTACTTTGATTCTGCATTTCAGTTCTTGTGGGCGTTCCAATTCTGGATGAATGTTGGGCAGTCTCTGTCCCATGCTGTGTGGCCTTGGATGTTGCAGTTTACACAAAAGAAGTTGTTTCAGTCTGTTATTGTGCATGCTGCTGTTCTGTGTAGTCTGGTGCAGGTTCCACAGGTGTCAAACTCCTGTTGGCACTCTGCTGCCATGTGCATGCCTTTGAATGAGTGGCATTTGAGGCATCTGGATGGTTCAGTAATCAGTTTTCTTGCGTATACTTTCTTGCCTGCAATCATTAGGCCAAACTGGATTGCCTGGTTGGTGCTCTCCTTGGTGTTGAAGGTTAGAATGATATAGGCCATTCACTGTCCCAGGTTTTGCCTGCCAATTGGTTTGATGTATCTTGCCTTCATTATTACCTTTGTTTTCATTCCTGCTTTCTGCTCAATGTCGGCTATTGCCACTGGGTTTTCTGGTATGAAGCTGACCAGTACGTTCTCTACTATAACATGGTATGCTCTTTCTCTGATGGTGACCTTGATTCCAAAGCCTTCAAAGAATTTGCTGTGGTTTGATGGAGTGTTGAACCAGGTGGCTGATTCCACAGAGTTGAGTTCATATAGGACACCTCCATGGGGCAGGCATCTAGCTGATATGAACTTGATGTTCTGTGGGGTGTTAGTTTCCTCCTTTTCCATCACTTCTACTGCCAAGTTTGCTTTTGCAACCAGTTGGATCTCTGTTAGGTTGATAAGTGTGTTGGTGTAGTTTGGTGAGCATCTTTCTATGAGGATTTGGCGTGCCTGGGATACGTTTCAAGCTAGTACCTTGGCCAGGGGGGCAGGTATGCCTTCCTTTGTTGCTGTGGCATATGTTCTTTGGTCACTTCTAGCTGTTGTACCTTCAGTTATAGTAGTGTTGTTCTTGGGCATAGCAGTGTTTTCGGATACCTGTGATACTTTTAGTGCAATGAAGTTTAACTGTTTGCTTACCTCTGTTGCTGTGTATTCCATCATCTCTTTGTGTTTCTCCACAACTTTCTTGAGCTCCTCCACTTTCTCATCTAGTGTGGCCACTGGTCCTCCCATCAGTGCTTGAACTTTCTTGACTATGTTCAGCACATCTATTTCTCTATCAACTTCATTTAGCACAAAGGCCATTGCTCAGAGGATGTCCATATGTGTCACTCCAAGGTTGGCTGAGATACTAAATTCAAACAGGGCTGTTGCTATTGGCTGTAGCATGTTGCCTGCTGTTGGTAGCACTAGCCTGTGTGTTGATAAAGTTTTCCTTGCTGAAATGATTGAGTTGACATTGGTTCTGATGCCTGTGCCTAATGCATAGTCTTCGATTGGTTTGCTTGTGGATAGAAGGGGTTTGTTTGCCGTTGTTTTGCGGTTGTTCATGCGTGTTGATTGAGAGGCGGTGGGGTTCGGGGTGGTTGCTGGGGCCATAACGTCATTTTGTTGGTAGTTTCTTGATCCTTGAGGTTTGGTTGTTGAATATCTTGTGTGGTTCGCAGTGTTGGGAACGCTGTTTGGCGTCCTTGGCACGGTCGGGTGCGTTGTTGGTCGTTTGTTTCCGGGGTCCTTGTTGGGGTGCCACCTGGTATGGGTCCAAGAAGCCAAAAACTGGTCTTATAGCCAGGTGGTTTCCACAACAGAATCAAAATCTGTCAAACCTGCAGACGACAAGGTTTTTTCCCCATCGGAACACCCTTTCACACTCTCTCATTGGTCCTGGATAGTGTTGTCCGTTGTGTATCTTAACTGGTCTTATCCAAGCGGTTACGGCGACAGAATCAAAATCTGTTTCTCTTGGACTGCGCAGGTTCAAAACCTGCCGAATGACAGGTTTTTTTTCTATCGGAACCCACCTTGACATTTGACTCATGGATGATTTTTTCGGAAGGCCATCCAACTGGCCCTAGCCGAGTGGCTACCACAGCAGAGTCAAAATCTGCTTCTCTTGGAGTTGGTTCGAAACCCGCTGGCAATATTTTTGTGGTGTAGGTCATGTTAGCTGGTAGGCCCAGTCATTGCACCGAAACCTCCTTTTTATGTGACAGTCTATCCATGAAAAGCCTGAGGAATTCACCTTCATGTCCTGCGATGGCTTCAGCTTTTCCTTGGAAAGTTTTCTAGTCATCATCCATAACTTATGGGCATTTGGGAAGGTGATTCAACGAGAACACAATGCCAAGAACTTGAACACCATTCATACACTGCAGGTGTTGATTCCACCAGGCTTGTTCATCGTTTAATCACTGTAAGTTATTCTTATTCATCACTCTCGATTTCTTAATGCACTCATCGCAATCCCGGCGAGCATGGCCAGCGGAGAGGTCAACCTTGCTCGGTATTTCACAAGCAACTGCAGTTGAACAAGCTGAATGCACGAACGATATGGTGTTACGCTCGGCGTTCGTAAGAACGACTAAACAGTCACAAAGAGTCTAAAGCATACACTTATGTACGAGTTGTGCGAGTTAAGCAGTATATTGCAGGCCCTGGTCTGTGTAGGTCAAGTTAAAGAATACAAGCGTAAGAGATAGAGTATATATAAGGGAATTAAAGCGGAGCTTTAATAAATGAATCGGAGATGGAAAGTAAATAGCAAATCAGAAAAAGAGAAGAGAATCGTACGATAGAATATTGTAGAATGTTCTGTGAATAAGTGAAGAGGAGAAAAGAGAAACTGTAACATTACCCCCGTTGTAAGGGTAGTAGGCACCAACTACTATCAAAGAAGGCGATGCGATCGTTTATAATTAGTAAGAAGTTCGGAAGCGTTACCTAGTTCGGCTTCCTTCATCCATTCATTCTCAGAACTCGGGAATCCCTTCCACTTTACATAATATTGTCTTCTAGATGAAGATCCGCGGTGTCCGACGACCGCTTCAACTTCGTGTTCTTCTTCGCCATTGACCAAGTCAGGAGGAGGTGGGATATAATTAGGGCCGTGGGTATCGTTCTCTTTATAAGGAGAAAGGAGTGCGGCATGAAATACAGGATGAATGCGCCATTGCGCAGGAAGGGCGAGTCGATAAGTTATTGGGGAAAGGACATCGGTGATAATAAAAGGTCCCTCGCGTTTAGGAGCGAGTTTTCGGTTAGGGTATCCCAGATGGAGGTTTTTGGCTTCGAGCCATACCTTATCGCCTTTAGAGAATGGTACGAATTTGGACGTAATTCGTTGACGCATGGTATTGCATGCGAGTTCATGAGCGGCTAACGCTTTGTCATGTGCTTTATTTAGCAAAGAGAGTCGTTGTTCAATATTAGGGATGTCGGATTTCGGATGGGAATCGGGAAGATGACGTGGGTGATAACCCATCATAAGATAAAAAGGAGAAGTACCACGTGCTGAATGGTGGCACGAGTTATGAACGAACTCGGCTAGTGGTAACATGGGCGCCCAACCGGTTTGGTCATTAGCGCAGAAGATCCGGAGATAGACTTCGAGTTCTTGGTTTACTCATTCGGTCTCTCCATCACTTTGGGGGTGGAATGCAGTGGAGAGGGAATTCTTGTATCCGAGGAGTTTTCCGAGTTCAACCTGGAATCTGGAAGCGAACTGAGGTCCACGGTCAGAGATAATTTTATCATAAAGTCCGTATCTAGAGAAAACTTTAGAAAAGAAAATGTTCGCAATGCCTTCAGCGTCTATTGTCTTGAGACAAGGGGTGAAAATTACCCCCTTCGAAAGTCCGTGGTCGACCACGACTATAATAGAGTCGAATCCGTCGGAAAGGGGAAGGTCGGTGATAAGGTCTACCGAGCAATGAGTGAATGGTCAGTTAGAGATAGGAGCCGGGATAGGGGAGAGTGGCGGAGTCGAAGGGTGCGTGTTTACTTTATTCTGTTGGCAGATGCAACAGCCTTCGATGAAGTTCTTGACGAAAGTGGCTAGGCCTGGCCACCAATAGTCTTGTGAGAGGAGTTCCTGGGTTTTGAAACGTCCAGGGTGTCTGGCGGTGGGGGAGTCGTGATGTAGAGAGGTGAGTTCTCGACGGAGATCTCCGGGTGGTACGTAAGTGAGTTCTTTAAAGGAAAGGATTCCGTCATTCAATTTCCAATCAGAAAGAGCAGAGCGGAGAGGAGGGGGAATAGAAGGGTCCGTAAGCGCTTGGAGTGCGGTATGTACTACTGGATCAACGGAAGAAGAAATACGTAATCTGTCCATAAAGGAAGTGTCAACGACATTAATAAACATTGAGTCAGGAAGAAGTTGGATACTAATATTGTCCTTTTCGTCACTATCGACTGGAAGGTGATCTGTTCTACGGGAAAGGAGATCGGGAATAATAAGTTCTTTTCCAGGTACGTGCTGGATGTGGAGTTCGAATTGAGAAAGGAAAGTTTGCCATCTTGCTTGGCGTCAGTTAAGGTCTTGTACGTCCCTAAAATAAGTGAGATTTTTATGGTCAGTTTGTACGGTTACAGGGTAAGGTGATCTGAGGAGATAATGCCTCCACACTTTCAAAGCGCAGACGATAGCGAGTAATTCACGATCATAGATCTGGTAATTACGTTCAGCAGGATTAAAAGATTGAGAGAGGAAGGAACATGGGAGCCAGTCTCCGTTATTGTTTTTCTGAAGGAGTACTGCTCCAGTGGCATATAATGATGCGTCAGTAGCAATTGCAAACGGGGAATTCTTGTCGGGTATCTGGAGGATTGGTGATGAGGTAAAGATACGCTTCAGCTTATTAAAAGCTTCCTCACGTTCAGGCGTCCAGGTGAATTCTTCATCTTTCTTGGTAAGATCGATCAAGGGTCTGGCAATCGAAGAATAGTCAGCAATAAACCGTCTGTAAAAGTTAGCGAATCCGAGGAATGATCGGACTTCCTTCACTTTCGTGGGAGTCTTCCATTCGGATATACCCTTTAATTTAGCAGGGTCCATGGCGATAGAACCGGGTTTGATGATCATGCCGAGATATTCAATATCGGTTACGTTGAATGTGCATTTTTCGGGTTTAAGGTGGAGTAGGTTGTCGCGGAGTCGTTGAAGTACTTTGTGAGTACGGATACAGTGAGTTTCGTCATCTCTAGAAAAGATTAATATATCGTCCATATAAATGATGATCCACCCCTCCTGTATCATATCTCCGAACAAGTCGTTCATCATCGATTGAAAGGTAGTGGGAGAATTACACATTCCGAAGAACATGACCGTGGGTTCAAAAAGTCCTCGGGAAGTGGTGAAAGCCGCTTTCCATTGATCAGTTTTTCTCATACGTACATTGTTATAGCCCCATCGAATGTCCATTTTGGTAAAGATCTTGGCATCCTTTAGCTTATCTATAAGATCAGAGATTAGCGGTAAAGGATAGTTATTCTTAACCGTGTGTTCGTTCAAGTAGCGATAATCTTGGCAGGGTCGGAGGGAACCGTCTTTCTTCCCAACGAAGAAGAATGGGGAGGATTGAGGAGATTCGGAAGGGACGATCATCCCTTTAGCTAGATGTTCGTCAATGAAATCGTTCATAGCCTTGTCTTCTTTGGCGTTAAGCGGATAGATTTTGCATTTCTGCGGTTCAAAGGATTCTTTGAGGTCAATCTTGTGGTCATATTTTCGTTCTGGAGGAAGGGTACCATTAGCTACGTCACCAAATACGTCTTTGTATTGTCTGAACTCTTCGGGTACAAGTTCTTCAAAAGTTTTCTTTGGTTTGGCGGCATCCTGGGCGAGTGTCTGTGAAATATTGTCAGTTTTCCGGATATAGGTATAGAAATCGTCGTCATCGTTGATGGGATCTAGAAGGTGTGGGAGAGTTTCATTAGCAGGATCCCACTCTGGTTCTAATTCTTCTAGAGCGTCATAAAAGACGTCTTCATTTTCTTCGACTTCGGTAATGAATGCTTTTTTCAGGGTACGCTCCCTTAAGCAGACTTCTTGGTTAGTCCAATCGATATCTGGGTTTTCTTTCTTTAGCCATGTCATTCCCAGGATAGCGTCTTCTCCTCCTAGAGAGGTTACGAAGAATTGCTTCCACATCAGGATATCTTTGATTAAGAATGAAAGTTCACAGTACCGTGTGATTCTTCCGGCTTTGTTTAACGTGCTGTCTACGTTACGCACAGGTATCGGGGTTTCAAGTTTGTGCGTGCGAATGTTCTCTTTGAGTATGAACTTCTCGTCAATAAATTCACCTTCTGCGCCGCAGTCAATTAGAGCGGCAGCTACGGTGGTTTTTTCGGTCTTCTTCGATCTAATGGTTAACGGCAAACGAATAGAATTAGTGTCTCCAATAGATTGTACTAAAAGTCCGATTCTGGGAGTTTCTGACACCGTGGCAGTCTTCCCTATGCAAAATCCTCCTCGTCGCTACTTTCTTCCTTCTTAACCAGTTTCTTACTGGCTTTCTTCATCTGGCATGCTTTAAACACCTTCCACTCTTGGAATTCCTTGTAGTCGTCGTCAGATGACTCCTTGACTACTTTCCTAGTATTGGTTGTAACCGTGGGATGGTTAGGGCAATCTATGGCTAAGCCCTTCTTACCGCATTTGAAGCAGAGGCCGCCTTTGCGCCTGCGCTCCCGTTCTTGAGGAGTTAAGTAAGTTTTCCTCATCTTCTTTTCACCTTCTTCGTCATCTAATTCTACCTTATCTATATCCATGGCGTATGGATCTTTCGCTTTGGTATAGGAAGGAGGTGCTATTAAGGTCCTTCGTACCTTGACGTCTAGGGCTTTCTCTAGCCACGTTTCGATGGTTGTGGGAGTCGTTTCAAAGGCATAAATGGCGGAGACTATCTCACGCTTTAGCCCGTTTCTGAAGAACATGATCTTCATGTTCTCCTCGGAGATACCGGTATCGGTGAGGATGGTGCAGAATAGAGAGGCGTAAGCAGCTACGCTGCCAGTCTGTCGGAGGGAGGAGATGCGACGAATCGCGGTTTGTTCAATGTTCTTAGGAAAGAAAGTGGATTTAAATTGCTTAGCGAAATCCAACCAGGTTCCGTAATTCTTGCTCGTGGCCGCGGCTTTGAGCTGGCCTTTGGCCCATTTAGCGGCTTCGCCTTTAGTCATAAGACTGAGGGCGAAAATGACTTTCTTCTTGTCATTATCATAGACTTCGTCGTTCATGTCTAGGTATGCCTCGACTTGAAGCGTCCATCCCTGTGCAAGGTGGGTGTCACCGTTGAAGGGTGCGGGGGTCTTTCCAATTTCTTTAGGCATTTCTGCTAATAGGGATCGTTCGTAGGTTTGGGTATGGAAGTTCCAAACTTTGTTCTTTGGGGCGATGCTAGCGTAGTAGGCTGCCCACTGGTCGATGGAGTATCTGGTGCCCTTGGCGTCTATCTGATAGAACTCTTGTTCTTCTTCGTCCCAGGTGAAACCAGGAGGTGTCGGGGCGATCGGTGGTATGGTGTCTGGTTCTGGGCACGAGTTCTAGGGAACCGCGCAGTAAAGAAGTAACTTGACCTTTTGTTACGCTCGGCGTTCGTAAGAACGACTAAACAGTCACAAAGAGTCTAAAGCGTACACTTATGTACAAGTCGTGCGAGTTAAGCAGTATATTGCAGGCCCTGGTCTGCATAGGTCAAGTTAAAGAATACAAGCGTAAGAGATAGAGTATATATAAGGGAATTAAAGCGGAGCTTTAATAAATGAATCGGAGATGGAAAGTAAATAGCGAATCAGAAAAAGAGAAGAGAATCATATGATAGAATATTGTAGAATGTTCTGTGAATAAGTGAAGAGGAGAAAAGAGAAACTGTAACATATGGTGTGGGGCTCACAGACAACAGATTCGCCATCGGGCGTCAATTCCAGGGCACAAGCGCCATCACGCACGAGGTAAGAAAGGTGATAAATTCTCGACAGACTGATCAAAACTGTCAGGATTCACCACCAAACGAAAAATATTAATGGAGCCGGAGGCCAGAAGAAAAGACAGAGTGAGTCTGACAGTCAGGAAAATGACGCAACCTCCCCACTTTTAGCTGTCAAGTCACCCCCGGTCACGTTGGAAGAGCCAACGACCGAAGGAACGTCCATCGATGAGGTTTCAGCAAGACCAGAAAGCAGCAGACCGGGCCATATCGTCCTGGTGTGGGCAGTTTGCGCGCTATGTTGATCCCGAGGCAGAACAAACCAAATATTTACTCTCGGTTGCAAGGCCCGGGCACCGGACAGAGATATCAACAGAAACTCGGAGGTCAACGCGAAATTCTAGAACATCCAATAATGGAAAACTATGCAGGAGTGGCCCACCGAGGCACACACAACCGAAAAGAGGGCCCAGCACTAGCGCTAGCGAGAACTGAATGAACAGATATAAAGACAAGCCTCAGATCTAGCGTCAAATGATTGTAACCGAGAAGGCCCGAGTAACGCGGGTGTAGCCGGCAGAGGTTTTGGGGATGGGAAACCGAAAGAGCCCTGATCGAGATCATCCATCAACGTTGGGACTCGGGGACAGCGTAGTTGAAACTGCAATCACGAGTGGCGCGTCATTCCGATCTGTCAGATATATGATATGGTAAGTATGGCCTGAGCAAGACGCGCTACAACTTTGATAAGGATAGGTGACGACTGTCTACATAAGCATAACACTACAATATTCTAATAGTAAATGGGAGCGAGATGAATACAACTAGGACTTGAGAATCGAGCTAGAATATGGATCCGGATATGAATAAAATACAGAGGTATGTGTATCAATAGATAGCAATAAACTATGCGATTGGCTCTATGATGGGGTATACGAGCCCTGGTATCTACGCGGAAATTAAAGAGAGAAAGGAAAAAAGTCAGCATATTATGAAGTAATTAGGTAAGAAGGTTACGATAGATAGAATTTTGGATCTATACGTCCGCGACATGTCTTTTCTTAGCGGCGGGCTCGCAGGTTTGAACCTTCAGCGCAATAACACCGGTGCCATGGACAGGGGCTATCTGCATCCTCTGGCATTCTGATCTTGCGTTCGCGTGGCTTCTCCTGCATGCATCTTCCCGTGCATAGTCGACATTGCAGGAGGTACATTTTATTTTGTAGCCGATATGAGTGACGAGGTGACGAGCGATGCTTGTACCTTTCATAGCAGCGCGCTTTTTTGAGGTACAGTCATCCCAAAGACAAGCGGTATCCCCTTCACCACCCGTGAAACCATGAAACCTAGCGAGATGATCTGTGACGCTGGCCTGATCGCCTTCGATATGCATACCACAGGGGGAGTGATTTTTGTCCCATTGGCATTCGTAAACGTGCAGTAGAAGTCGTCCGCCAATGCGCACGGCCGACTCGTCAACTAGGCAGTCATCGCAATCTACCTTTTGTGGGACTGATTGTTGATGACGAGATGGCTCCACGGGGGCAGTGACCTTGACGTGCTGTGCACGGAGATGCACAGGTGGCTGGGCACCATGAGGTGCTGCGATTGTACGTTTAATCCTAGATTCTGAGCGGGAATCGCATGCATGAGGCAATGCAGTTATCGTGGTGTCCCGATCTGCAAGGTCAGAATCCGAGGACCTTCTCCTCAATCGTTTCCCCAGAACTCCAGTACGCGGGGGATCTGCTGAATAAGGGCGAGGCGGTAGTTGGGTGGGCCCCTTGATGTAATGTGATGGCCGAGATAATCCGGCAGTCCCATGAAAGATGCCAAGCTGCTCGCATTCTTGAGCGTTCAAATGAAACGAGTGGCATGCGCCGACCGGCTCTTCTTGGGCAGTAAGGGAATAAGATCCGGGAAACGAGGAGTAGTCGGTAGGAGGGGAAAGCGTTGCAGGAAAAGGGTATGTAGGGGGACGATGGCGTGGTTCAGGATGCTGGTAGATCCAAGGAGGACGCGTGCTGTCAAGACTATCCAGAGAAAAGGGGGGCGATGTAGGATACGTCATTTCGCTTTTGTCATTGATGGTTAAGTAGGAATGATAGAAGGTAGTGTCTAGAGATAGTGCGTCATACTGATGGTTCTGACCTGCGGTCCTCGAGAAGCTGGCATCGATGGATCGGCCCTCATTGCTTCATAGAGCATCAGTAATGAACTGGAATAAATCTAGTAATAGAGGACTTACGAACACTGTTCCCCGGGTGCCAGGGCTATCTCTGAGAAAGAATATGTCGAATCATGCAGCAGGAGCTGATGGTCTGTGACACATGCATTAGACGGATCTGAGAAGTAGTGTCCCTGATAGACATGAGCAGATGACGTGTTGGGATTCGCGAAGCCAGGGAAGGTAGGAATGCGATCCTCAGATACATTTGGAAGTGAACGTAGCGGAGAAATGGAATGTGCGTGTTGTGGACTTGTATTAAAGGAGTGATGTGTTGAACGACTGCGGTGCCGAGCCATCGTAATTTTAATACATTGTATGATGACGACGGCCATTGTAACAAATCACCTTGTAGCATCGACGTCACCTAGATTTCGCGTTGCATCAGCCTGATTGCGTGGCAGAAAGGCTTCCTGCTCTGCAAGAGCGCGATCTTGTGGAACGGCACCAGTCGTCGTCGAAGAACGCTGCAGGAAGACCACCTGAGGACCCAAGGCATCTCTACAGTCCAAAGAATGACGTCAGAGATTTATCCGACAGTGACTCTTATCAACACACCTGATGGAAAAGGTGGAATAATCTGGACCCATCGCCGGGTTCTGAGAAAGGAAGGAGGTGAAGAGCGAAGAAGCAGGGAAATGAAGCTTCTATATAGCTACTCGTTCTACAACTGTGTGAACCCCATGGCGAACTCCAGTTTATATCTTGCACCGTGCCTCGAACACACCCCTAAGGGAGCATGTGAAGGCTCATAAGGCCAGCCGCATGCTTCTACAGCACTGATCCATGATCAAGCTGACGGGATAGGTGAGGCGAGCAACATAAGGGTGTCAAGCGCTCCAACCACGCGGCTGATAGATGTCGACTAGGCTGTGTGGGACCTTCGACTCTGACCTTAGCGCTTGGAAAAGCACCTAGATGGCTGCCAAGCACAGCGAACCAATACTCCGATGCACAGCATTTGCAGCGACGATGAGGGACATTCGAACACGCTCGATATTCAGTGTTGCGGTAGCTCCACTAGTACTGCGACTGCCACATTTGTGAATATGTTCTAAAACAGAGGACAAAAACCACAATTCGGTTGGTGATGCGACTTATCGCTTGTAGATAGGCACGCGCCCTTTCAATCAGCTCAGAAAGAGTCATTTGACTGACGGGTTATGAACATGTCTGCAGCAATGCACATCAAATATCGGGAGGCGGCCGAAGTTGGAATATGAGTCGCGCCCATAGCTATAAGAGCACGCATTCGGACACTTGCGGGACGGGTTAGTAATAGGTGCATCAATTTCAGGGAACTCCCGCACCACGTTGCAGGACGGGTCACTGGTTGACAAAGACGTGTTTTTCATTTCGCATAAGCAAAGTGTGAGGTGGAGGAGGAGCAGGACGTCTTCACCCGACCAGTGGCAATCAGTGCAAGCGCATTTCGCCATTTGGCTTAGCTGTATTTGAAATAATGATAACGACAAGCCGCGTCGGAGAAACAGCCAAGGAAGGTAAAGGCTTGTATGGCCTAAACGTCTTCAAGCCTGTAGACGTCATATGCAACCTCTTCATATGGATGAACCTAAAGGTGCCTAACGTCAGGACGTTCGCATCCGATCTTACGAAAAAACATGTCTTGCCGCTTTCAGGTGACTAATCGCATCCTTGAGTTGTGCTTTATCGCCTTGGTCACTAACCACAATTTCCACCCTGTCCTCATCCACGCGTTCGAGCTTCCCAGGCTCTCCAGTAAGAGGTTGAGCACCTGGCCCTGGCTTGAACTGCCCTATGGATGACCTCAGACGAATCGCCCAGACGGAATCAACTTTGACAAAACCACTGCCTTACCGACTCCAGGAGTGATGAATGCGCATTCCTCATACTGACCAATCTTACCGAGTACATTCGGGCATTGTTTAAACAGCATGCTCAGGATCTCCGCGGTGTGAGTTTTTGGGGCAAAAAATACAAGTTTAAACCGGAGTGACATCATCGAAGTTGACAAGAGGTCTTCGGAATGAAACACGTCTAACGCCAATAGGTAGTATTACCCTGAAGCTAGTGATAGCGGCAGCCAATTTTACAATTTCCTTTTTTGACGTAGTACATTCGGGTGCAGTGGTCAGTGTCGACGATTGTTGGCCACGTTGATGAAGGTTGGTGAGGTCGCGTCTACTGTAACGGGGGAAAGCTAACGTTGTGTGTCCCATTTTTGAAGATGAATCTGTCATTATACAGCGTAAACGCATTCCTCATCTTAGATGCTGAAGGACATCGCGTCCTTGCCAAGTACTATCGACCCAAAGGTCATCCCCAGGGCGAGTCCAAGGATCTTCTGACATTGAAGGACCAACGAGCATTTGAGAAGGGTCTATGGCAGAAAACCAAGAAGCCTGGAGGTGCGTAACTGCATGTATAACAGGAAACCTACTCACGGGTAGCCCGTCGATGCATACGTGTTCAGCTGATATCATACTCTACGACGGTCGTCTTGCAGTCTTCCGACATTCATTAGATCTCATCTTCTACATTATCGGCGGTGCAACAGAGAACGAAATCATGCTCTATTCTGCTCTCACTGCGTTCTCTGATGCAGTCCATTTGCTGTTGCGGAATCAGGTTGAGAAGCGGGCTGTGCTGGAGAACCTCGACATGGTTCTTTTGTGCCTGGATGAAACGATCGATGATGGGTAAAGCGTTATTTTGATCAAAGGTCCAATTCGTATGCTCACCGCCATCACAACAGAATTATTGTGGAAACAGATTCGACGACAATTGCATCCAGAGTTAGTCGACCAAAGGCCGACACGACTGAGATTGTAATCAACGAGCAGACGATTATGAATGCGTATCAGACCGTCAGGGAAAAGGTCCAGCAGAGGATACAACAGCTGTAGATCCATTCTTTGTCTGTACTTTGTACTGTCCATCATAGAACATTTGCATTTTTCAGGAACCCTTGCCCAACTAAGCTATGAAAGCAGACTGGCCGATGCACAACAAGCACTTTCTAAATAGTAACTTTGACAATCTCTAGATGATAACAGTACAGAACGATTGTATCATATGGGGATGACGGGGAAACGATTGGCTAACACTCGTACAACAAATTGCCCTAACTGATGATACATAGCGGTTCAATGTCCATACCGGATGGGAACTCTCTGCAGTAACTGCATATAACCCTACACCAATGATAAGTCTGCGTACTCCTACATTTAGTTTTGCCCTCCGATCGGACCCGGGGTCTGCCTAAGCTCATCCCCCTGCTTCTATTGAAGTCTCCATATGCTCTAAATCCCACAAATCGACCTTCCGACGATTGAACAGGAAGCAACGCCCCATTCCGTGAGCACGGAATACTTGAACATTTGTTTGAATCACCTCAGGCTTAGAGAAGCGAACTGCAAGGGAACTCAGCAACCGAACCAAAAATCGATATAGGTGTTACTGACCTTCCCTGCCTGGTACTACCAACGTGGGCGATGTACTCATATACAGCTGCACTGGATGCAGCAACGGCGGTCAAGGCCGCTGCAATCTTTTGCAGCGTTGATACCGACTCAGCAGAGAGGCTGAAATCGGGGTGCTCGTAAATAGCATATGGACGCATAGTGGCTTGTTGTGTAAGGATTGCCGGGAGCGTCAAGGGTTAGGTATCGATGAACCACAAGAGCTGCAACAACTTCAAGACAAGGGAGAATGCGAGGTTACGGAGCGACTGCCGATAACTTACCAAGAAGTGGCCCTTTAATACTACAAGCTGTTGCCGGAACCGACTTCGGGTAAGCATAATGCGATGACCACACACGTTATCATTGCTCGCTTAGATTTCTGGCAGCCGATGCTGAGTATAACGGTAGACGGTCAATCTCCCCTGATATACATAATTTTCACTGCCATGTTTCAGCATGTTTCATGATCCACAACTAAGGGCCGGGAAATAACCGCCATAACCGGAAAGATATTCGCGCTGGCCAAGCTTCGAGGTTGTATGGTACGAAATTGAATTTGGTTTTGGTTGCTGTGTCTGACAGAAACAGCTAGTGCAAATAATCGTAAAACAATTGAGGACAACTCATCGTTGCCCTTCCTTGAAAAGTGCTCATATGGGTCTCCGAAAGACATCGTAAGCAAGATCAGGACTGGAACACACTAGCTTGCATAGGGACAGAAACGCGCACGAGTTTGCACAGCTATCTCAAAATGGACGTTAATTTAACGCAACTACACGTGTCGTATGCATCGTCGATAACGCATTCCATCACAACCTTCTCTAGAAAACCGAGAACAGAAGACAGGTGTGAAATAGTTATATATGTACCTATGTATATATAAGTGCAAAATGAAGAGTCGAAGGTCAATAGCCTGCGGGAAACGGACTAAGCGGATTTGAATGCAGGCTCAATGTCGCAGGGTGAGTCATGGGAACGGTATTTAGATCGCAATAACACATCTGTCCCAAACAATGCCTGGACATCGAATAACAAGAGACACGTCATGATGTACGGGAGGAAAGATGAGGATTATCAGACTGGGCCACTCACACGACCTTATCGGATCCGATTCCAGCATCCATGGATCAGTGAATATTTATCCACCAGTAGATAAGGTCGACTGAAAGATTGTGCATCACAAACAACATCACAAGCGTCAAGGGACTCGTCACGGGTTTGGTATCAGTAAGAAAACATAGCAGGTGTCTGAAGTAAGCAAAAAGAATGTTGTAAATGCGGAACGCACTGAAAGCGAGTGGGAGGTATATGACTAGAACAAACACACAAAATTGCTTGGGAACACATGCCTACCAGCCTGTCGTCTAATTTCATCAAGCAATTCTCCACTCCACCACCCGTCCTCCGGGGTATCAGTTACGGCGATGATATCGCCCGCTTGGAAATCAAATTCTTCGTCAATTGTTGCTGCATAATCATACAGAGCTTTCACTGTGAGCACAATTCATGTTATGAACACACCAAGTACACTTTCAAGTCATAAAACATACCGTAGAACAGGATGGGACGACCATCATCAGTATAGGCACCTGTGGGAGGCGGTGGATGGCGTGGGAGCTGTGGGGAAGGTGTACGTGTCATAGCAGGGCTTGGCGCCCGGTAGGTATTTGTGTTATGAACATAGTATGGTTGCTGAGGGTGCTGATGATTGATGGCACCCTGGCTTGGGTGAGCTGCAATTGACGGATTCCGTGCGGGTGGACCGTAGTTGTTGTAAGGCTGCGATGGCGGCGGAGGTGGCTGGTAAGGAACAACAGGCTGGGAATCATATTGAGGACGTTGAGGCGTGTGATTATAGTTGCTGTAAGGTTGTGGTTGTGGAGCGGGCGCACCATAAGTCGCCACAGTACCATAATCAGCGCGAGGCGGCGGCTGCCGGTTGTCATTATTATTATACCCTGGGTATGATTGGGCGCTGGATGGTGGTGCTTGGCCGTAGGGTGGTTGTCGCGAGGGTTGGTGTGCCATATGATCCACAACGACGCGTCCATCTGGGCCGAGAGCAATGCCGACTGGGTTGTTCGGCGTGACTGGCCTTTGAGCGATTGATGGCGCACGAACCAGTGACCCTGCTGGAGGCTGAGGACCTAGATTTTGAGTGCCAACACCAGGATAACCCCCCCTACTAGTCGGGCGTACCCCATTTGGATCCTGGGTTGTGTGATTGTTTACAGGGGGCGGCGGACCAACAAAGCTATTGGCCCTGCTACGAGACCGTTGTTCTCCTGGGAACGTACGACCGTAGTTATTGAGTACTTGCTCGACTGGGATACTCGAGGAAGGTGGCGGAAGTGAGGGTGGCGGAGGGGCTGCAAGAACGGGTTTAGGAGGATTTGGAGAATTCGAACGTGATGGTGCTAGAGGGTATGACCCAACTACGACTTCAGCCGAATTGCGGAAATCGCGATTGCCAGAGTGGACCGAAGATGGGGTAACGAGAGATTCAGTGGTAGCTTTGCGGGGATCTTGTCCTGAGAGTGTATCTCTGCGAACGGTAGGACGTCTAGCCACGTTCTGGGCAGCAGTGCTCAGCTCAGCCATTTGCCTGACTAATGGGTCATTTTGCTCTCCAACAGGAGAACTCCGAGGTTGGCCTCTCTGCTGTTGTGGGTCCTTGTTCGGATCAACATTCCAAGTCTGCCCTCCGATAACTAGCTGTGTGTTAGAGACCGTAGGGTCGACTGGATCCCCACGGGGCTCTTGTGTAGGCCGAAGGGCGGAGGCTGTGCTATTGCGCCTCGGTGCCTGAGACGCCTGAGATTGAACATCACGGAGAGGGGATACGTGTCCGTTGACACCATTAGTTTGAGAGCGTCCACTTTGAGATCTTTGGGTCTGACTTCTCGCGAGAGCAGATTCAGCAGGAGAGCTACGACTTCCTGCACCAATCGCCCCTACACCTGCATGGTTTGTATCGTCGTAGGGGTCTTCGGGTTCCGGAGGTGGTGCGCTACGCCCTGCCGATGACCTCTGGGATGTTCGAGCATAGGTTGCAGGACGAGTAGCAATGCGAGTAGAAGATGAGGGCACCGCATCGGAATTGGTGTAGTTGACGAACGCCGGTGGTTCGGGTATCGCGTTTCCCGTTGCGTAGTCGCGAACAAAATTTTCCATCTCCTTCTCCGGTTCCATTTGTTCCAAGGCGAGTCGCATTTTCTCGCAAGACTATATAGACCGATTACTGAACAGCGATAGCCAATGATGGTGGAAGACTTACCTCGTCATCTGAGACACATACTGTTGATACGGAATTAGCATAGGCCCACATATTATCCTTCATGAACTCCATTCGCTCTTCCTCGAGATCTTGACATGTGTCGCAAAATGCCTTCCAATCCTGCTCCCATTTCTGCATAGTCTCTTGCAGCACCCGAGTAAACTGAGCGTAATCATTTTCGTTCACTTGCACTGTTTGCTGGGCACGCTCGAGCTTCAGGTGAATTTTCTCGAGATCTTTGCCCTGAACTAGCGTCGACTGAGCAGTGTAGGAGTTGATACGAAGGCAATCAGATTCATATTTCTCCCGAGCTTTGCTTGCGTGCTGTTCGCGTGTTTGCTTCACTTTGAACTCCTTCTCGATAGCGGCTTGATACGTCTTCTTGTGGTGTTGCTGCCTGGCAGAGAAAGCCGCGGCCTGACCTTCGAGATCATTCCGTATTTGCTGCGAAAGCTGCAGGTGAAAACCGGCTTGCTTATCGGTTTCCAAGCGCAACGTATCCACGGAGTTTCGTAGTTCCCTGCGAGTTGCGATCAGTAATGAAACCCAGGCGTAAGCCACACGTCAGATGCAAAGTTGCGCCACCACGCAGCTGGACGCTGTGTGTTCGACCCGAGTAATGAGACGGGAAATACAACTCCCTAAGTACTCTGTGGAACAACGTGTAGTTCTGCAACTTGCAGAGCCACACCTGTGCCATCCCGCCCGCCCGACCAGAGCGGCCCGCAAGCGAAGGTCAGGGTTCGAAGAACTTGAGTAGCTCACCCTATTTCATCCTTGCCAATTGACATTTTGGCCAACTTCGCGAGCCGTTTTGCATAATCTTCCTCGATCGCAGATCTGTAGACATGTGTAAAGCTCAATGGGAAAAATATACGAGAGCCAAGTTACCTCTCCTTCCAGAAGTTCCTCAACTCCTCCATTGTCCTTGCTGCTCCACGCATTCGAGCAAACAATACATCTACTCCTCCATCTGCGACACCCCAGAAAGAGTTACAAAAATCCAAAGAGCGAATGTTGGTATCGGGCGATGTGGTCCGTGCATATTTGGCTAGAGATGTTGTCGATGACTGCCTCCTGGCAGACATAGTGCGTGATTTATGGAGAAATCGACAATCAGGAGAGGTACAACAATTAAATTTAAAGTACGGAATGTCGTCGTTTCAAAATGAACTTGGTCGAGTCCGTTAGGTTGTTCTTGAGTGTGCGTATTCACGCCTCAGCAATTGTGGCAGTGCCATTTCGGTGCGTGAACTGCCACACAATTCAAATTGCGGCTATACTAGTAGCCCTCGCATATTGAACAAAGCAATTCGCTCCGGCTCTAGAATCTTGTTCCAAGGCCCAGTAAAGATCATCAAGAATGATTCAATAGCGGTGTTAGCACTCAAGGATGAAGCAAATGTTTCGTAGAAGGCAGTTGCGCTTTAAAAACAGGCACCCCCGAAACCTGGTCAGGATGATGTGTTGCAGGCCCTGGAAGACAATTTTAGAGGTAGACAGCGAGAGAAATTTCCCTCAAATGCGGTGTAAATGTGCCAAAGAATAGGAGAATGGGTAGGCAAGTTCCTACTGTCATCTTCAAGTACTCTTTTTCAGCGGACATGACGGCGGTGGCGGAAGTGGTGCGTTACTGGTAACTATGCATCAAGTCCATCAGTAACGGTTATCAATTTTTGTTATGTAGATGACACATAGCCACTAGACGAAGGCTGAGAGAGGTTGACCGTTGAACCTGGTTGGCCAGACCTTGCCGATGATATTCATCCTTCGTTGGACCTCGGGTCGACTTCCCACATGTGACATCACACGCAAGCTCTCAGGCAACTGCTAGTTCTACTTCTCGGCGTTCAGCAATTTAGCTTGTGTTTCAAAAGCTACACACGAGCAGGCAGAATCAGGAATGTTTCTTCTAGAACAGGTGTACGTGCGGTTATTTGGGTGTTAACTCGGTTGCTGATATCTCAGACACTAGATCCTTGCAGCCGTATCTCATCTAGAAAAATGAACACACGTTTTTGATGATCACTGCTAGTGAACAGCTCCGACGTCATGATACAGCATCGGTGTATCATCACGCTGGTGCTGTTCACTGGGAGGACACATCACACATATCTTGCTGACCTGAGAGTCGAGACCAATCAAACATTCCATGTACCTTCAGGGAGCAATACGCTCTTCCCATCAATTCGCAAAATATCAGCTGCACGAGCGAATGCCCTCCTGCATTCTATGGTATGTAAGTGAAGTAACATCCTCTATGTGCTATATAATTCGCACCATCGACGATGATTATTTTTGACCTGTTGACCCAATGATTTGCTCTCAGGGACTGCCAAACGAGAGTACGAAAACAACACACCTAATGCCTGTCCTGCGGCATCTATTTGTAGATGCTCATGGACGAGATCTGGAAGTAGGCGTTTGTGAACGCAGTAGGATTTTCTGCGGAGGGTTCACAGATGTACTAGACATTCGCACAGGAGCACTTACTGTTGACATAAGTCACGCAGTCTAATGGACATCCAGAAGCATTGTAGAGAGCCGCGTTGCCTGCCCAACTACCGCCTGCGCGCAGCATGAACATGTTAGACCACTACAAAACAATGCAAGACTCACAGAACGTCAGATCAATGATAATGTTATTGGCTCCAAAGTGAGACTGGATGTCACACTCGGTGTTGTTAGGGAAGTGGGCGGCAGGGATGCCCTCGCAGTCAAATCATGTGTAAGCATAATTCAAAACAGATGCGAAGACTATCACCCAGTTGTCGGTGTTGATGATCCATACACCACTGCTAACGTCCAAGGGAACAAATGGGTCGCCTCTCTCCCAGAACCAAACCTTGATATAGTGAAGTGTGCGTTCCATAGCATACCTGCAGAAGAACCTGTAAGTCGGAAAAGTACTTGAAGTAAGTTTCTGGGCCTTAACGCACCATCCTCCGCCGATGCTGTTGAATCCTGGACCAAAGCTGTTATTGTCTTCAGTGAGCTTCACACTACACCCAATATTGTAAGCGACTATTTCATTTTAGCACGAGATTGGAATCAGTTATAATGGCACGACCTGAAGCGTCACAATTGGTTGTTGTAAAGTTTCTAAAGAGTTAGCATTTTAGCCGAACGATATTTAATGCAGTGATGGATCAAAACATACCCTGATTGGATAGTGCTATTGGGCATGGAGCAATCTGTGTAATGTTAAAAATAGCACTGTTACAAATGTTGTAGTGAACGAACTGTGGCTAGTGTGGAGTGTTGACTGGTTAGGCACTACATTGTTTGCACCTTCAAGGATATCGATTTCACCCTGGCGAAGGGATATACGTCAGGATGGTAGAGCCATCACACAGGGAAAGAACAAACACTGGCAGGCCAACCGGACTCTTTAGTCTCCCAGATAGCCTGCTATCTATTACTATAAGTTGCTTCATCGGAACCGCCTACTTACTGGCCATGTTCTATTTCAAAATATGTAAGCGACAGAACCATCGATCAGATCAAAGAAGCTCACCCGCATCCTTCGGGCATGTGCTGTATGTCGAAGCTATTATTGACAAAGCATCAGTCGGTGAGGACGCCTACGAGGAATCACTTACACGACAACATGCTCATGGTACTCGTGATTGGACCGAATCCTGACGGAATTCCGACCCGTGTCATTGACGTTCAAAACCGTGGTGTCATCTGCACGTAAGATGAAGGTGTCACTCGTGGCATAGGTCAAGTTGAGGCTCTCTGCTGTTGTTCGGTTCACATACGTCCTGTCATTGAATGAGAAAAAAAGAATAAATTGCGCACAAGGGGGGTGGACATACACACGCCCCTCGGTGGGGTCAGTGATATTCTCGAAATTGAAGGAGTCAGTAGAAGCCTTCACCACGAACGCACTCATTCAGAGTGTAGATCGCACCTGCCAGGGCAGATCCCGCAAGCGAGGCAAGAGCGAGACTGCTGCTGATGATCTTCATTCAAACTGCTGATGATGCAACCAGGGAGAGCGTGCTGCGAGAGGACTGGTACATATTTCTCTCAATATTTAATAATTACACCTGCCCGACGCCTCGTGAGTGCTGAGTAGAAAAATATTAGTCTCACGAGCAAGCCCCAGACGTGTCATCCAGCTGAGGAACTCCGAGAAGTCACCAATATTTCTCGAGTTAGTTGATGTATCGTAACGTCTCCCCGATTGGACGAACGGCAGTACTAGCTACATGATGAAATAGCGGGCAGAGGATATCAATGACCTAAACGCCCCTGCACGACGTCGGACCGGATCGAATGATGCGTCTGCAATGGATGCACGTATAGGAACTTTAAATGGCTAGTGCTTCACTACCCAGTAGCGTTAACTCAGATCGTTAAGAACTGGGTCACAATAGGCAACAATTGTATAATTAGCTCGTGACCACAACAAAACAATTCATTCCGGATGAATCAAAGATGAAGCCACTCAAAGTTTACAGCTACTTTCATAATCACAACAAGTATCCTTTGTGCACAAGCCAGCCATAACATACGGACAAATACAATGTCCTATTGCTGTTTGACAGCAGCCACTAGTACTGGAGTGTCCACGCGGTGTCCACGCAAGCAAAGCGCCGTTGCCATTCAAGGGTATTTCGCCCGACCAAGGTATCGTAATGAGCTTGTCCAGTTCTACAAGTAAATAGAAGCGGTAAGAAGGAAAAAAAATGAAATCTGGTCTATTGATATGAAAGTAGCTGTAAGAAAGCTAGTCGATTCCGACACTAAAGCGATAATCCTTAACAACCACCAGTGACTCATGGACCAGTCACGGTCAAGGAACATGATGCGGCAACTGCTAGTAGTGTCCAGTAGCTGGCGCAATATAAGATTTGAATATAGCTGCTAGCAAGCTACTATGCATTATCATAGTGGATCAAAATGTATTGTGATCTGAGACGGCAAAACAACTGACGCGAACCGGTCGTGCAGGCTCATACATCGTAGTGCCTTCATTTGCTGGCAGGTCTTGAGCACGTTGAAAACGCCTGCCAGCATGAATCAGCTGGTCATCAATATTTCCGATATGTATTGAACTATGAACCGGAGACAGACTCACACGAGGGCTCCCGGAGGCCGCAGGGAAAACCTCAACCCAAGGCGGCAGATAGATGGATAATGTGCATCTACTGATGTACCATCGGTATCAACAACGACCCCAGCCACTGTGACAAGACTCTGGCACGGAGACCCGTACCCCAGGCACTGACCCCCAGGCACTGGTGAGAGATAGATACAGGGAGGACTACACCCGTAATCACGAACAGTCCACGTTGAGAGCTGGAGATAGCTCAAGTCAGCACACACGGGTGGACCACAGTTCCATCTTATACTCTGTATATAGATATGCACCGATTGATGTTAATGTTGTTTCATGCGAGATGTAATTTGATCTGTTAAACATCGCTCCACATCAGATACGACCGTTACAGTTAAATAGGATTCCTGGGGTTCGTGCGCTTTAAGTTACGCGTCTCACCGATACGACTCAGTGTGGAATGAGTGCCGAGTATTGAGCGCTGCAGCGCTGAACGAGTGATCGATCTATACTTTAGTTGTCTGTATCAGACGCATCAGTCACTGAGATCAAGATCCAGTCTGTACAACTCGAATGCTCTTGCTCCAAGGGGCTGCATAGACGTCGGTCAATCACGCCGAGGAAAGGGCAAATGACGATAAAATGGATCGTCATCCTAATCCAATAGAGACAGTGATAGCATGCAACACAGGTGGAAAACAGGGAACGCAAGGGTGTCAAGAGAGACATCATCCCACTCTATCCGAAAAATCCTTTGAAAAGATAGATCGCATTGGATCTTGTTGAACCCGATCGTCTTTGAGCATCCTGTGCAGAGGAATTAAACCATGAGCTATATTTCTTCAAGAAAGACCTCACCGTGCGTCAACTCGCGTATCTTCGCCCTCAACTCCGATCACTGCCTGCGGCGTCTTGGCATCAATGACCTATCAGTAGCATGATGAGATGTTAGCTTGCGGTCACAAAAATGCAATGTCGCCTACATAGTGATTATCGCAGTGCGGGCAAAACTCATCGCTTTCCTCGTAGTTTGACATATCCTTCCTAAAGGCCTTCTTGCACTTCTTGCACATGAACGCCATCTCAGTTGTCTTCCTTAACATATGATCCTGCGTCTCCGCGTGACACTCTGCGCAATCAAACCATTGCTTGCAGCATGGAGCTCGTATCGAAACTTGAGCATTTAATATATGTTTGCTGAAATTGAGGGAATGAATGCCGCATTGAGATGGTTGGAAGACGATACGCTACCAACCACATCACGATGAACAAGCAGAAGTCACTACGATGGCACTCGGATATGATCTGAGGGACCTCGACTCAAATTTTTGCAAGATCCCAACACCTTTCACTTTTCCCACGCTATCATACCCCCTGAATGCGGGCGCTGATGGATCAAAACAAACGTGACAGTGTACCCGTAGTCAGACCTTGATAGATAGGAGCTTGGGAGATAGTTGTTTCCTCATCGACGTCGATGTGTTTTCAACATGCAGCATCGAGGACATCATCAGATTTAGGATAACCTGATCTTGTGCGAAAAGACTTGGCATATCGCTACCAATATTAATGTGCATCAGCTTGTACTTACAGTTTGTAGATACTGGACATTCACTTCTGAGCTAGCTTGAGTCTCGACTGAGGTCAATCTTTGTATGAAGTAGAAGAATGACGAGGCAACACATAAGTAGCCGACTCAGGCTGAAGCTTTAGGCACTTAGAGCTAGAGTTAGCAAAGCAGTCCGCAATTAAGGCGAGTAGAATATCGATCCTGTCAGTCCATTTTACCGCCAAATCATTTGGTATCACCGGTACCAAAGTGGTGGTTCTCCAATTTCTACCTCCTCCGTCAGCACCCATCCACAACAGTAAAAACAATGACTCCTTACCAAGTGGTGATCGCCAGTGATACACAAGATGATTTAAATTCGACTTCGGCATAACTGTATGATGTCTCGACAGAGCAGCGTCCGTGAGAGCGAAGACACTCCCCATTTCCACATTCCCGTCCTTCGTTCTGCGATTTGGTTGCAGGGATAGTGAAGGTGACGTCTCGCTTGGCCCATATTTTGGATTTTCCTCATCCGATATTTCTTCAATTGTCAATTTCTGTATCGAGTGGCTGTCATAGGGAGGCAGTTGATATGTGGACACGTGCTGATCTCCGTGCTGTACATTCATAGGATCTTCTCCAAACGTGTTTGGTCGGGGGAGCCGGCGAAGCTCACGAGCCGCCTCCCTATTTGATATTTCCCCCTTGATTGAGCGCGGGAAGAATATCTGAGGCTCACCGCTTTGAATCAAATTATACGACTAGCACCTATAAATGACGCACGATAAGAGTAATCCCAGAGGATACGACACAGCCTATACCCGCAATCATCCCCAATAGGTCTGGTTGGAAGGATGGGTTAGTGACTCAAACCTGCCGGGGCATGGTGAGGTCGCATACCGGTAAAAAACCTAGATGAGAAAGTTAGTATATGATAGTTAGCATATTTCAGACACAGGCACATAACACGTACATCTTATCGTTGATGTGCTGGTGCGGTCTGACACCATCAATGCCCAATATCACAAACGGCACTGTGAAGAGAAAGCGGAAGAAGACTCGGATACACTTCCATGTAACACATAAGTTGACCAACCATATCACATCTGCGCGAAGCTTACGTTGAGCTCGTGAAACTTTATGAGCCTGATTATTGTACTCGTATCAACATTGGCTTGTTTCTGAAGAGGGTTGGTCAGACCGGATCATAATCCTGTCGATGGGAATAAACTAACCAAGCTCTCGATGAATGTGGGGAATGTCCACAAAATCGGAAGAAACCATATTGTCAAAGACAAGCTTCCGAGACTCCCGACCAAGAATGTATAAGCCTCGCACTAGTCAGCGTTTATAAATTTCGTCCGATATTCAAGCATGCAAATGACAGACCTTATAGGGGTCTCCCCGTGTGAAAACCGTTACAAGAGGCATACAAATGACTGCGACTACAGATCCGATCGCCCATGTTTTGAAATATAGGCTGCGAAACCAATCTTGTTTCGCAGAGCCAGAGTGAATCAGGAAAAGCCAAAAGCATAGCTCTACGGAGCGAGAATTTAGTCTCAACTTAAATGCCAAGGCATAAAAATAAACCTTCTAGGTGTGTTACCCTTAGCTGAAACGTTAACTGTTGTCTGTGAACATCGGTTGGGCATACTCACATCTCTAGTCCCCAAGCAACTGAAAAACACAGGTACAGAGGGAGGATTGCGCGTTGTGCACTGTCACGCCAAAGCTCGTACGGAGTGGGCGTGACTTTGAGAATTTGGCGTCAGTGGGGGACGTCAAAGTTCCCGATTGGGCTCACTCACTACCCATCCCAGGAATAACAGTGAAACCATAACTATATTTGATAATGGAGAAACCCACAGCATAGATTGTGATTAATGGAATGCTGGTTAGATAAGAATACTGTGAGATTGAGTGAGACCGATGTGATTGATACAATGGGAATGAAGACCGTGACGCACCGTCATGACCCGCTTGAATGCGCCAGAACGCAGTCCATCATTCCACCTGTACAAATGTACTTATGGCACTCGTAAATTATGCGTGCAATAATCTGCCGACCTCAGACATCTGAAACGGTCAAAGGACCAGAGATGATAGACTAAAAAAGATTCGAACTAAACCAAATGGATTTCAGTATTTCCTCCATCGAACGATCGAACACCAGACGGACCATAATTGTAAGTGCTGCCCATACAAGGTTGACGGCTGGACTCATATGGGCCATGATTCAAAGCGAGCAAAGGAGAATGAGTGGAAAGAAGAGGAGGTGAGAGTCGCGTGAAGTAGTGATAAGCTTTGGTCGTGATATTTGTGAAGTTGAGGAGATGAAATATGGTGCGTAAGTAGAGTCCCTCTCACAGTATCCCACCCGGAAGCGAAAGGATCACGAAACAGAAGTGGCTGAGTCTGATTGGTAGGAAGATAACATATTGAGAGATACATACACGTTAATATATGATATCATCACAATGCCACCCGTCGTGGCACGTTCCACCTGGCCACGGAGACTATAGATCTAGGAGCATATGGTGAGTGACCACAGGTGCTAAGTTTGTAGCAGCTGTAACGAACCGACGGGACTAGTGTAACATGGTTTGATCAGCACAGGTTTACAGCCATACTCAGGCTAGTAGTTCTGCCAGTTGGGTTGATTCAACGTGCCGATGCGGAACTTATCAAAGCTCGTTCAGTGCTCCGTTGATCGGTAGCCCTGCAGTACTGCTGCAATCACGATTGTGGGGTAAGTGACAAGTTGTAATAAAATTTCGGGCTAATTTTGCCGTGCCGTCGGATCTCGGGCTGTAACTTTATGATGGGGCGATGATTCAAATCATTTTCTAAATCTTTCACAATGGCTACATGGCCGCTGCCCACAGACGATGACAAGGAAAACCTCCTCCTTTCATGTCGATACGATGATCTTGATGAAGTCCAAGCTTTTGTAACAAAATTTGGCTCAGGTGCTCTCTCTACTGTCCGAGACGACAACGGAAACACCGTGCTACACATGACGTGCGGAAATGGACACATAGGTGAGGCGCGATCTCACCGCATCACTGTTCCCCACATAATGAGGACTGATTCGCGTAAGGCATCTCGTAGACGTGCTGGATTACCTTCTTCCTCTTCTCTCCCCTTCCATCCTGCCTGCACAAAATAATGCCGGCTCGACCGCCTTGCACTGGGCAGCGCTGAACCAGCATCTCGAATTAGCTCAGAAGCTGGTTCACTTTACTGGGGGACCAGGGGTTGATCTGATTGATATCAAAAATCGCGCCGGAAGGTCACCCCTGGGTGAAGCCGAAATGATTGGATGGGACGAGGGCGCAAGGTGGCTTGTACAGGAGATGAAGCTCGATGAAAGTAACCATCATGAGATCAATGATAGCGAAGAGGACAGTCCCGTGGATACTGCACAGGATATAGAAGTAGAGATTCAGGATGCGGATGGTGAAGTGGCCAAAATGACGATAAGCGGTGGCGCACTTATCTGATGGTTATGAATAAAAGTCGGTAGGTCCTTGCTGAGTACATTACTGTCTTATCATATGCATTCACACAGCATCACATCAAGGTCCTGATTCAGTCGGGATGTGAAACGCAGAAGCAGTCGAGACAAATACCTGGATCCGGCAACGCGCCAGAGCATTTCACTTTTGGACAAGTACCGGTTCTACAGAATTTTCAACTCTATAGGTTGCGTGAATGATAACGGTGATACATTGATGGCCGGATTGAAAATTCTCCATTGAACAGTCCCATGGAATTGGACTTAGTACTCGCATCAAACTCACATGGACATGAGCACATGAAACTTTGCACCCGAATACAACCTGATCTTGAAGTTTAGTTTCCAGTTTCGTCGCCTATCGCATATACGATGAGGTCAGACAAACAATGATTGGGCCGGGTCCGAGCGTTAGCTCGGTTCAGACGCTGGCAAGATTGCCCCTGGCTGGGCGGGAAAACTCGACAGGAGGCCCCTGAATGATGACCATCATATGGGTAATGAGATACGAAGCTAGTAGTGGGTAGTCATGTACGATTCATCAAATGTGCACTGAGAATGAAACGAATATTACGATGGGATTGTATTAAAATTCTGGGCAAAAATATGCGAGCAAGAATACTATGAAACGAGCGAGCGGATCGTATGATGCGGTGAAGAAGAAAAACTGCAGTCTGCGAGGAAGGAAACGCTGGACGAGTGGTACCATGGAAACTCGTAGCCAACGACAAGAAACACTGATGAGACACGCGAAACAAAACAGAACCACGTTCTGGATTGCGTGCTAAGGGTTGAAAGAGGTGTCTACAGTGCAACGAGCCACATGTGTAGGTGTACGTAAGCCACCAGGTTTATGCCAGTTCCTTCCGAGTGTTCAAACGTTCAGGCCTGAGGAACCGGTATCTCCCACACCGATCCCCATACGTCACACCTTCCCGCACTAGACGAGGACATCGCAATGATTGCACGATGTGGAACGGGAACGCATGGGACAGCCTGGGCATCATGAGCATTAATATTTGACAGCCGAATGTCATCCATGATACGAAACGAGTTTACAACTATCAAAACCACCATATAGTCACGGGACAAATCAAATACGTAGGGATAATAGGAAAGAAAAAACATGTCGAAATTCACGTAACATTCAAGGAGGAAAGATTCCACTGGCATCGGTCTCCATCTTCATCACGTTCCGAAAGTTTCACATCGGTGGTGACCGTTCTTCCGCAGGGCATGGCAGTGTCGCTGCAGAGAAGTGTGAGCATTTAGTCGACATCCCTCTTCACCATCTTTCACTGCCCGTTTTCCCTCAGCGTGCTTCTCCGTAAGGGAGCCTGACAGACAGTCGTCTAAGTCTGCCGTCTTCCAGTGTGTTTTTGGGCAGCATGATTTTTCGTTTCCAAATTCATCAATATGTGCGAATTCGTCTGATGGAGGATTGGTCAAGAAAAGCGCACCACGCTTCCACGCGACTGCTTCAGAAGTGGAAGAGGGAAACTCGTGGGGTGCGAACGGACTCCAAGGAGACAAGGTAGACGAACGAGATCTTGTCTCCAGCATAGGCGATAGAAATCCAAATTTCACGCGCTCCGAACGACGTGGCGTGGGCTTCGTCCGCTGTGAGACAGTGTAGACAAGCTCGCCAGCCACACGCCGTTGCGGGGGAACATACTTTGCATAAGTGCCCGAACGTAGGGTCAATCCAGGGAAGCTGCATTGACGTTCATCAGATAACGATCATGATCCGTTCAGGTTAACATACCCATTGGCTTGATTGGAAGCCAACCCCGACGTCCCCGGTTTTAGTGCGAGATCGTCGTCAGGGGCTTGATCCTGCGTCTCACCAGAATAGTGCTGTTGCGGTGAAGTGTGGGCGCATCGTGCCTTTCGCGTAACAATAGACCAGGGGGGCGAACACGCTGCGGACTCGCTGGAAAAGCTCCGGTCGGGCTGGTTGCCGTCAGTGGCGGTGGATTGAGACAGGTCAACTGGCATAGCTCCAACGCTCTTCGGTTTGAGCGGTTCTAAAGTCGTAAAGGTGGCGGTGACTCTCAATCTCTCTTGCACAGCTGCCTCCCAAAACGAATCTGGTCCGTCGAATTTACGTTCTGACCCACTTGATGGACTGTCGTCCCGTTCAACCTCGGTGACGACAAGTCCATTTGATGAATGCTGACTACCTCTGCTAGAAGGGACCGGAGTGCTGGCACTCCGGCGGTGCATTTCGAATGGCGTAGCTGTGGGTTCCGAATAACAAGGAGAATCACACTCTAGTATATTTTCGCGTCTGGATGTTGATGGTAAAAGACGGGATGTGACGCGATTCTCGTTCTTGCTAATAGATAATCCGAGAGCTAATTGATCCCCTGGAGACTCACTGTCGAAAGACCCTTCCTCACTTGAATCACTGTCTTCCTCAAGATCAGGATCGATCGTAGCCGTGTGAGACCAGCTTCGCTTTTGGGGAATCATTGATGAAAAAGAAGCTTGAATACTCGAGACAGAAAGGTGCCGGTCATGATTGGGCGTTGCAGGTATAGATGTTTGAACGTTGCCATCATGAGGTTCACCATCGCGCTTGCGAGATGGTCGATGCGAATTGTGCGTTCTTGCTTTTTCATGAGATACAGCCTCAGCCAGTAACGGGGAGTTGCGAACGAGGTGCACCGGGCGTAGGAGTTGACGTGGGTCTTCAGGCTCAGCATTGTGGATACTTTGATTCAAAACCCGCAGAGCTCGACGATTTGAGGGAAGGTGAGACATCCAGGGACGCTATATCATGGCAGGACCTAGACTCTCGACTCAGTGTGCATTCGGTATGGCCAGAATCGTTAGTCGCTTCATGTGGTGGTACACATCGACTGTTATATAGATGTGAGGCTGCACCCATAATTTCGGGACTGTCCAGATCCTCGCGTAAGGTATGTTTGTTGAGAGTTCGCAAGATGTCTTGTTGTGTAGCAAGCAAACCTGAATCGCTGTTGTACGCTTCTTGGTCGGGAGTGGCGCATGCGCTCTCGGTCCCATCCGAGAATTCGCCGGTCCCGGGGAGCTCGCGCGAAGGCGCCGCACTTAAAGATTCACTATCACTGTGAAACCTGGTTTTGAGGCTACCCCATGATGAGTACCAGTAGACGAAATTTCTTTTAGGCTGGATGCGAGTAACAGAATAGAGACATATGAGACCAAGGTTGAGCGCTGCCAAGACCAGGACGCTGTAAAAACCACTGTTGAAATAAATCAACTGGTCAGAGTACAGCAGAACTGATGTAAATTTCAGTAGAGATAACCACAGTATGGAGTACAGCCAGACCTAGAGAATCGACGAAGTTTGACAAGTAGTGTTTGTGCTGGGAAATCAAGAGTGCATATGTGAAAGTGGAAGATGATGGGGGAGAACGGTGGTCGTGAGCAGAAATACGACTGCTTCCATTGCTTGAGGAGAACCCGGCGGGAAGATAATTTGCTGGCGGGTTTGGCCACAGGAAGTTATGTCTCTCGAGGACCGTAGAGTCACCATCGATGCTCCAAACATAACTGAAAGGATCTAGGGTCGCCAGTAAAGGTGCCCATTGGAATAGTTTGAGAAGGGCTAACAACGAATATTGCAAGAAGAAAGTCATGGAGCTGAAGACAACAAGTACACGATTGATCTCTCAATGAGTACGTTGACTTCAACTTGAGAACTGCTTTTAGTGGTTGTTTGTTCGTATTGAAAACGGGAGCCTTTGCAAACATCGTACAAACTGCGATTCCGACGCTCGGCTGATTTACGTTGTTAATCTCGTACACTCCACACACATTTCTTCTCGTGGTCTCTTCGCCTCCCAGTGGCACAGTCATTGATGAAGCTTGGTACCTACGTTCGTCATGCCACTATCATGTAAGCATTCTAGGTACAGTCTTGCATTCTAGATTTCCAAGAGCCCAACGAAGAGCGCTCAGGCTACGATAGATCGACACATTGCAACTGAATCTGTATAACCGTGACCTTGCTGTGTATGGCGCTGCCTTGTCCGTTCCTCTCCTGACATGGAGGTCAGAGAAACGACTGCCACTTCCTCCGGGTCCCCGTCCGCTCCCATTCATGGGCAGCGCTTTTGACAGTGATTGATTGATTTGTATATCCAAGGGCTTTCTGTACCCACCAACCGCCCTTCGAGCTTTTACAACGGGGGACCAGATGGTTCGCTGGTGTAATGCTAGTGCACTTCTCTCGGGCTTGGTAGCTGACGTGTCTCACTTTTCGGTTCACGAGTATGTAGGAAGCAATCAAAGAACCTCTCGTTAGTTGCTTCGCCGTCGTCAAGGTTGTTGATCTCACGTCAGCTCAAACTTCTACAATTAGTCTCGTAGGGATAAATACAAGAGGCTCGACGGGAGCCTCCACCCAGCTTCCTCACCCTGTGCCCTATCATAGTCCAAATCCAATGCTGTCTTTACTCCTGATAACTTCTGCCGTTTTTCTCCAGATTGCTGCATCTGCAACTTACATCTGTGACTCAGGAACAACTATGTGTTGTTCTAATACCACGATCTGTGCGTCATGATCATTGACTCAGAAAAGGCGTTCAAGCATGCTAAATCTCAACAGACAGACACAAAAGCTGCTGAAAAGATCCTTGCTGCATATTCTATCAGCGAGTCTGAGCTGACCGGTCTTATCGGCTACGGGTGTAGTGTTATCGAAACCGCGGATAATGGAACCGTCTCAGATTGTATCGACGAGACTACCTGCTGCACCGGGTACTACTATGTAGGACATCGACGCTGGTTATATTTTACACTAACATTTGGTCACAGAGTAGTGGAGTTGCTGTCAATTGTACCGCCACCGTAAGCGCTTGAAAGCGCATGAACTGCCGCCTGGAGAGACTCTGCCCTCTGACGTTGCTTTGAAATTGACGTGTGCAATTCGAAGGACTGTAGTTTACCTGTGTTTTTATACCCAAGGATCTTGCGTATTTTGGATCATGATTGTGATCCATCTCCTTTCTTTTGCGCTACATTCTTATCTTGCTGAATTGTTCAGAGACATGCAAAATCGTAATTTGCTCTTGTGATACAGTGCGCGTTTGGATTAACAACTATTTGGCAAGCGCGATAATTTTATTCATCTTGCAACTGGGATATTATACATCCAGCATCATCTCTGCACGGAGATGCCCAAATCCCTTTTCGGCTCGGAAACGACCGAAACAGGGTCCTCGGTGAGTGGGTTTAGGGTCCCGATGCGCTAAAGTCGAAGTCTGAAATTTCCTACCCTGTTACTAGCCCTCATCCGAGCTTAAACTACCCTGCCGGTGGGTCATGGTGACTGGACGCAAGTCGTGCGACAGGTCCTGTACTCCCACTCGGTACATAGGCTCAGTAGTATCAGTCCTGAATAGAATGAGAAGGTCGGCGAGGTCGGGGTAGCGGTAGCCCCCTGATGAGAACTTTCACAGGTTCGAAACCGCTGCCATCCCCCGCCACCCAGCGTCCCTCTTACCCCAGCTAACAGGCCCTTACCCTAGGAGACGGGTGACTGCAGCAGTTACTACGGACGTTGTCTGCCTCACGACGCTCTGTTGGACGGCTCTGGCTTGGGCTTCGCTTATCCAAGGCCAGTCGCTAGACAACTTCTGAGAAATTCGAGGATCCTCGTCTCATGTATATACAGGGATCTAGGATGGAGTAACATGGAAAGGAATCTTTAGGCAACTTAACGACTCCAGGACATGAATACACCAACTTAACGGCTTCAGAACCTACTGGATTACAACACCATGTCCACACTCCGCATCGCAACTTGCCTCAATTGTCATAAGACGAAGCGTCGAGAAGGCCTGGTTTCATGGACGGTATAGAGAAAGGCGGAAGATCAAATGGATTGGTGATAGTGGCACTCAGGGCTGTTGCGAGTTCCTTCCCGCCAGATGGGAAGAGTTCAAGATGTGCACGAGAGAGCGTTCCGGGCAGATACCAGGCAGGGTCAGTGACTTCTCCTGTCTCCTCAGAAGTTGGAGTTGAAGGAAGGGGATGGTTGTAGGAGAATGGATCCGCGTTGAATGGGTCGTCAGGCCACGGGGAATTGGCTAGCGGCAGTGGCTGAAGCGCAGGATCATCGAGCAAATCTTTAATGTGGCTTACTTGTCCAAAAAGGCCAACTGGGGAACGTAGGGGTTTGGGATGCTTCGCATCAACAGACGTGATGAATACGGTGGGTGCGACAGCAACGCGTGCTTTGGCTGATGTGGAGCGAGCAAACTTACACAGCCATAGCTTCTCCTGCAGCTGTTGTTTTAAGTTTGCAAGATATCCAGACGCGAGTGAGTCTTTGAACTTGGGGGTAAAATGGGGAGCAGGAGAGACAATCATGTCGGAAGATGTTGGAGAGCCCTGGGAGCTGGATGTCACGGTTAGGACCGATTTTGGCACACCGTATCGCGTATCCAGGGATCTGATCGGAAGGATGTCCTCAAGCTTAACATACTGACTCTCGCCCAGCGAGAGCTTTTCCAGGGTTGTGCCAAGCTGTCGCACGATGTAATCGCCTGCCGAATGAGAACGTAGGTCAAACATAGACGGAGATGATATCAAGGCAGAGGATACACCAGAGCTGTCTGCGAAGGGGTCTACAGGGGCTTTCGGAAGAAGAGCTGAAGTTGTCTTCGAAGAGCGCATAACAAACAATGAACGTGACGACTCCTCCGATGGGGCTATGCCCTGTTCAGCGGTAGTAGACCGACTAGCAGACTCTGAGAAAATGCACGTGTTATTGATTCCTGGCAAAAGACTCGAATGCTCGGTGTTCCATTCGGAAGGTGGTTGCCTGGAAGGAGGTGACAGGCTCATATCAGATTCAGGATAGGGTGATGAAGCTGAAGTAGTCTGTTGCTCAACCGCGACCTTTCCCTTTAAACGATGGTGCCTAACGGATTTGAAAAGGTGGCCAAGTTTGATGAGTGAAACTTCAGTGCTTGTACCGCGGGTCTTGCGATGCCGTTGCTGGTTTTTACCAGTCTTGAGCTTGCCGAGAGAGAGAGAAGGATGTGGCATTTCTGAGGATGTCGTAGAACACAAGATCAGTAAAGGCCGAAAGCGATACTCAGTATTACTCACCGTCAAATATTAAAAAGATGACCAACCAAATAAGCTAGCCGTTCCAATGATTCCGGGGTGGTCTGGATGTAAACATTCAGTTCTAGAATCTCAGCTGACCTGGATCCATGCGAGCAACAGCTATCTTCTTGAGCCCAGGCTCCTTTACCTCAGCACGGATGCATGTATCGTAAAATCAAAAAGCAGGCGTTACCAGGGTTCGAACCTGGGTTACGGGAAATCGTGTCATCAAAATCCCAAGTGATAACCACTACACTATAACGCCACCGCACTTTGTGCGGAAATTGACGTAATTGAAATTGGGGGCAACATATCTGTTGAAGTTTTTGTTTTTGTGCAGCTTGGCTACCAAGGTCATATAATTCAAGGTGATTGATATCAGACATGATGCATTCCCAGAGAAGCTTGCACACTATTATCGAATTGCTGCAGCTATACATGTGATCACTGTAGTCTTTCACTGCGTCGAGGAGTATCCAGCAGGACAGTTCTGGTACGCCAGGCTACTCGAACCGCTGCGCATGTAGCATATTTTAGCAGGGATACACTCCCCAGTGCAGTTCAGGCCTGCGACAGAGCTCTTTGATTGGTATGTGTTGAATGTCTATGAAAAGTCAGTCTATCGTCATATTCATTGTTGTGGATCTCACCTGGACTAGAGTAGGATCGGCCTGCATTTCTGTGATAAAATAATCATTATGGTCGATTCAGGGAAATAGGAGAGAGTAGACAAACGTTCGGTAACAAGGTGCCACCATGTTGCGTTGAGGGGGTCGTTTGCGCCCCAAGTGATGTTTCCCCCGTATGCATCACGGGTACTGTACTCCAGGTAGTACGACGGGCCGACCTCAGTCTGATCGTCCAACGCTGGGTACTCGTTCACGTTGCTGACATAACTGCAATGTTTGAATACATGAGTCATAATTCATCCACACCCATTACTGCTGCTTACGTGTATGCATCTAGGATGTCGAAAGTCTAATCAACTAGTGAGTCCTCTGTAAAATTGGAGATGAAAGAAAACTTGCAGCGGAATCTATTTCGTACACACGGAATCCAGAGTTGAGATTTGTCAAGGGAGTGAGTGACGGCCCAATCTGAATGATCAAGTTAATCTAGACGTGCAAGATGGGTTCCCTAGATTCTTACCCAAGATGCTGTCAACGCAGTCTCAGCAGTCATAACTGTGCCATTGTTAGCGTAGAAGATCTGCAGACAGTTCCAGCATGAACCAAGCCAACAATTTGAACAAAAGCAGAAGACCTACAGAAAGCTGGTCCTCGTGGGTGTGGCCATAGAAGATATCTGATCATGAAAGTGTCATGATAGAAAATTAATGAATCCGAATGGCCGAACTCACTGGCAATGACGTGAGGCGAGAAGCGGTCAACACTAATTAGTAAGCGTTAACAATTTTCACGCTCTATCGAAGCTAAGAGACATACATCTGGTAGACTGTACGCGAATCGATGTTAGAATGTTGAGTGTAACAATAGCATGAATTCACGTACATAGGTTGGTGGGATTGACCTGCGCTGCAGTTCCGTCCCATCCGCTCAACACATGTCCGGTAATCCATACTAAAAAGCGATCACTATTCAGATCAGACCATCTGTCATTTTACGAACCTCTTTCACCGGCATCCTCAGAAGCCTGTAGCTCATCCGTGAGGAATTGCAAGATACCGTATGGATCAGGTTCCGTAGAGTTGATATAGGAGTAGTAGTTGTCACTGCAAAAAATGATCAAGATGGGTCATGAGCACCGAAACCAGCCCACACATACGTGTACCCTTCAAGGAGAAAAATCAGAGACATGAGTAATTTCTGGTTCAAGAAATCTCACAAAGGTTGGTATCAAGTGAGATGATCTTGAGGCCGTCCGGGCGTGTCACGGCATATGCAGCGTAGTGGGTTGAAGCATACGCGACCGTCGCTTCAGGAAGCCAGCCTTCGTACTGCCACATAGAAGAAATGTGTTCATACAGCCTAAGAGTGGTCATCATCTGGTGCACTCAGAGCACTTTCTAACTCACCAGTTGAATTGCATCCCGAGAGGACCGCCCGTTGTGTACGGGATCATTTGGAACTGCATGTAGGTATCGTGGTTTCCGATCGTCGCGTAGACAGGCGCGGGCCCAACGAATTTCCTCAACAAGCCGTAAAATACAACCTAGCGGCTGTCATGAAAGCACGTCCACTTCCAACAAGGAATTCATTTTACCTCTTCGTACTCAACATAAGCCCTATCAGGCAGGTTGAGCGTTTTATAGTAAACTGAATGAAATTGAAGAAAACGAACCTTGAATACTGGTTGTCGGAGTCGTGCGCAGTCAAGTCACCGGTGAAGAGGCTGAAGTTAAACCCACTCTGTTCTGTACCAGTGAGAGGACCGATGGATTCCATCGCCGCAGCCATCAAGTCCAATGGAGAATCACTGTGCGTGACGTTACAACTTTTTCTTAGAGTTGAGTATTCAATTTACCACCAATAACTTCCGAAGCGCGCTGCGGGAAGGACGATCTGGTCGGGAGTCGCTGCATTGAAAGCATTTTCACGGCAGCACATATATGCGGAACAATTAGCCTCAGATCCTATCGCGTAGCCTGCAGAACGAAATCGTCAGAATAGGATTTAAGATTTGAATCGAACCAAACGTACGAGGGTCGAGGTGAATGTCAGAAATGTGGAAGACCTTCAGACGCTCCCCGCTCGGTTGTATTGGAGGTGGCAGCGGGTTTGGTTTCGGTTTTGCGAACCAGCCAGTCATGTTAAGTGGAACCGCTGGCGGCACGGTGCACAGGCCAATATGTGAACAAAGATTCTAAAAAGGAAAGGAAATTCATACATATCGCCTAGATTCAAAGTCACAGATAGCGTACCTGGCCGTCATATCCGCCAGCATTGGCAAACGCAAGAACTTGCGAGAACGTTGAACCGAGCGCAAGCTCGCTGTATTCATCGTAGCACGTTGTCGAATAGTCGAAGTACTGGCAAACTGCCTCAGCAAGTAAGGGGCCCTGTTCAGGAGCCCCAAGCACGAGCATTTTAGCAACTGCGAGAGAGGCTTGGCACTTTGTACATGTATCATCGCCGAAAACTGGATTGCTGGCAATCGCCATGATTTGCGCAAGAGCCTGTTCCATAAGCTGCGAAGGTGTCGCCTTGCATTGGCAATGGATGAGGGTCCACAGTATCATTCTGATGAATAGTGTGTTAGTTTGGTGCCCAGAAAGGCAACGCGACTAACCTTTGGGAAGTTGGCAGGATCTGTCAGCTCATAGGGGAATATCTCATTCTGGTAAAGTTCATGAGATTAGATATATCTTCAAGATATATGAAACACAATACGGACAGTCACAGGATCGGTTATCACAGGCTGAGGCTGCGCCGAAGTAGCAGTAGGGTCATTCCAGTACGTCCCATATAACGAGGTCGGAAAGGCGCCAGAAGCAGTGTATGTGGTGGGATCGATAGAACTCGCGCGTACTTGATAAGAAGCCAGTAATATGAAACCAGACAACCTCGAAAAGGGAAGCATTGTGGCGAGCTGCCTTAAGTCTGCACTACCCTCCGAGTCAGAGGCATCGGTATAGTAGTACTTATAGCCTGGGCTTTACGCGGCCTTACCGGACGGTATTCTAAACATAAAAGGGCAGCATGTGGAGTCGGACTCTACCTGACGCACGTTCGCGTCGACGGCCGGCAATATCTGAGTGATGCTCTTTTCATGTGACCACAATCATTGATTGCGTGTACGAGTTTTCCGATGTCCATGAATCGACCTATAAGATGTTCTCCCGAACACTTCAAGCAACCCATAGACAGGACGTGGACCATTAGGGTGAGCGGATTATTACCAGTACCCCAGTGCGGTAAAAATGAAGTGATAATGTGTTTGGCTCAAATCAGATTTTGTGCAAGTCAACCACAGACTGTCGATCCACGTGACCACAATTTTGTGGGACTCCGGACGTCATTGCTTTTGGCCTCGCAGACAACAAGGCAATCATATGACAGAAAAATAATACACGGACTCGTCTATCCGTTGACAGTGGACACGCGGGTATGTATCAGCTCCCAACAGAAAAATAGGACAATTTGCTTATCACGACAGTGGAACGTTGAACGGAAAGTGACGGTCCGTCATCATCACCACTCCCAGTCTAATTCAGTCTGGATCGCCCCAACAAATTAAATGCAGAGCTTGAAATACAAGTTCAACCCCGCGGTGGCACAATGTCGACAAGAGACGTACCAATGGGCTGGCGCACGCGGCCGTGCTCGAGACTCGGAAGAAATGTCAAACTCGTTCTGAGTTCAACAGTGCTAAGTACTACAATTGTATACTTCCGGTTTGCTATTCGCAAGACGTTATTCGCCGTTGCAGGTAAGCACCAAGTTATTAGACATCTCACGGCATATCCACTACGGTGTTTGTATATGGTAGCTAGATCAGCCTGAATATGTCGTTCAAATGTCGGCTGTTGGTTCAATCGGAACCTCCCGCGCCCCCGAGGGTGTAGGCAGAATACTAGTCATGAGCGCGGATTTACGATCAATCACATCTAGTCCTAGTCTGCATCGACTCTCGGGGTCAATACTGACGATGCGTCAATGATATCAGCAGGCTTGTATGCGGAATTTCTGCGCAGAATATGCTGGGCATATGGTGCATGAGAATGACTTCTACTTATCTATGGATCACCCTTAACATTGATCCGGAACGCGAAACACAGGAACTCTGCGAAGAACCATTTGACAGCATCTATTGCTTGAAATATGCTGGCAAGCTTGGCTTGCTCACTCTGTTCGCTGCCAGCCAGGTTATTACCACGCCTTTTTACTTTCCGGTAACGAAGAGTCAAATGGGTCAAGCTGAAGTGAGTTTTCATCACATGTGCGCTTCCGTTTAACTCCCAAACGAGATACTGATAAGGTGGAATCAGCCGGTACGGGGGGTGCACGGTTGGGGGTACAAGATAAGTTTCCAGGTGGATCGAGAGACTGACTCAGGACCAGAGTGTATGCGAAATCGGAGGGGAGTTGGAGTGGGAAGGTTGGCAATAAAACTGGAATGGAGTGTATTGTGTGCCTTCGGTGTTGAGAAACTCAAGTGATCGCGCGCTGCAGGATGTGACTGGTATAGATGGTATATTATTGTTTGCTGCGACGCGGATAGTTCGGATCTTCGATGAGCATTCTGACAGCACCATTGTGGAAACACCATAATTGGTAGTTCAGGTTTTACTACAGTATCGAGGGGGGGAGTGGAAGCAGACCATAGTATAGAAGGAACGACCGTCTTCCTTCTCCCCTGGTTGGTTTGTTTGACTAGGGGGGACGCGTCGACGAGCAGAGCTCGGTACATATGAGAGTGAGCGAATTTCGGAACTGAGATATGAGACTCCTTTCCTTCTATATTGGTTCGGAACATGCCGAGGGTTCTCAACAGAGTTCCTGTAAGTACTCGACGAATAAATTTTTACGCCATCTCTTTGGACTGCAAACCTCACCCAAAGGGCGGTCAATTTTCTCATAAATGCGAGTTCGATGCAGGGCACTTGGACAGGCTTCTTATCGAATGTCATCATGATCACTCCATCATGTACCCATTGTCTGCTAGCCGTAAACATGTCTACCCGAGCATAACGTATCGTGATTTATATTCATGACTGGCGGCTGATGGGTCAGCCTACTTAGGTAGGAACCACTGATGGTGGACTGATGCGCCGGTGTGGACCCTGTCGAAGCTTGCTCCGCATCTACGTGGAATTATGCCGTTTCCGTAATATCAACGCCAAGAGATCCGCAGTGGCAGTCAGTTGATTAATCTTCTAGGGTCCAGCGCTATTGGGCACAAGACGTATATAAACGGTGTGTCCAAGAAGTCTTGTCAATCCAGTGGACACTCAGTACTCAGTACTTGGCACTCAGCGTTGCAACGTCAGACTTCCGTAAGGAATCTTGCGGCCAGCTATATTAACTAACTAGACACTGCAGGCGCCTAACTCACAGGGACACTTGGCACGCAACGTTGTTTTCGTGAACACGCATATCAATCTGCAAGCCATGTCTACTCAAGGAGACCTCGAACGAGCAGACCCAGGGCCCAGTTTTGGTATGAATTTGATCACATTCTGTTAATCAAGCAGAAATTTTAAGAAATCCACAGATGGTCAACGTGATGAACAAGTCCGCGAAAAGACTCAAAAGGATGCAAAAAAAACTACGGGAGAAGATTCGGCGCTTGTGGCAGCATGGATGCATCGACTCCAGACGCTCACTCTTATAGTAAGCCATTGAGCGACTGTGGTTCCATAAATCTTGAACGACCCGTCAGACGACATTTCTTACTTCCATCGACGGAGAGCTCTTCACCCTTACTTCGTCCTCCACACCGCAGGTGACACTTAATGCAAGTGAGGAATCTGTGGAACTGGTGTATGCATGTTTTACTGGTGCCCTCGTTTTCCATGGCTGTTCTTGTGAGTATCGAGATGGTTTGGGAAGCGCAAGGCACTTACAGCTTGCGTTAGCAATTCTCGGATACGTAGCGTCTTTTGCTCTAATTCGATACCAGATCGTTGAAGCAGAGACTCCTCCCGTTACGAAAACCGACGAGCTGGGAAAACGTTCTAGTACTCACCACGAAAGCATTGATGGAAAGCAGCTCTTACTTAGAGCCATCCCTCCTTTGTATGCTGTACAGTCCCTTCTTCAGTTACCCACGGGGCTCCGGATTCAATCCAGGACGTCCACTCCCCCGCTGGATCTCCTGACTCGGTGCTATTTTACGATTTTGGCGCTAAGTGGCGCTGGCTTTATCTTGGCAATTCTTGGTATCGCCACTTACGCATGGTTCGAACTGCAGCGGGTTGTTGGGATATTTACAATGGCCTGTCTAGGTGCTAGTTTGTTGTCATGTCTGTGGGCGGTAGTGTACTGAACCTGCTCTGACTACATACGGTCCATACCCTTGACGACTTGCATGATGATCGATTACGTTATATAGAGTCACCCGTGCCCATGTTGTTAACAACAGTTGATATTCTACCCCGAAGCGAGGTACGAGTGTAGGGTTAGAATTAGGACTTTGCGGCAGTGGCAGTGTAGCACGTGGCCTCTCTTGTCTCCGCACCACGCGAACTAAAACATTGATGTATCCCACTTGTACAGTAGTTATAGTATATTTGATGTATCAATATGGCATTATAGACTGTGTGGGCCATCATATTCACCTGCTGGTGAAACTATGTGTGCAGGAGCTTTCCCCTTTGCTTGCCTGGATTGTGATTGACCGTGATTCCCTTTAGTTCAACCTCTAGCAGCATGTGCCATCTTCTAGATAAAGAGTGATTGGGGATCAGATAACACTAGCAAGGTTGACAGTGACAACAACATTGATGGCTGGTTGATGGGCAGGACAGCAGGATGGAGTTTGAAAAGTATTCCATGCTGCTGGCATTTGGCTCATTTTCTCAGCACAGGTGCAAACTTTGAATACCACTATTTAATGGATCTGCAAAGACTTTTCTGAGTGTGGATATGAAAGTAAGAAGTGGGTATGCCATACAAAATAAATGCAATATCTACAACAGCCTATGACAGGTACACCAATAGGATGAAAGAGGATTGAAAGTTGACAATTTGAAAACCTATACCAGTTGAAAGCAACATGACATAAAACTACACACTGATATGAATGAAAACCATCCTCTGCTTGAGTGGAACTTTCATCTTCACAGCATCTGTAGCACAGTTGAGTACCCAGGCCACCTTCGTACAGTCCATCACATCACCATCTTCCAAACCCTTGACCATGTTCTTGTAAAAAGCTTTGACAACATGTTTTGTGACAGCATCATTGACTACCCACAACATGCCAATGACATTCTTGAATCCTGAAAATTGGAGTCCAGCTGTGAGGTGGATGACTTTGTTGGGCATCTTCTCATCACCAACAGCAGTATGACATGCCAACAAGAATGCAAACTCAGCATGAGGAATGTCTTTCTCCATGATGTCCAGCAGCATCAGAGGTTTGTCTCTCATGGCAAAACATGAATGGTAAGGCTGCTCATGGTCCTGCTTTCCATGACAAGTGAGGTGCACCCAAGTGTTGCATTGCAAAGCATCTAGTGCACTTGCTCGCATGGCACCATTGCCAGAGAGAGTGGTGGGGTTGACTGTTGCAGGGATGAGCTTGCAGATGAGCCCAAGCTTGCTGTTGACAGTCAAGAGTGCCTTGCCTTGCCCCACACCTGGTGAACTCTGTCCGATTGCAACAAATGACAGAGTTGCACAGTTCTTCATTATCTAGATTTGATCAAAGCTGAAAGTGTTGGCATGTAAGAACAGATATAGACGTCCTCCAGGCACAGTTCACACTGTCCATTTGCCTTCATTTGAAAGGGGTGAGCTGTGCGGAGAGGAATGGAAGTGAAGGTTGCAGTCAGACACAGCCAGATTCGAGAACCACTCTTTACTCTGAAATTATGCTGGAGGACGATGACAATGGGCAGCATGATCTCATCCCATACTGTCTGCAAGAGGACTTGGAGTTCCTTCCTCATCTCCTCTGGGTGCATGAAAGATGCACTGTCATATCTCCCTGGCAAAGTCATTCTTAAGTTTCTCCAGATGTACAAGAGTGATGCATGGGAATTGAATGTGGTGAGGCTCTTCTGACATTGGGACAATGATGGTGCTGCATGAGTATTGACTTGCAATAAGGATGACAACTGGACCATGATGTGCTGCCGCTTGCAAGTCTCCATACAATGGTGGGAGCAGGAACCACAAGAAACCTTTAAGATTACAGATCTCAGCTACCACTGCTGCTGAAGTCTCCTGTAATGTATTGCTGCTTGATCAGCAGCAGCTTGATTAGTGCTGCCAGCGGAACCCTGAGCATCAGACAGGTGCTGGTTGATCTCTGAGAGCCTGTGAGCTTGTTCCAGACTTGCAAGCTTCAGGTCTTCCAGCAGAGTCCTGATTCAAGAGGTTAGGGACCACTGCTGACCATGACCCTGCTCCACAAGTTTGATTGCTTGTTGCAGATCATCACAATGTATGGCACACAATGCTGCATCAACTGGCAGTGATTGTGCACCATGAAAAACAGTTGCAGCCTCATGCTGTGAGATAATCATTGATCATGTCATCACATGGTTGTCAAAGAGCTCCAAGCATGTTTAGTATGATTGAAGAGTAGAGTTGTGTTGATAAACTTCTGCTTGGTGAATCCATTCTATGGCCCTCCCAATGCGTTCCAGGAGTCTTTGAGTGGGATGCTGTGATGCCAGTCTGAAGTTCTCTACAGCAAGTGGCAAGTCAACAGACTTGTCTTGCACTCGGTAACAAGATAAGTAGGCATTCATCAGCCACACATAGCTGAAATATCTATCTGGGTGCAGTGAAGGCAAAGCCTCCAATAACTCTTGGGAGAGTTGAATGGCCTCCTCGACCTCTTCATTCTTCTGACTTTGTGTGAAATGAAAACAGAGCGCCAAGCCCAAATTGGAAAGACCAGTATGGTGATGTGGATGGCCATGCAGTGTTAACTGAAGTGAATCCCAGTAGAAGTTGATGGCCTTGTTGAGATCCTCACTGGTATTCAATTTCTCATATCTGGTTTGGAGCGTGCCAGCAAGGTTGTTAAGCATGTAATAACAATATGGATTCCCAGGGGGCACAATGTCAGTGCCTTGGGCTGAAGGCTGATGGATCTGATGATGTTGTTAACATCATGGCACTGGTTGAAATGGGTGTAGAGGGCAGCTCCTAGGTTGCCCAATGTGGAATGATGATATTTGTGCCCAACAGGGCACAGGCATAGCACTTCTTCATACAAAGAGATGGCCTCATTGAGGTCATCTGAGTTACCTTGGTGATGAAAGTGGGACATGAGTGACAAGGCCAAGTCATTCAGGTAGGTCTCACATTCAGAATGTTCCTCAGGGGACAGAGAAATGGCTTCATGACAACATTGTGTGCACTCATCAAGATCATCAATGCTGCTGTGTGTTTCAAACCATGATCTGAGAGCCAATGCAAGCTCATTGAATACTTCTGGATGGTGTTCATTGCCCAGAGGACAGAGCTTAAGTATGACTTGTCAAAGGTGGATGCCTTCATTAGATGCATCTTTCAGAAGCTTGTTGCATTTGCGGATCACATAATCAACACCATTTGCCCCTTCCATGATGCTACAAAGGTAGGTGCCTTCTGGACAGAGTGGCAATAGCTTACAGGACAGTTACATGCATTCCTGGATATAGACGGTGAAGTTCTCCTTGCTGTAGCACCAGATCAATGTGTTAAGGAGGTGATAGATGGATGATGGATGATTGGGATGGCCCTGTAGATGCAATGCCAAGGCTTTGTGGAAGAGAGAAGTGATACAGTTGATGTCTTGAAAATCATTTTGAATGTAGCCTTGAAGGCAGGCCCACATGAAGTTGGTGAGAACTGCTGCCCAGTGAGGATGGCCAACCAGACAGTGGTCCAGGACAAACTGAAAATGCTTTACAGTGTTGTTCAGGTGAGAGACTGTCTTGCTTGTCATGTATGTGGCAAATCATTCATGGCCCACATCCATGTCTTGGGCAATCTGACATTCAATGATGAACTACAGCAGGTGTTTGTCATATCCGCATATCCGGATCTCAGATCTGACCCTTATCTCAGATCCACATCTTATCTCCGATGCTATCCACATCTTATCCCCCTCCAACATCTCGTCATTCAATCTGTCCACTCGTCCAGTCTGGTCCACAACTCATCTGAATCCACAACCAGCGCTCATCTCTTTTCAGTAACCCCCTAACTCCGGTATTTTGGTTATCTGTATATCCGTCCTGCTCCCTTATCCACTACCTATGTTTCATTTCCATTTCATGATTTGTGATCCGTTTCTACTTACCAATAGACTATCCACATGCTTCGTACATAGCCTCGGACTCTGCTGATTGATCATTCCGTTAGATACCTATAGTATATAACCTCCTGTAACTTTCTGTAGTACCTCAGTTCAAATATCATCTTAGTTCTGCTCATTCCTGTCCTCCAGACTTGAGTACCTCTACTCTTGTCACCCTCTGAGACTTAGGATTGATTCCTATAGTCTATCTGTATCCGCCTCTGTCCCTGACAGTCCACTACCATTAGTTTCTAGTCTGGACTCATCCAGATTAGCCATACAATACTTATCCCTCATCCGGAAGTCATCCAGATCCGCTACACTACTCGTCTGACCTTCTGGACGCGCTAGTCTTTCCTTCCTGAAATAAGGGGCAATACTCAGGTAAGGGGCACAGTGCATGAGCTGAGGCTGAAGCCCTTCAGATCCAGTTACCCTTTGAGTACAACCTTAACAGTATATTTGAACTCACACCTTACCGAGTATACTTACACTTCCTATGGCTCCAACCAAAACTGCAAACACTCTCTGAGCAGCTGGATTTGTTATGGCAAACTAGGATGGGCGCGATGATAGGTACTCGATAAGAGTACGCCTAAAGCTGGATCATGTCCTTACAAATGTAAGGTTCTTAAGACAAGTCAGAGAGGGTGTCTCCGACTCGAATATTGGTTATCAGACAACTTAGGATTGGGGGTCCTAAGCGAAGGATAGTTCAGGTAAGACCTAGTAGATTAAAGTGAAGTCTATCTAAGTACATGACCAGGTTTATATAGACATGGGTCCTTTAGGGCAGGTACGTATGTGTCATCAGTCGAGTCAGAGATAAGGAAGTACGTCACCAGTACGTCACCAGTACGTCATCAGTCGAGTCAGAGATAAGGGGATGAATCATCTAGCGACAGCATGCGGCAGTCGTGATGTAATACAGATATAGAAGGTGGTTAGTCTAATGATGGCACAGCAAGGTGTGGTCATGACGTAATACACAGGTATGAAAGAAAAGAGATAGGGGGTAACCACAATTGTAACATTACCCCTCATTTAGTGATGAAGTCACCAACTTCAATTATCCTGATTGGCCCAGTACACAGGGTCAGCGTCGTAGTTGGAATAGAGCAGATCGTCTTGCTCCTTGGTGATGGTGGTCTGCACCATTTCAGCAGCATGGGCTGATACCATCTTGCTCAATCTCCCATCGAGCGAGAGCATCGTAGAAACCGACAGTCAGTCCATACCAAGGGAATAACTGTTTCTCCCTTCAACTCTCTACAGAAGACTGATAAATGGCCAGGTGCGTATTCTTTGCAAACTCTGCAGTAATATGCAGGGCAGTTTTTATGGCAATGCCTGGCGACATGGCAGTTGCGGCATACAACTGTTGTCAACCGGCGACGTTTTTACGATTGTGACGGAGGAGGATTGGTCTTGGGGGGACGGTGATCTTGACTGTTTAGATGGTGCTTTAGTTGGGGAGATGGAGGTGGCTCGTTTAGTGGCGAGATGTGAGGATCTTCTTTTAAGTGGGAGTCGTCGTGCGGTATGCGTGACAGGGTTAGGAGAAGGAGAAGTTGGTACGTCAAGTACGGCAATAGGAGGGATATTATCATCCTGATGCTCCACGGTAATTGTAGTAGGAGCTGGCGGTGGTACGGGAACAGCGACATGAGGGGACGGTGGTTGCGCAACGGGGTCGAGGGCAATACGCTCGGTGACGATATGGATAGCTTCTCTAATGGCATCTCTGGTTTCCTCAGGTAGGAGACGGATCGCAGTATTGCGAATATGTATGTGGAGATGGCGGAAAATAGTTTGATGGCGCTCATCATCAAGGAGAGCGGCGGTACGTTCAATAAGACTGGCATCTCTAATGATTCTGATTATGAGGCCACTAGATATCGCTCCTTGTTCTCCAAGAAGGCAGTCTATCTCTATAGCGTATTGCTGGGAAGTGATGGCGGATTCGAATAGAGCGCTTGTCTCTACTTGGTCAATGACCGAGAAGTAGTTGGTAAGAGTGGAGTCGTCGGTAAGGGTTAGGGTGGAGTCAGAGGTTGGCAGTGACGTTATGGGGGATGATGTGTGCTGGGCAAGATTGGCGGCGGTAGCGTTTTGATAATCAAGGAGCGTCAATGGGTGAGCATTTCCTTCTGCGACAGTGTTCATAGCAGCGGTAAGTTCTTCGATGCAGAGGATGCAAAGGCATAGTCGTTCAATGGATGACATTGTTGGAAAATCTACAGCCCATGGGCCTTCTTATAGGCGTTGAGGGTGTCAGTAGCATTAGTGAGATTTCCTTCTGGAACCCACTCGTTGCTAGCAGATGAATATCCTTTCCAGGATATGAGATAGCATCTTCGTTTACCCGTCCCTTTGTGCGATAAGATCGCATCAATTTCATATTCTTCTTCGTTATCGATAATGTCAGGTGGTGGGTCATGGAAGTTCAGTCCGTGAACCTCAGTTTTGCGATAGGCTGATAGCTCGGAAGCATGGAACATGGGGTGAACTTTCCATTGCGGAGGTAGTTGGAGCATGAATGTGATGGGGGAAAGAACGGCGGTGATTGGGAAAGGGCCATACCGTTTTGGCGCAAGTTTCCGTGAGGGTAACTGAGTGATCAAATTTTTCCTGGATAGCCAAACCTTATCTCCCACTTTCCATGGATGGTATCTTTGTCCGTGAGTTTGTTCAGCCATCCGCTGCATAGCGAGGTTGTGGCATGAGAGGGCCTCCTCTCGTGATTTCTGAAGGGAAGCGAGTCTATCTTCTGCTGCGGGGACAGTGGAGTTTGGGAGCGTATGAGGGAGGGCTCGTGGTTCATAGCCCATCATTAAGAAGAATGGTGACGCATTGCAGGAGTCATGTTTTCGGTGGTTATGCACGAATTCTGCCATTGGAAGGTGTTCAACCCAATCTTCTGGGCGATTCCGGCAATAGATCCGAAGATAAGTTTCGAGTTCTTGGTTGAGTCGTTCAGTCTGACCATCTGTCTGAGGATGGTAAGCAGTGGATGCTGCTATGTTGTATTCCAAGAGCTTGGCGAGGGCTCATGAGAACTTAGATATGAATTGTGGGCCATGATCTGAAATGACTTTCTCGTGCAGGCCGAATCGTCAGTAGACGTATTTGAAGAATTTCTTGGCGACTCCTTCTGAAGTGATGGTTTTAGTGCAAGGGATAAGAATTACCCCCTTTGTAAGGCCATGGTCAACCACGACCATCACAGAATCAAAGCCAGCACAGGGAGGAAGGTCGGTGATTAGGTTGACGGAGACTTGGGTGAAAGGAGCGGTGGCGACAGAGGGAATGGGGACAAGGGGGGGGGTCGTCGGATGGGTGTCAGATTTCATCTGCTGGCAGAGGGTGCAGCCTTCGACGTATTTACGAATATAGGTGCCCATAGCGGGCCACCAGAAGTCACGTTTGACCAATTCTTCAGTCTTGAAATGCCCCGGATGACCGGTGGTGGGGTGGTCATGGCATCGTTCTAAAACAAGACGCTGTCCAGCGGGGCGAACGTAGGCGCGGTCTTTATAATAAAGAATATCATCATTGATCGTCCAATCAGTGAGGGTGGACTTCATTGGGGGAAGTGAGAGACCATCAAGGGCGTCGGAGGCAGCGGTAAAGATAGGGTCGGGGTCTGTGGGGTTGGGGTTCATGAGTGTAGTCATGAGCTCGATGTCGAGAAGTCGGACGAACATGGAATCAGGGAGGAGTGTTTCATTGGTATTATCGTCAAGGGAATCTGATCCATGATCAGGTCAGCGAGAAAGAGCGTCTGGGGCAACAAGCTTAGTCCCTGCAACGTGATGGAGTTCAATGTCATAACATGACAAGATTAACTGCCAACGGGCTTGCCAACAGGTTAATTTCTGGGCTATCCTAAAATATAACAGATTCTTATGATCGGTGAAGACGACGATAGGATGGGGATTTCCTTCTAGGTAATGATGCCACTCAGTCAGAGCGTGAATAACCAC